ATAATTGAAAAATTATTGATTATAATTGAAAACTAAAGAAAAATAATTGAAATAATTGTAAATTTGTTTGAATATAATTGAAAATATTATTTTTATTATTAATTAATTATAAATAATAATTAATTATTAAATAAATTTGCCAAAGGAGAAGATATTAAAACGTTAATTAATTTTTAAAAATTAAAAAAAAATTTAATCTGTAACGTTACCAAAAAGTATTCTATTTTCTTTATATACTTTAAAAATATTTGGGGTTGAAAATCCACTTTTACTCCTCGAAAAATTGCAAGTCAAATTCTTTAAATTCCTCCTCCCTTATCAATTCACTTTTTACATTGACACATTCCTCCTTTAATTTCTCTCCTCCAATCAGAATTATTATCAGCTCCTTTAAAAAAAAAAAATTCCAATAACGAAAGCAAAATTATTTCTTCTTCTTTTTCCTTTCACTCATCCTCGCAACGAAATGAATACAGTTCCTTTTTTTTTGATAAAACGTACGAAGAAGCGATAAGAAATTATCGCACCTAAAAAGTTTTCAGACAGCAGTTCACCAGGGAAAAAAAACGGTGAATGAAGGAGAAAAAAAAATTACTTTTCGAATATATATAAATGATAAGAATGTGAAACATGCGTCTAAAAAAAGGAATCAGGTCTGTGTAATTTTTTTTTTTATCTCCTAAGGAAAAATAACTGGTTCCCGTACAGACATCTGGACCCCAGAACAAGAGGAAGAATTCCTCTTCCTCTTCTTCCTCTTTTTTTTTAGAGATAAAAAAGAAGGATTATAGTGGTGAAAAACTACCACTTTTTTCCATTGACATCACTTTCATTCAGAGGTGTAAGAAATTCCTTCAGGTGCGACCCTTCGACAAGTTGTTGAATAAGAATTTCTTATCAGTGGAACTCCGCCCTCTTCGAAGAGGGGGGGGGGATCTTGAGACACCCCCCTCTTCTCTTTTCCACTTCCTCTTTCTTTTTTTAAATATCGAGTAGGAGAAAAAGACTAACCCTCTTTTTTTAAATTTACTTATTTGTTTATTTCAATCAGGGGTTGAAATAAAAAATAACGAATAGAAGGAAAAAAGTTGAGGAAATTTTCTAAAAGTTTGGTGCAAGTTTCACAAGACTTACTGGCAATGTTGGTAAACATTGTCGCAAGTTTCATAATATTAACCAAATGCTGCTAAAAGTTGTTGCAACTTTCACAATTTTGGGTCAATTTTGCCAAATTTTGGTGCAAGTTTCACTTGATTCACTGGCAATGTTGGTAAATACAGTCGCAAGTTTCTTAATGTTAACCAAATGCTGCTAAATGTTGTTGCAACTTTCCCAATTTTGAGTCAATTTTGACAAATTTTGGTGCAAGTTTCACTTGATTCACTGGCAATGTTGAAAAATACAGTCGCAAGTTTCTTAATGTTAACTAAATGCTGCCAAATGTTGTTGCAACTTTCCCAATTTTGAGTCAATTTTGACAAATTTTGGTGCAAAATTCAAAAGAATGCTTGGCAATGTTGGTAAATACAGTCGCAACTTTCTTAATGTTAACTAAATGCTGCCAAATGTTGTTGCAACTTTCATAAAATTAAGTCGATTTTTGAAAACTTAAATCAATTTTTGAAAAGTTTTGCTGCAAGTTTCATAAGATTGACTGGCAATGTTGTCAAATACTGTCGCAAGTTTCTTAACCTTTAAAGTGCTATGCCGGTCTGACAGACCGCTATTAAAATTTTCTTTGCTTGTAACTTTTTTTCAAAGTATAATAAGAACTTGAACTTTTTAGTAGCTTCATATTTTACGAAAATCTGTTAGGAGACAACTTTTTCAAAAATTTTTATTCGTTAAATTTTGTAATATAAATAAATATTTGAAGTATAGCGGTCTGTGAGACCGGGGTTAGCTTTAAGTGAAAGTATATTCCAGTATATTCCCATGAGTGACGTCTGCGCAACTTGACGCGCAGCTAGTTCTACTGACAGTTCTCATAAACTGCATTTATAAAATAAATAAAATAAATAAATGCATAATACAGAAATGACTTTTTTTGTTAAAGAGTAAAAAATATTTATAATAGTTGTCTTTTAAAAATTATAAATGACTAAAAAACTGTCAAAAGGGAATAGCGGTCTGACAGACCGGGGTTAGCACTGACCGTGATTTTTCAACACTTAGCACTTTAAAGGTTAAATAATTGATTTTTTTCAAGACCCGTGCAGAAAAATGGTGAGGGCCCCCGGCGGGGCCCTCGTGGATTGCCCTCTTGCCATGTGGAATCCGCAGGGGCAATCCACGCGGAGCCGTCGAAGGCGTGACATGCTTTCCCTCGTGGGTGCCCTCGAGGAAAATCCTCATGGATTCCATATGGATTTTCCACGCGGTGCCCTCGTGGATTTCATAAAATGCCCTCAACTTTATTTTCAATTAAATTAATAAATTAATTATTTATTAATAACAAATTAGTCCAATTATTGATAAATAACATTCTTATTTAACAATTTTTACTTTTTTTAATTAAATCGTGACAAAAAAAAAAAAAAATCTGACGCACGCGGGAATTGAGCCTACGACCTACTGACTACCAGACAACACTCTTACCACTATGCTACGGGACCTACTTGAAAATTATTGCTTTAATGTAGGTGACTTGCTGACTTGCTTTTGATGATTCAATAAATTATTTATTAACACTAATACACCATGACAAATAATTCAATAGTTTAATAATAATAATAACAATATCAATAATATAATAATAGACCATAAATATTCATAAATTAATATTTTTATAATTTCAAAAAAAAAAAAAAATGTCAAAACATTTGTGTTAAAAACGCGTTTTTCATAGTTTAAAATCATTATAAACATTAATTTTTGTATGTAAAAAAAAATTTTTTTTTTGGACTTAGAAATTTTTTCTAGTTAATGATGTGGGCAATCCATGAGGGCCCCTCTCGTGGGCCCTCATGGATTTGCCCTTAGGTAAGTTCAATATTTTCAAAAAAAGTAACATTAAATATTTGTTAAAAACGTGTTTTTCATTGTTTAAAATGATAGTAAACAATAATTTTTTGTTGTAAAAAAATTTTTCGTTTGGACTTAGAAAAATTGTTGAGCAGGGCATTCATAATGGCTAAGAGCAGGGGCCCTGCTGGGGCCCTCGTAAATTTCCATAACTTTGTGATAGGATTTCTGGAAAAATGTCACTTAATGTTTATTTCAGGTGCTTTGAAACGTAATTTAATGCATTCTGAACTAAAGTTTTTCAACAAAAAATTTTTTTTTTAAAACTTAGATAAATTTTTGAGCAGGGCAACCGTAAGGGCAAAGAACGGGGCCCCTGCTGGTGCCCTCGTGGATTTCTTCTCATGGATCTTCCACGAGGGCCCCGGAGCTGTGGGGCTCGAACGTGGCTTTTTCCACACGGGGAACAATTTTTTAAAAATAATTAAATTTTTTGAGCAATTCCTGAAAAATTGTTTTAAAAATAATTAAATTCTGCGATGAATTTTATTATTTATAAAAATAGTTAAATAGTTGCAAAGAATTTTATTAAAATTTTCAAAAATAATTGAATTCCTGAGAAGAATTTTATTATTTATGAAAATAATTGAATTATAAAAATAATTAAATTTTGGATAAATTTTATCAATTATTTATTTTATAATTGAATTTTGGATTAATTTTATAAATTTTTTTTTAATAATTGAATTTTGGATGAATTTTATCAATTCTTTTTAAATAATTGAAATTTGGATGAATTTTATCAATAATTTTTTAAATAATTGAATTTTGGATGAATTTTATCAATTATTTTTTAAATAATTGAATTTTGGATGAATTTTATAAATTTTTTTTAAATAATAGAATTTTGAATGTATTTTATTAATTTTTTTTAAATAACTGAATTTTAGATAAATTTTATAAATTTTTTTTTAAATAATTGAATTTTGTATAAATTTTATAATTTTTTTTTAATAATTGAATTTTGGATGAATTTTATCAATTCTTTTTAAATAATTGAATTTTGCATGAATTTTATCAATTATTTTTTAAATAATTGAATATTGGATGAATTTTATCAATTATTTATTAAATAATTGAATTTTGGATGAATTTTATAAATTTTTTTTTAAATAATTGAATTTTGGATGAATTTTATCAATTCTTTTTAAATAATTGAATTTTGCATGAATTTTATCAATTATTTTTTAAATAATTGAATTTTGGATGAATTTTATCAATTCTTTTTAAATAATTGAATTTTGCATGAATTTTATCAATTATTTTTTAAATAATTGAATTTTGGATGAATTTTATCAATTCTTTTTAAATAATTGAATTTTGCATGAATTTTATCAATTATTTTTTAAATAATTGAATATTGGATGAATTTTATCAATTATTTTTTAAATAATTGAATTTTGGATAAATTTTATAAATTTTTTTTTAAATAATTGAATTTTGGATGAATTTTATAAATTTTTTTTTAAATAATTGAATTTTGGATGAGTTTTATCAAATTTTTTTTTAAATAATTAAATACTTTGGCAAAATTTTATGAAAATACCAGATATTGAAAATAATTGATTTTGGAATATTTTTTGAAAATAATTGAATTATTGTAAAGGATTTGATTACAATTTTTTCAAATAGTTTTTTGATTTCTAGTATCTGCAAATTTAAAGTAGTGTAAATTGTCAAAAAAAAAAAGAAATGGTAGCTTTTAGTGGCTGAAATCTAAAAAAAGTACCCAAATAGTATCCTAACGTAAAAAAAGTAGTAAATAGCATGTTTTAGTAAATGAGTTACGAAGCCTAAAAAGAGTAAAAAATAAAAATGTAATAATAACGAATAGGAGAAAAGTAGTACCCCCCTTTTAAAAAAAAATAACCAATAGAAGAAAAAGAGACAGAGAGAGAGAGAGAGAGTGGTAGAAATTTTTTAAAGATAAAGAGTAGGAGAAAAAGAGACAGAGTGAGAAGGGGGGAAGGAGATTTTAAAAAAATTCGTCTCTCCCCGGGGGTACTCTCTCAACGATCGTCCTGACCAATTCCATATGTATGGGGTGAGCAACGACGTAAATGTGCTGACTACATTACGCCGCTATATAAAGATAGCCGTCAACCATCCTATCCCCACAGACCGTGTCAGATCGACAAAAGGTTCACGGACAGACAGACAGACACCTCGCGTTACTCATCGCCTTTTTTTTCCTTTTCGAAAACCGGAACTCAAAGTGCGGAAGTTTCAAGTTTTTGAAAATCGGTTCCAGTAACGCTTCAAAAAAAAAAAAAAAATTGTTATTACCGAAAATCGGTTTAACAATCTTTTCGAAAATCGGTTCAAGAAGCTTTTCGAAAATCGGCTCAAGGATCGTTTTCAAAAATCGTTTTGAGAATTGTTTCGAAAATCGGTTCAAGGATCGTTTTTAAAAATCGTTTCGAGAACAGTTTTTAAAGATCGTTACGAAAATAGTTTCAAGAATTGTTCGAAAATCAAGAATCATTTCAAGAACTGCTTCAAAAATCGTTTGCGGAACTGCTTCGAAAATCGTTTCCGGAATTGCTTCGAAAAATCGTTTCAAGAACTACTTCGAAAATCGTGTCAAGAACTGTTTCAAGCATCATTTCAAAAATAGTTGCAAAAATAGTTTCAAGAATCGTTTCAAGAACTAATTCAAAAATCGTTTCAAGAACTGATTCAAAAATCGTTTCAAGATTCGTTTCAAGAACAGATTCAAAAATCGTTTCAAAATTCGTTTCAAGAACAGATTCAAAAATCGTTTCGAGATTTGTTACACAAACTGATTCAAAAATCGTTACAAGAATCGTTACGAAAACTGATTCAAAAATCGTAACAAAAATCTTTTCAAGAAACAGTTTTAAAAATCGTTATAAAAATCTGTTGTCAAAAATAAAAATTGCTCCACTAACTTTGTTGTAACAAAATAGTTTTGATAACATTGCATCAAAATAATTTTGTTAATATTGCAACAAAATAGTTTTATTAACATTACAAGAAAATAACTTTGAAAAACAACATTGCAACAAAATAATTTTTAAAAAAGAAACATTACAACAAAAGCAGAATGTCGCTGATTTTAATAGGAAGCACAACATACTTTCTAATCGCAATTCTGACGATTGCCATTGTATTGATAATCTTCGATCATGTGAAATTGAAAAGGAAGAGGAATGATTGCGGCAAGGAAGTGGACAGTGAGGAGCAAATATTGCCGGAAGCACCGGGACCAAAACCGTGGCCTATTTTGGGATCGCTGCACATTTTGGGACAATATGACGTGCCGTACAAGGCATTCGCTGAACTAGTTAAAATCTACAAGAGTCCCGTTTTGAAAATGAAAATGGGCTCCGTTAATTGCATCGTCGTCAATGGTCTGGAGAACATTAAGGAGGTGCTCTTCAATAAGGGCGCGCACTTCGACTCTCGGCCTAATTTCACCAGATATCATCTACTCTTCTCTGGCAATAAGGAAAACTGTAAGTTTTGATTATTTTTTGCATCCACTTTTTTTTATTTGTTATTTTCTTGATTTTTTTTACATCTCTTTTTGTTTTTCTGCTTTCTTTAGTCTTCCTTTTTCTATTCTCTTTCGTTTCTTGTTGTTTTCACCCTCTTTTGTTATTTTTCACCTCCTTTTTATTTCCTTTCCCTTATTTTCACCTACTTTTGTGTTCCTTTCCCTTTTTTTAAAGTTTCTTTTTCTTTTTCTACAAAAATTGATACTAGTTGTTGCATCATGTTGTAGAATGTTCCAGAAATACTAGAAATATTGCTGCAATTTTTAGAATTTTGAGTCAATCTTGTCAAAATCTGGTGCAACTTTCACAATATTAAGTGGCAATGTTGTTAAACATTGTCGCAAGTTTCATAATATTAACCAAATGCTGCTAAATGTTGTTGCAACTTTCACAATTTTGGGTCAATTTTGCCAAATTTTGGTGCAAGTTTCACTTGATTCACTGGCAATGTTGGTAAATACAGTCGCAAGTTTCTTAATGTTAACCAAATGCTGCCAAATGTTGTTGCAACTTTCCCAATTTTCAGTCAATTTTGCCAAATTTTGGTGCAAGTTTCACTTGATTGACTGGCAATGTTGGTAAATACAGTCGCAAGTTTCTTAATGTTAACCTAATGCTAACAAATGTTGTTGCAACTTTCACAATTTTGGGTCAATTTTGACAAAATTTAGTGCAACTTTCATAAGACTTACTGGCAATGTTGGTAAACATTGTCGCAAGTTTCATAATATTAACCAAATGCTGCTAAATGTTGTTGCAACTTTCACAATTTTGGGTCAATTTTGCCAAATTTTGGTGCAAGTTTCACTTGATTCACTGGCAATGTTGGTAAATACAGTCGCAAGTTTCTTAATGTTAACCTAATGCTAACAAATGTTGTTGCAACTTTCACAATTTTGGGTCAATTTTGACAAAATTTAGTGCAACTTTCATAAGACTTACTGGCAATGTTGGTAAACATTGTCGCAAGTTTCATAATATTAACCAAATGCTGCCAAATGTTGTTGCAACTTTCCCAATTTTGAGTCAATTTTGCCAAATTTTGGTGCAAGTTTCAAAAGAATGACTGGCAATGTTGGTAAATACAGTCGCAAGTTTCTTAATGTTAACCTAATGCTAACAAATGTTGTTGCAACTTTCACAATTTTGGGTCAATTTTGACAAAATTTAGTGCAACTTTCACAATATTAAGTGGCAATGTTGTTAAACATTGTCGCAAGTTTCATAATATTAACCTAATGCTGCCAAATGTTGTTGCAACTTTCACAATTTTGAGTCAATTTTTCCAAATTTTGGTGCAAGTTTCACTAGATTGAGTAGCAACGTCGCTAAATTTTGTTTTAACTTTCAGCATTTCAAGAAATTTTATTTATTTTTCTCTTTTGATTTTCTTCTCTATTTTCATCTCATTCGCATAAGAATTAAAAAAAAAAAAAATTAAATAAAATGAAAATTCCGGAAATGCAGTCAATGGGCCAAACTTTTAAAAATAGCAACCAAAAAATAAATTCCAAAAAGAAAAGAAAGAAAATTTATTTAAATACAATTGAATAAGGGCTTTATTCAGTGTCAGTTTCTCCAACTCTCATTTTCAAGATCAGCATTGTCCATCATTAAGGTTAAGGTTATGCGTAACCGACACTTGTGTTAATGACCTTGCTTTCGTTGCGCCATGTAAGAGTCTGGAACACGGGAATTTCTTAATACTTTTTCAAACACACATACACACACAAAACCGGTTTTATTTTTGTCTCCAAATGTCCATTTTTTGTCTTTAAAGGGTGAAAAAAAATTCTATTTAAAATACCGATCTATATTTAATTATATACTTGTACGCGAATAGGGCACATGAAATCTAAATTTCGGAAATGCAGTTTTTGTGGAAATTTATTGACAGTGATCCAATTAATAAATGATAATAGTCTATTGATAACTAATGATAACTAATAATCACTAAAGATAACGAATGATCACTAATGATAACTATAATAAAAAAAAGACGAACAATAACACTTCTAAAAAATTCTCTTCTTAAAAAATAACACTTCTAAGTCAACAAATAATGATGCTACTGATAATAATGACCCAAAATCATCTGATACTAACCAAATGATTAAGAGTAACACTAATTAATCAACAAATAATGATGTTAATGATAATAATGACCCAAAATCATCTAATACTAACCGAATGATTAAAAATACTACATCCAAGTGTCAACAAATAAAGATGCAAATGATAATAATGACCCAAAATAACCGAAACTAACCAAATGATTAAAAGTAACACATTTTAATCAACAAATAAAGATGCTACTGATAATAATGACCCAAAATCATCTAATACTGACGGAATTAACACTTAATTAACACGGAATTAACTAACACTTTTTAATCAACAAATATAATTGCTAATGATAATAATGATCCAAAATCATCTAATACTAACGGATCGATTAAAAATAACACTTTTTAATCAACAAATATTAATGCTAATGATAATAAAATGATCCAAAATCATCAAATTATAACCAAACCGTTCAAAATACAACTTCCAAGCCAACAAATAAATAATTCTACTCATAATAACGTTTCAAAAATCATCTAATACTAACCAAATGCTTCAAAATACTACTTCCAAGTCTCCACAAATAAAGATGCTAATGATACTATGACCTAAAATCAACAATTAATGATTCTACTGCTGATAACAACCCAAAATCATCTAATACTAACTGAATAATTAAAAATAACACTTTTTAATCAACAAATATTAATGCTAATGATAATAATCACCCAAACTCATCAAATAATAATCAAATGATTCAAAATACTACTTCCAAGTCTCAACAAATAATGATGTTAATGATAAAAATGACTCAAAATCATCTAATACTAACCGAATGATTTAAAATACTACTTTCAAGTCTCAACAAATAAAGATGTTAATAATAATAATGACCCAAAATAACCGAAACTAACCAAATGATTAAAAATAATATATTTTTATCAACAAATAGTAATGCTTTTGTTAATAATGACCCAAAATCATCTAATATTAACCGAATGATTAAAAATAACAATTTTTAATCAACAAATATTAATTCTAATAATAACAATGACCCAAAATCATCAAATAATAACCAAACGAATCAAAATACAACTACCAAGTCAACAAATAAATAATTCTACTGATAATAACATTTCAAAAATCATCTAATGCTAACCAAACGATTCAAAATACTACTTCCAAGTCAACAAATAATGATTCTACTGCTAATAACGACACAAAATCATCTAATACTAACGGATTGATGAAAAATAACACTTTTAAGTCAACAAATAATGATGCTAATGATAATAATGAACAAAAATCATCAAATATTAACCAAACAATTTAAAATACATCTACCAAGTCAACAAATAAATAATTCTACTGATAATAACATTTCAAAAATCATCTAATGCTAACCATACGATGTAAAATACTACTTCCAAGTCAACAAATAATGATTCTACTGCTAATAACGACACAAAATCATTTAATACTAACAGATTGATGAAAAATAACAGTTTTAAGTCAACAAATAATGATGCTAATGATAATAATGACCAAAAATCATCAAATATTAACCAAACAATTTAAAATACAACTACCAAGCCAATAAATAATGATGCTACTAATCTTAATGACCCAAAATCATTTAATACTAACGGAATGATTAAAAATAACACTTTTTAATCAACAAATATTAATTCTAATAATAACAATGACCCAAAATCATAAAATAATAACCAAACCGTTCAAAATACAACTTCCAAATCAACAAATAAATAGTTCTACTGATAATAACATTTCAAAAATCATCTAATGCTAACCAAACGATTCAAAATACTACTTCCAAGTCAACAAATAATGATTCTACTGCTAATAACGACACAAAATCATCTAATACTAACGGATTGATGAAAAATAACACTTTTAAGTCAACAAATAATGATGCTAATGATAATAATGAACAAAAATCATCAAATATTAACCAAACAATTTAAAATACATCTACCAAGTCAACAAATAAATAATTCTACTGATAATAACATTTCAAAAATCATCTAATGCTAACCATACGATGTAAAATACTACTTCCAAGTCAACAAATAATGATTCTACTGCTAATAACGACACAAAATCATTTAATACTAACAGATTGATGAAAAATAACAGTTTTAAGTCAACAAATAATGATGCTAATGATAATAATGACCAAAAATCATCAAATATTAACCAAACAATTTAAAATACAACTACCAAGCCAATAAATAATGATGCTACTAATCTTAATGACCCAAAATCATTTAATACTAACGGAATGATTAAAAATAACACTTTTTAATCAACAAATATTAATTCTAATAATAACAATGACCCAAAATCATAAAATAATAACCAAACCGTTCAAAATACAACTTCCAAATCAACAAATAAATAGTTCTACTGATAATAACATTTCAAAAATCATCTAATGCTAACCAAACGATTCAAAATACTACTTCCAAGTCAACAAATAATGATTCTACTGCTAATAACGACACAAAATCATCTAATACTAACGGATTGATGAAAAATAACACTTTTAAGTCAACAAATAATGATGCTAATGATAATAATGAACAAAAATCATCAAATATTAACCAAACAATTTAAAATACATCTACCAAGTCAACAAATAAATAATTCTACTGATAATAACATTTCAAAAATCATCTAATGCTAACCATACGATGTAAAATACTACTTCCAAGTCAACAAATAATGATTCTACTGCTAATAACGACACAAAATCATTTAATACTAACAGATTGATGAAAAATAACAGTTTTAAGTCAACAAATAATGATGCTAATGATAATAATGACCAAAAATCATCAAATATTAACCAAACAATTTAAAATACAACTACCAAGCCAATAAATAATGATGCTACTAATCTTAATGACCCAAAATCATTTAATACTAACGGAATGATTAAAAATAACACTTTTTAATCAACAAATATTAATTCTAATAATAACAATGACCCAAAATCATAAAATAATAACCAAACCGTTCAAAATACAACTTCCAAATCAACAAATAAATAGTTCTACTGATAATAACATTTCAAAAATCATCTAATGCTAACCAAACGATTCAAAATACTACTTCCAAGTCAACAAATAATGATTCTACTGCTAATAACGACACAAAATCATCATTAGATGATTTCCGTTAGTATTAACTAACGGATTGATGAAAAATAACACTTTTAAGTCAACAAATAATGATGCTAATGATAATAATGACCCAAAATCATCAAATATTAACTAAACAATTTAAAATACAACTACCAAGCCAACAAATAAATAATTCTGCTGCTAATAAAGTTTCAAAAATCATCTAAATCCTCTAATAAAATTCTAAAAATCATCTGATTTCACTTTCTGTTTCAGCGCTCGCTTTCTCCGACTGGTCGGAATTGCAAAAATCACGCCGTGAAATGCTACGAGCACACACCTTTCCCCGTGCCTTCACAACAAAGCACAATCAACTAAGCAGCATCATTTGCAATGAACTCGAAACCCTATTGGATCAACTGTCACAAAAATCCTCAGCACCAATCGAGGCAAAACCCCTCATTCTCCACACCTGTGGAAATATATTCATGACCTACTTTTGTTCAAAAAATTTTCAACCCAATCATCATGGATTCAGCGAGATGGTTAGAAATTTCGATAAAGTATTCTTTGAAGTGAATCAAGGTTACGCCGCCGATTTTATGCCATTCCTCATGCCATTGCATCATAAAAATATGCTAAGAATGGCAAATTGGAGTCATAGAATTCGTGAATTCGTCGAGGAGTGTGTCATTGAGGATCGTTTCTCGAGTTGGACGACGGCGATTCCCGAGGAGGACTATGTCGATTGTTTGATTAATCATGTGAAATCGAAGGCAGAGCCGAATATGTCGTGGAATACGGGATTGTTTGCACTGGAGGACATTATTGGGGGGCATTCGGCAATTGGAAATTTTTTGATGAAGGTCTTTGGATTTTTGGCTACGAGATTGCATGTGCAATTGGAGGCGCAACAGCAGATTGATGGGATGGAGATTTTGGAGAAAACTGTTGGATTGGAGTATAGGCGGTCGTTGCCTTATATCGAGGCGATTATTATGGAGACGATTCGAATTATTGCGAGTCCGATTGTACCACATGTGGCTAGTCAGAATAGTTCTATTGCTGGTTAGTACTATTTTTTGGGTATTTTAATCCGTCAATTATAAATTAAATTCAGTAATAAAAAAAAAATTCTGAAAAGAATTCAATTTTAATAAGATTTTTCTGAAAAGGATTCAATTTCAATTCAATTTTTTATGAGAAATTCAATTTTAAAAACATATTTTTCAAAATAATTGAATTTCAATTCAATTTCTTATAAGAAATTCAATTACAAAAAAGTTCTTTTCAAAAGACTTCAATTTCAAATCAATTTCTTATAAGAAATTCAATTTCAAAATAATTTTTCTCAAAGGAATTCAATTCCAATTCAATTTTTTATGAGAAATTCAATTTTAAAAACATTTTTCAAAATAATTGAATTTCAATTCAATTTCTTATAAGAAATTCAATTACAAAAGAATTCTTTTCAAAAGGCTTCAATTTCAAATCAATTTCTTATAAGAAATTCAATTTCAAAAAAATTCTTTTCAAAATAATTTTTCTCAAAGGAATTCAATTCCAATTTAATTTTTTATGAGAAATTCAATTTTAAAAACATTTTTCAAAATAATTGAATTTCAATTCAATTTCTTATAAGAAATTCAATTACAAAAAAATTCTTTTCAAAAGGCTTCATTTACAATTCAATTTTTTATGAGAAATTCAATTTTAAAAACATATTTTTCAAAATAATTGAATTTCAATTCAATTTCTTATAAGAAATTCAATTACAAAAGAATTCTTTTCAAAAGGCTTCAATTTCAAATCAATTTCTTATAAGAAATTCAATTTCAAAATAATTTTTCTCAAAGGAATTCAATTCCAATTCAATTTTTTATGAGAAATTCAATTTTAAAAACATATTTTTCAAAATAATTGAATTTCAATTCAATTTCTCATAAGAAATTCAATTACAAAAAAGTTCTTTTCAAAAGACTTCAATTTCAAATCAATTTCTTATAAGAAATTAAATTTCAAAAAAATTCTTTTCAAAATAATTTTTCTCAAAGGAATTCAATTACAATTCAATTCTTCAAAGGAATCCAATCTCAAAGAAGTTTTTTCAAAAAGAATTTAATTTTAATTCAAAAACTAAAAAAAAATTCAATTTCAAAATAAATTGCTTTTAAAAGAATCCAATTTCAATTACATTTCATAGAAGAAATTCAATTTCAAAAAAAATTCTTGTCAAACTACTTCAATTTCAATTAAATTTCTTATAGAAGAATTCAATTTCAATTAAATTTCTCGAAAAAATTCAATAATTTCAAAAAGAAATTTCCATACAATTCTGTTTAAAATTTTTTAATGAAATTCTCCTTGATAAATTCAATTATTTTCGAAAAATTTAATAAAACTCTTTGCAAAAATTTAATTTTAATTCCATAAATAATAAATTGTTTTCGATAGACTTCAATTATTTGAAAAAAATTTTTAATAAAAATCTTCAGAAAAATTAAATTATTTTTCATAAACAATAAAAATTCTTCTCGAGAATTCAATTATTTTGATGAACAATAAAAGTTTTTCTCAAGAATTAAATTATGTTAATAAACAATAAAAAATTTTCTCAATTCAATAATTATTTTGATGAACAAATAAAAATTCTTCACAAGAATTCAATTATTTTCATAAATAAAGAAATTCTATGCAAAAATTCAATTTTTTTTCAAAAATATTAATAAAATTCTTCACAAAAATTCAATTATTATAACAAATTTTAGTCATATTATTCCTATGATTTCAATTATCTTTAAAAATAAAATTTTTACAGACATTCAATTATTTTTATAAATAATAAATTTTTTTTGATGGAATTCAATTATTTAAAATTTTTTAGATACAAAACACCATTATTTTCCAAAATTTTAATATTTTTTTTTTTTTGAAAAATTCAATTATTTTCATAAATAACAAAATAATTCACAAAAATTTCATTATTATCAAGAAATTAAAAAAATTCATCGCAGAAATTCAATTACTATATAAAATTTTAGAAATATTCTTCCTAAGAATTTAATTATTTACTAAAATTTTATTTAAAAATTCAATATTATTTTAAAAATTAACAAAATTTTTCACAAAAATTCAATTATTAACAAGAATTAAAAAATTTCATCGCCGAAATTCAATTCTTTTACAAAATTTTATTATATTCTTCCAAAAAATTCAATTATTTTTATAATTTATAAAATTATTCGCAATAATTCAATTATTTTCAAAAATTTTAATACAATATTTTTTTTCAAAAATTCAATTATCATCCAACATTTTAGACAATTTTTTCCAAAATTCGATTATTTTCTAAAATTTTAATAAATTATATTCAAAAATTCAATTATTTTTAAAAATAATAAAATTCTTTCGTAAAATTCAATTATTTTCAAAAATTTGAATAGAATATTTTTTTCAAAAATTCAAATATTATCAAAAATTTTTGTAAATTTTTTCCAAAACTCAATGACATATTTACGAAAAATTTTGGAAACATTTTTTTTTTAAATTCAATTATTTTCAAAAATTTTAATAATAAAATGCTTCGTAAAAATTTAATTATTTTCTAAAATTTTGAAAAAACTTTTTTTAAATTCCATTATTTTTATAAATAACAAAATTATTTGCAGAAATTCAATTATTTTCAAAAATTTTAATAATTTTCTTTCTATAAATTCAATCATCGCTTTTAAAAAAAATTTTCACTGAAATTCTTCTCTTATTTTTAAAAATTTTTAATAAAATTCCTTTGAAGAATTCAATTATTTTTATAAATTTTAACATTATTCTTTGCAAGATTTCAAGTAATTTCTAAATAATAATATTCTTAGCAAGAATTAAATTTTTTTTCAGTTTAATTTTTAATAAAATTTCTCTAAAAGTATTGAATTATATTCAAGAATTTTAATAAAATTCTTTACATAAGAATTGTATTGAATTATTTTCAAGAATTTTAATAAAATTCTTTACATAAGAATTGAATGAATTTTGATTTTTGAATTGAAAATAATTTTTTATGGCATTTTTTTAAAATTTATTATTCTTTTATTATTTCATTTATAAACATTATTTGTTTTATTTTATCATTTTTAATTATTCTTTGCTAGTAGGTATTTAATTTTGAAGAAATTCAATCATAAACTTTCGTTTGGTTTCATTTGATTCAATTTTATCAAGTATTGCTGCAAATTTTGTAAATTTTAATTTAGCAGATCAAAAATTAAATTGTTCTACCTTTGATTGCTATAAGATTATTTTAATTTATTTACTTAATATTAATTTTATGTTTGTTGTATTTGTTTAATTGAATTTTTTTTTTTTTTTTAATTTATTTTAATTAAGTGTATTACTATTTTTACATAATACAAGTCTATTTATTATTTTAATTAAGTTCTGTCAGGTGTTGTAACAGTTAAATTAAAAAAAAAAAAAAAAAAAAAAAAAAAAAAAAAAAAAATTGGTTCCCTTTAATTCTAATAATTTTTTTTCTTTTCCAGGTTATAGAGTCGAGAAGGACACATTCATATTCCTCAACAATTACGATCTGAACATGTCCGAGGATCTATGGACCAAACCAAATGAATTCATCCCCAACAGATTTGTCCGAAATGGAACTCTCCAAAAACCCGAACATTTTCTCCCATTCGGAGGTGGTCGACGCTCCTGCATGGGCTACAAAATGGTCCTCTATCTCAGTTTCTCAACAATCGCGAGTGTACTGAAAAATTTCACAATCCTCCCAATCGAGAACGAAGACTATAAAGTGCCAATCGGAAATCTTGCCCTACCGGAAAAATCATGGAACTTTAGATTCGTGAGACGATAAAAAAAAAAAAAAAAAAAAAAAAAAAAACACAAGACTTAATTCTTCACTGGGAATGTGAGGATCAGAGCTTAAATTATTATCGCCTACTCGTGATGAGACTTATACTTCACCGTGACATTACTAGTTTATAGCAAAGTGATCGTCATTTTAGGGGAGTTTCAATTTTTTTTCACACATTAACTCTCAAATTTCCTTTTTTTTAAAGAACGAGAGAAAATGAAAAAAAAAAAATTCCACTTTGAAAGAAGAATATTTTTTTTTAATATTCATAAGAGAATTTTTCTAATTAATAAAAAAATTCCATTTGAAAAAAAGAATATTTTTTCTAAATATTCTTAAGAGAATTTTTTTAATGTTCTATTTAAAAAAAACTAGGGGAAAAATGTGTATAAATGAGGAAATGATATTACTTTAGAAAAAAATTGTCTGATAGAGAAAAATATATAAGATTTCTTTTTAATACAAAGAAAAAAAGGGTAGAAAAATAGAAAACAAAGAGAATATGTATAAAAATGTAGTTTAATATTATTTATTATCGAAGTCGCTAGTTTATAAGGAGAAAGAGAAAATCATTCATTGTTCAGTAAATAAAAAAAAAAAAAAAAAAAACATTCCTGATATTAGATTTTATTGACTTGTAGATTTTTATTTGTTATTTAATTATTGTAATTATTGTGATTGTTACTATATTTGTTAATTTATTATTTAAGATATTTTTAATAAAAACCAATTCAATTTTAAATGATTTTGTTGTTTCACTTTTCCCACGTTTCGCAGTCGCCAATTTCTATTAATTTTTTCTAAAATTCAATTATTTTACAAATTTTTAAAACATTTTTTAAATTCAATTATTTTTGCAAAAATAACAAAATTCTTTTCAAAAATTCAATATTATTATGTTCAAGATTTTGAATTTTTGAATACAGAATTCAAAAATTTAAAAAAATTTTTGCCAAACTTCAAATATTTTATAAAACGATTTGAAAAAACTTTTATTTTTAAATTCAATTATTTGTTAATTTAATTTAATTTTTTAAATACGTAATTTCAACAAAATTCAATTATTTTCTGAAAATTTGAATATAATTTTTTTTTGCAAAAAATCAAGTATTATAAAAAATTTTGTTCCAAATTTCAATTATTTTAGAAAAATTTAGAAAAAAATATTTTTAAATTCAATTATTTTCGCATAATATAAATATCAAAAAATTCTTTTCAATAATTAAATTATTTTCGGAAAATTTGTTAAATTCTTCATTAAATTCAATTATTTTTATAATGCAAAAAATTCTTACCAAAAAGTCAATTATTATTAAAAATTTAATAATATTTCTTCCTATGGATTCAATTATATTTAAAAATAAAATTTTTCACAGAAATTCAATTATTTTAAAAATATTTTAATAAAATTCCTTTAAAAAATTCAATTATTTTTATTAATAATAATAAAATGTTTTGCTGAAATTCAATTAATTGAAGATTTTTTTAAAAACTTTCATGTCAATAATTCAATTAATTTATAATTAATTATTTTTATAAATAATAAAATTACTTGTAATAATTCAATTATTTTCGAAAATTTTAATAATATTCTTTCTAATAATGTAATTATTATAACAGATTTTAGTAAATTTTTTTCTAAATTCAATTATATTCTTATATTTTCGAAATTTTTTTTTTATAAATTTAATCATATAATAATTAACAAATAACATAACAAATTATAATTATAAATTCCGAAATGTCATTTTTTCGAATTGTCATTTTTACGAAATGTCATTTTTGCGAATTGTCATTTTTACGAAATGTCATTTTTGCGAATTGACATTTTTACGAATTGTTACTTTTGCGAAAAGTCATTTTTTCGAATTGTCATTTTTGCGAATTGGCGTTTATGCGAACTGCCATTTTTTCGAACCGTCATTTTTACGAAATATCATTTTTGCGAATTGTCGTTTTGACGAATTGTCACTTTTGCGAAAAGTCATTTTTTCGAATTGTCATTTTTACGAAATGTCATTTTTGCGAATTGACATTTTTACGAATTGTCACTTTTGCGAAAAGTCATTTCTTCGAATTGTGATTTTTGCGAACTGCCATTTTTTCGAATTGTCATTTTTACGAAATGTCAATTTTTGTGAAAATTGATTTAGTAAACTTGTATGCATTATATAGATTTACTATAGCAATTTTCGCAAAAATGACAATTCGCAACAGAGACATTTCGCAAAAATGACAGTTCGCATAAATGACAATTCGTAAAAATGGCGATTCACAAAAGTAGCATTTCGTAAAAATGACAATTCGTAAAAATGACAATTCGAAAAAATGTCAGTTCGCATAAATGACAATTCGAAAAAATGACAATTCGCAAAAATGACTTTTCGCAAAAGTGACAATTCGTCAAAACGGCAATTCGCAAATATGCTATTTCGTAAAAATGACGGTTCGAAAAAATGACGTTTCGTTAAAATGACAGTTAGTAAAACTGACAATTCGCAAAAATGACTTTTCGCAAAAGTGACGAATTCGTAAAAATGTCAATTCGCAAAAATGATATTTCGTAAAAATGATGTTTTGTTAAAATGACAATTCGTTATAAAAATGACATTTCGAAAAAATGACATTTCGAAAAAATGACTTTTTGCAAATGTGGCAATTCGTAAAAATGTCGATTCGCAAAAGTGACATTTCGTTAAAATAACATTTCGAATAAATGCAATTCGTTAAAATGACAATTCGAAAAAATGACAATTCGCAAAAATGACTTTTCGCAAAAGTGACAATTCGTCAAAACGGCAATTCGCAAAAATGATATTTCGTAAAAATGATGGTTCGAGAAAATGACGTTTCGTTAAAATGACAGTTCGTAAAACTGACAATTCGTAAAAATGATATTTCTCAAAAATGACTTTTCGCAAATGTGGCAATTCGTAAAAATGGCGATTCGCAAAAGTGACATTTCGTTAAAATAACAGTTCGAATAAATGCAATTCGAAAAAATGACAATTCGCAAAAATGACTTTTCGCAAAAGTGACAATTCGTCAAAACGGCAATTCGCAAAAATGATATTTCGTAAAAATGACGGTTCGAAAAAATGACGTTTCGTTAAAATGACAGTTCGTTAAACTGACAATTCGCAAAAATGATATTTTTCAAAAATGACTTTTCGCAAATGTGGCAATTCGTAAAAATGGCGATTCGCAAAAGTGACATTTCGTTAAAATAACAGTTCGAATAAATGCAATTCGAAAAAATGACAATTCGCAAAAATGACTTTTCGCAAAAGTGACAATTCGTCAAAACGGCAATTCGCAAAAATGATATTTCGTAAAAATGACGTTTCGTTAAAATGACAGTTCGTAAAACTGACAATTTGCAAAAATGATATTTCTCAAAAATGACTTTTCGCAAATGTGTCAATTCGTAAAAATGATATTTCTCAAAAATGACTTTTCGCAAATGTGGCAATTCGTAAAAATGGAGATTCGCAAAAGTGACATTTCGTTAAAATAAAAGTTCGAATAAATGCAATTCGTTAAAATGACATTTGGGGAATAATCATGCGCCTCGCTTAGTGTACATTTCCAAAAATACATGGGTTAGTGTACATTTTTAAAAATGCATAGACAAATTTTGGTATAAAAAGGGCCAGACAATCAACAGCAAGTCAGTCAATTGCTGCATCATTGCTGCAAGTTCAAGACTTTAGGAATAAATAAATAACAAAATATTTTTAAAAATACAACTTTATTGTACAAATTCCAAACTCAACAAATGTATAAAAAAATCAAGAAATGCAATACAGTTAAAACCGAGGTAAAAACTTAACAATAAATTAAAAATAATTCCTTAAGATTACAATCTTCAAGATACCATCTTCTCTTTAACAGTCTCATCGCCAGCAATCATCTTCTTCTTCTTCGCATAAATATCCTCAATTTCCCCCATTGTCTTACCCCTAGTCTCAGGCAAAAAGAAAACAATAAAGAATGTCCCCAACAATGAGACAACAGCGTAGAAGCAAAATATTCCATGCTTGCCCATTATTTTCGACATGTCTGGATACGCCTTGACGGAAACAAAACTAAAAATGTAAGCGATGCATGTTGTGAATCCGGAGAGAACGTCCTTGACCTTGGACGGGTAGAGCTCGCCCACCATGGCGAAAGGCAGGACCAGGAAGCCGAGGGTACTCATGAATATGTACGCAATGAGGCATATCACTGGTAAGAGGTTTTCATCAGAGGCCACGTAACCGCGATCGTGGAGGAACAAGTACAGCGAGAGACTGCCAATCGAGAGGGTCATTCCAGTGCCGGAGAGGATCGACAGTGGTCGACGGCCCACGCGGCGCGACAACCAGGCAACTGAGATCGCACCAATGAGGCGCGTCAAGCCAATTAGAATTGCATTCAGGTGATTGTCGATTTTCACCCCCGAGTCTTTGGAGATTTGCACTGCGTAGTAGACGACGGCGAATATGCCCGAGAATTGTTGGAAGAAGAAGTAGCCGAGGAGAATGAATGAGGGGATGAGGGCGGAGCGACGGAGGATGTGCTTCAGTAGGTTCTTCTTCTTCTTGTGATGCTTCACCTGCAGGAAAAAAAATAGTTAGGCTTCGCATTCATATACTGAAAACCATAGTGTTTACTATTTTTTTTTAAGTTATGCTCATCGTGAGGTGTTAAAATAACAGCTGAATGGATTAAAATAATCTGCAACAGTTGAAAACCCTCTAGGATTAAATTAACACCAGAAAGAAATATCATTTTTACGAATTGTCATTTTTACAAATCGTTATTGTTCCGAAATATCATTTTTACGAATTGTCATTTTTACAAATCGTTATTGTTCCGAAATATCATTCTTACGAATTGTCATTTTTACAAATCGTTATTGTTCCGAAATATCATTTTTACGAATTGTCATTTTTACAAATCGTTATTGTTCCGAAATGTCATTCTTACGAATTGTCATTTTTACAAATCGTTATTGTTCCGAAATATCATTTTTACAAATCGTTATTGTTCCGAAATGTCATTTTTACGAATTGTCATTTTTACAAATCGTTAATTTTTCCGAAATGTCATCTTTACAAATCGTTATTGTTCCGAAATGTCATTTTTACAAATCGTTATTGTTCCGAAATGTCATTTTTACGAATTGTCAGTTTTACAAATCGTTATTGCTCCGAAATGTCATTTTAACGAATTGTCATTTTTACAAATCGTTAATTTTTCCGAAATGTCATTCTTTCGAATTTTCATTAATATGAAATGGGGCGCATGATTATTCCCCAAATGTCATTTTTCCGAAATGTCATTTTGCCGAACTGCACTTTTGCGAATTGTCATTTTTGCGAATCGACATTTTTACGAATTGTCACTTTTGCGAATCGACATTTTTACGAATTGTCACTTTTGCGAATCGACATTTTTACGAAATGTCATTTTTGCGCAAAGCCATTTTTGCGAAAAGTAATTTTTACGAATTGTCGTTTTTGCGAATTGTCATTTTTGCGAAAAGCTATTTTTGCGAAATTTCATTTTTGAGAAATGTCATTTATGCGAATTGTCACTTTTGCTAATCGCCATTTTTACGAATTGTCACTTTTCCGAAAAGTCATTTTTGCGAATTGACATTTTTGCGAAAAATACAATAGTGAATCTATATATACTACAAGTTTACTATTGTATTTTTCGCAAAAATGACAATTCGCAAAAATGACTTTTCGCAAAAGTGACAATTCGCATAAATGACATTTCTCAAAAATGAAATTTCGCAAAAATGACAATTCGCAAAAATAGCTTTTCGCAAAAATGACAATTCGCAAAAACGACAATTCGTAAAAATTACTTTTCGCAAAAATGGCTATTCTCAAAAATGACATTTCGTAAAAATGTCGATTCGCAAAAGTGACAATTCGTAAAAATGGCGATTCGTAAAAATGTCGATTCGGAAAAGTGACAATTCGTAAAAATGGCGATTCGCAAAAATGACAATTCGCAAAAGTGACAATTCGCATAAATGACATTTCTCAAAAATGAAATTTCGCAAAAATGACAATTCGCAAAAATAGCTTTTCGCAAAAATGACAATTCGCAAAAACGACAATTCGTAAAAATTACTTTTCGCAAAAATGGCTATTCTCAAAAATGACATTTCGTAAAAATGTCGATTCGCAAAAGTGACAATTCGTAAAAATGGCGATTCGTAAAAATGTCGATTCGGAAAAGTGACAATTCGTAAAAATGGCGATTCGCAAAAATGAAAATTCGTAAAAATGACTTCGCAAAAAATACTATTCGCAAAAATGGCTTTTCGCAAAAATGACTATTCGTGAAAATGACATTTCGCAAAAATGACTATTCGCAAAAGTGCAGTTCGGTAAAATGACATTTCGGAAAAATGACATTTGGGGAATAATCATGCGTCCCATATGAAATGTCACTTTTGCGAAAAGCCATTTTTACGAATTGTCATTTATGCGAACTGACATTTTTTCGAATTGTCATTTTTACGAAATGTCACTGTTACGAATTGTCAGTTTTACGAATATTGCTATAGTAAATCTATAATATGCATACACAAGTTTACTATAGAAATTTTCGCAAAAATAACAATTTGCAATAGTGACATTTCGTAAAAATAACAATTCGCAAAAATGACAATTCAAAAAAAATGACTTCGCAAAAGTGACAATTCGTAAAAATGTCGATTCGCAAAAATGCAAATTCGTAACAGTGACATTTCGTAAAAATGACATTTCGGAACAATAACTATTTTTTTAAAATGACAATTCGCAAACATCACTATTCGCAAAAATGGCGATTCGCAAAAGTGACATTTCGTAAAAATGACAATTGGAAAAAATGACATTTCGGAAAAAGAACAATTCGTAAAAATGACAATTCGTAAAAATGATATTTCGCAAAAGTGGCAATTCGTAAAAATGAAGATTCGCAAAAATGACATTTCGTTAAAGTAACAGCTCGGATAAATGCAATTCGATACCTTTCTTCATGTTTTATATAATAATTAAAACTTGCTACTTTGTTACTCCAACTTCTAAAATTCTTCTTTAAGTCAATTTTTTTTAATAATTTTTGAAATAGTTCTTTGTGAATTTTCAATTTCTTTTGTTTACAATTCAATTTTACCTAAATTTTCGATTATTTTGGCATTTTTCAATAAAATAAATTAGAAATTAAAAACTTTAAATAATTTAAAAAAAAAATCCATTAAACTTTATTGAGAAAAATTAATTCTATATAGAATTCTTAATGAAAAAAAATGAAAAGTTGAAATTTTCAATGATTTTAATTTGAAATTCATTTTTTCAAATCAATATTTATTAGAAAAATTCTACGAGATTTCAATTATTCAACTATAATTTAAATAAATATTTTATTAAACAAATTGAATGTTTCTTAAAATTGAATTTTCATATAAAGAATTTTATCAACAAATTATTAAATAATTTGAATTCTCTTGACAAATTTTATTAACATTTTTGAAAATAATTGAATTTCGGAGAAAAATTTTATTATTTATAGGGTATATAAAGATAATTGAAATTTTTGACAAGAATTTTTGTAAATTTTTAAACATTATTAGATTTCTGCGAAGAATTTTACTATTTTTAAAGATAATTAAATTCTTGTCAAGAATGTTATATTAAAATTTGAAAATAATTGAAAATAATTTCATTAATATTTTTGAAAATAATTGAATTGCAGCAAAAAAATTTTGTTCTTTCTTAAGATAATTGAATCCTTGCGAAGAATATTATTAAAGTTTTTAAAAATAATTGAATTCCTGAAAAGAATTTTGCTATTTATAAAGATAATTGAATTCTTATTAAAAGACTTTCGTAAAAATAATTGAATTTATAGGAAGAATTTTCTTATTTACCAAAATAATTGAATTTTTAAGAAGAATTTTACTACATTTTTTTTAAATAATTGAAATCCTGTTAAGAATTTCATTATTTACGAAAGTAATTGAATTTTTGAAAAATTTTTTGAAAATAATTGAATTTTTGAGAAGAATTTTATTAAAATTTTTTAAATAATTGAATTTATGGGAAGAATTTTATTATTAACAAAAATAATTGAATTTTTTAGAAGAATTTTACTAAAATGCAATTATATTAGTGCAATTATATTTTACCTCGAATTCAGCAGCATCTTCGTCAGGAAGTGGCAATTCTTGAGGAACACCACGAAATTTCTTCAATATTCTCTCGGCTTCTGCTATTTTGCCCCTTTCACGAAGCCACACTGGCGACTCGGGCATAAATATTGCCGTCAAAACTAGAGAAACGAGGGGAAATATCGAACAAAGTAGTGCTACCATTCGCCAATTTTCCTAAAAAGAAAGAAAACTCGTTAAACAACTTAAAAATGCGACGATATTGCCTATTTTTATAATTATAATTTTTTAAAAATATTTTCTCATTTAGTATCAGAAGAAAATAGAAAGAAGTAAAGAAAGTAGTAAAATGAAAGTTGTGAAGAAAGAAGCTGAAAAAACTGAAGAAATAAGTACTAAAGAAAAGAGCTAAAAGTGGTGAAGAAAGAAGCAAAAACTAAAGAAGAAAAGAACTTAAAAAAAACTGAAGAAAGAAGTATTGAAGAAATGAGGTAAAAGTAGTGAAGAAAGAAGCAAAAACTAGTGAAGAAAAGAACAGAAATTAGTGAAGAAAGAAACAGACAAAAGGGAAGCAATAATTTTTTGAAGACAGTGAAGAAAGGAGTAGAAAGTAGTGAAGAAAGGTGCAAAAACAAGTGAAGAAATAATAAAAGAAGGGAATGAAGAAAAAACAGAAATTACTGAAGAAAGGTGCAAAAACAAGTGAAGAAATAATAAAAGAAGGGAATGAAGAAAAAAACAAAAATTACTGAAGAAAGGTGCAGAAAGTAGTGAAGAAATAATCCAAGAAGGAAGTGAAGAAAGGTGCAGGAAAAAGTGAAGAAATGAATAATGATCGAAGAAGGGAGTGAAAAAAATAGTAAGTAGTGAAGAAAGGTCCAGAAAGTAGTGAAGAAATAATCAAAGAAGAAAGTGAAGAAAAAAAAAATTAGTGAAGAAAGGTGCAGAAACAAGTGAAGAAATAACAGAAGAAGGGAGTGAAGAAAAGAACAGAAATTACTAAAGAAAGAAACATAAAGCAGTGAAGGGATTATTGTTTAGAAGGCAGTGAAGAAATAAGTAGAAAATAGTGAAGAAAGGTACAAAATAAAGTGAAGAAATAATTAAAGAAGGGAGTGAAGAAAGATGTAAAAAAAAGTTGAAGAAATTATCAAAGAAGGGAGTGAAGAAAAGAACAGAAAATAGTGAAGAAAAAACAGAAAGCAGTAATGAAGAAAGAAGCAAAAAACATTAGAGAACAAAATCCAAGTACCGGAAATATAAATCCGAAAATATAGACTATAAGAACGCCGGTGGCAATCGCGATGCTCGTCCACGTGACAACGGTGCTTCGCCATTTCGCCGACGACACTTCCGCAGCGTAGACTGTCGTTGGCACTGTCGCCAATCCAGTAGCGACACCTGATATAATTCGACCAATAATTATCTGCTCAATATTCGCCGAAAGATATATCGTTAGCCATCCGACTATAGACACTGCCGATATAATTAAAAGTGACGTTTTCCTTCCCCTTCGCATAGCAAAACTTGTAATCATACATCCAAATGGAATCGCTATTGCAGCAGCGCTCGCTGTAAATTAAATTTAATATTAAAAATTAAATTATTAAATTAAACTAATAAATTAAAAAAAAACTTATTAAACTATTAACGTTTAATGAAATAAAAAGTAAACAATTTTAATTATTTTTCGCAGAATTTTAAAAAATAATTGATATACCAATCCAGGAAGCTTGATTCTCATCAATATGAAATTCGCTGTTCGGCGATTGGAGTGGGGGAAGGGCTACTGCGCTGTAACCAAAACCCATTGACGGTCCCATAACGGACAAATTCGCCAAAGCGCACATCTGCAACTGTTAAAATCGGAAAAATTAACATTTGAAGCAAAAATTTATTTTCATTTTCGAATATAACACTGTTTTGTTAAAGTGATCTTATACTTCAAAAAATTATAAATTACATTTAAGATTGCGAGTGTCACATACATAATTGTATAATTTATATATAACATAATAAGTAGTAAGTAGTGAAGAAAGGTGCATAAAGTAGTGAAGATATTATCGAAGAAGGCAGTGAAGAAAGGAGAAGAAAGTGGTGAAGAAAGGTGCAGAAAGTAGTGAAGAAATAAACCAAGAAGGTAGTGAAGAAAGGTGCAGAAAAAAGTGAAGAAATTATTAAAGATTGGAGTGAAGAAAGGTGCCGAAATTAGTGAAGAAATAATCCACGAAGATAGTGAAGAAAGGTACAGAAAGTAGTAAAGAAATAATCCAAGTAGATAGTGAAGAAAGGTAAAGAAAGTAGTAAAGAAATAATCCAAGAAGATAGTGAAGAACGGTGCAGAAAATAATAAAGAAATTATCAAATATAGGAGTGAAGAAATAATCCAAGAAGGTAGTGAAGAAAGGATCGAAAAAGGGAGTGAAGAAAGGAACAGAAATTAGTGAAGAAAGGTGCAGAAAATAATAAAGAAATTATCAAATATAGGAGTGAAGAAAGTAGTGAAGAAATAATTCAAGAAGGTAGTGAAGAAAGAAATAAAAATTTGTGAAGAAAGGTGCAGAAAGTAGTGAAGAAATAATTCAAGAAGGTAGTGAAGAAAGAAATAAAAATTTGTGAAGAAAGGTGCAGAAAGTAGTGAAGAAATAATTCACGATATGATCTATATTACAACATAATTATTAGTAAGTAGTGAAGAAAGGTGCAGAAAGTAGTGAAGAAATTATCAAAGATGAGAGTGAAGAAAGGTACAGAAAATAGTAAAGAAATATTCCCAGAAGATAGTGAAGAAAGGTGAAGAAAAAAGTGAAGAAAGGAACAGAAAGTAGTAAAGAAATAATCCAAGAAGATAGTGAAGAAAGGTGCAGAAAAAAGTGAAGAAAGGATCGAAAAAAGGAGTGAAGAAAGAAACAGAAATTAGTGAAGAAAGGTGCAGAAAATAATAAAGAAATTATCAAAGATGGGAGTGAAGAAAGTAGTGAAGAAATAATCCAAGACGTAGTGAAGAAAGGTGCAACAAAATGAAGAAAGGATCGAAAAAGAAAGTGAAGAAAGGAACAGAAATTAGTGAAGACAGGTGCAGAAAATAATATAGAAATTATCAAAGATGGGAGTGAAGAAAAGTGCAGAACTTAGTGAAGAAAGATACAGAATGTAGTGAAGAAATAATCCAAGAAGATAGTGAAGAAAGGTGCAGGAAAAAGTGAAGAAATAAATAATGATCGAAGAAGGGAGTGTTAAAAATAGTAAGTAGTGAAGAAAGGTGCAGAAAGTAGTGAAGAAATAATCAAAGAAGAAAGTGAAGAAAGGAACTAAAATTAGTGAAGAAAGGTGCAAAAACAAGTGAAGAAATAATAAAAGAAGAGAATGAAGAAAAAAACCGAAATTACTGAAGAAAGATGCAGAAAGTAGTGAAGAAATAATCCAAGAAGGAAGTGAAGAAAGGTGCAGGAAAAAGTGAAGAAATGAATAATGATCGAAGAAGGGAGTGAAAAAAATAGTAAGTAGTGAAGAAAGGTGCAGAAAGTAGTGAAGAAATAATCAAAGAAGGGAGTGAAGAAAGGTACAGAAAGTAGTAAAGAAATATGCCAAGAAGATAGTGAAGAAAGGTGCAGAAAAAAGTGAAGAAAGGATCGAAAAAGGGAGTGAAAAAAGGAACAGAAATTAGTGAAGAAAGATGCAGAAAGTAGTGAAGAAATAATTAACGATATGTTCTATATTATAACATAATTAGTAGGAAGTAGTGAAGAAAGGTGCAGAAAGTAATAAAGAAATTATCAAAGAAGGGAGTGAAAAAGGAGTAAAAAATGTTGAAGAAAGGTGCAGAAAGTAGTGAAGAAATAATCCAAGAAGCTAGTGAAGAAAGGTGCATAAAAAAGTGAAGAAAGGATCGTAAAAAGCAGTGAAGAAAGCAACAAAAATTAGTAAAGAAAGGTGCAGAAAGTAGTAAGAAATAATCAAAGAAGAGATTGAAGAAAGGTACAGAAAAACGTGAAGAAATTATAGAAGAAGGAAGTGAAGAAAAGACCAAAAATCAGTGAAGAAAGAAACAGAAAGTAATGAAGAAAGAAGCAAAAAACATTAGAGAACAAAATCCATAGTAAAGTAAATATCAATAAAGTAAAAATTAAGTAACTAGTAAATATCAATATACTAAATATTAATATAGTAAAATTTAATAAATACTAAATATTAATATAGTAAAATTTAATAAATACTAAATATTATTATAGTAAAAATTAATAAATAGTGAATACCAAGATAGTAACTTTATCAATATACAAAATATTAATATATTAAAATTTAATAAATAGTAAATATTAATATAGTAATTATTAATAGTAGCAAAAAAATGAATAAATAGTAAATATCAAGATAGCAAATAATAAGTATAGTATATATAGAAAAGTGTCAATGACACCCTCTCTCTTTACGCGCATTCGCATCTACAATCACTCTCTGAATCAGTTATGTCATCTCTCGTATGTTTCATTTTAATTGATAATAAATATTATAAATTCAAAGAGAGCAGCACACTTTTAATAATCTGAAATACATAAATTTAAATATTGCTTTGGCGGTGAGACTGAATTTAATTACAAGATTTTTAATTGATAACCTATTGTCACACATTTGCATGTATATCGCGCATACACATTTATGGGTAATTAAAGAACATTAAAACGCTTCTTTTTTTTATCAAACTGAATTTGATTAAAGAGTTTACCGACAATCTAAGTTAGAGAGAACATGTGTCTTTGATAAAGTCAAACAAACAAATTGATGCGGCAATAAATTTCAAATTGTCTTATAAACGCGAGACAGAGAGAGGGAAAAAATTGTCCCTTTTTTTCTTTTTTGATTTTACAGGGCAATTTTAAATTATGAATAAGGATAAAGTGTATAATAGTGAAAAATGTATTTTATAACTGTTAACATTAAAATTAATTAAATGCAATAAGTGTTTTATTAATTAATTTAATGTAATAAATTTAATTAATTCATTAATTAATAGTAAGTAACTTAATTAATTAATTAAAAGTAAGCAATTAATTAAATAATTAAAATTAAGAAATTTAATTAATTAAAAGTTAGTAATTTAATTAATTAATTAAAGTAATTAACATAATTAATTAATTAATTAATAGTAAGCAATTTAAATAATTAAAAGTAAGCAACATAATTAATTAAATGTCATTAATTCAAATAATTAATTGAATGTAATTAATTTAATTAATTGATTAATTAATTAATAGTAAGCAACTTAATTAATTAATTGAAAGTAACTTAATTAATTAAAAATATGCAACATAATTAATTAATTACATGTCATTAATTTAAATCATTAATTGAATGCAATTAAATTTCTTAGAATAGGTAAAAAATGATAAATAATTACCTGATAAAATGTTCCTTTACCTTTCGATTGTCTCCTGATATCGAGATTAGATTTCATCTGTGAAAATAATAATAATATTAACACAAATCGTTAGGTTTTAATAATAAAAAAAATATTTTACATTCCTTGTACTTCAATAAAAAGAAAAATTAAATTTTTGACTCAAGATTTTTAAATTTATTAAAATACAAACATTTTTAAAAAAATAAATACGTTAACAAGGAAAATAATTAAAAATATAAACAATTACTTTTTGAATTATTTTCTTATGATATAGTAAAAAAAAAACTTGTTTGTATTAAAAAATAATTAAAAAAATTACTTTTTAAAAATGATGTTAAAAAACAATTTTAAAAATTATTATTTATAAAAAATAATTTTACAATGATGTTAAAAAATAATTTTAAAAATAATTTTTAAAAATGATGTTTTAAAAATAATTGTCAAATATAATTTTAAACATTATATTTGAAAATAGTTTTTAAAAATGATATTATAAAATTACTTTAAAAAATGATGTTTTGAAAAATAAAATATTGAAAATTTTTCTTACAAAGAATTTAAAAAGTCATTTTTAAAAATAGTGTTAAATAATAATTATGTTAAAAAAACAATTTTAAAAATAATTTAAAAATTATGTTTCAAAAATAATTTAAAAATAATTTTAAAATAATTTAAAAAATCATTTTTTCAAAATGACGTTGAAACCTACTTTTAAAACTGATTTACAAAAATAATTTTTAAAACCACTTTTAAAAATGATGTTATAAAAAATAACTTAAGAATAATATTAAAAAACAATTTTAAATATTACGTATTATTTTTTCAAACTTTTTTTTAAAATTAATTTTTAAAAAAGGTGTTAAAAAAATTATTTTAAAAAAATATAAATAAAAAATTATTTTTTGTTAAAAATTAAAAAAAAACATCTCGCCTACCTTGACCTCTTTGGATTCCATCATTTCATTCATATGAAAATACAAGATCCCTTCACTGTTTTCAATCACAAGAAAACTTTCACTTACAATTAACACTAAATTTTCCAAAAAAGATCAATTTTCAAATTTTTAATTACATTTCGCATTGAAAACAAAAATGTGGAACAACAACAAAAAAAAAGCAACTAAAAGTCCTCGAGGAAAAAAATTTTTAGGCTAATTTAACAAAATGTTAAAGTTCATACAAACTAAGCAGCTTTCAATCTTAAATCAAATTCGCAAATTTTGTTTTATTTCTTTTACTTTACGCCTCTAATCAAATATCAATTTATTATTAAATTAAAAATTCTAAATTATGAGTAAATTTTCAAAAGTGGAAAAAAATTCGAAATATTTCTGTTCGATTATCAAATTTTGTAGAAGAAAAAAACTTTTTGGAAATTTTGAAGAAACTGAGTGGCACTAATTTTTATAAAATTGTCTGAATATGAAGTTGGTTCGATTCGTAAGTAATAGGAAATAATTTTTTTTTCAATCAGATCTTATTATAATCAAAATAACGCGTTTCTTTAAAATTTCAGAAGAGTTTCTTCTGTCGAGTCTCGTTATCGACTGAATGGACGAATGATTTTCTCCCTCTCATCAACAGGGATTTGAAATCCTATAAGCAGACACTTCTTTCATGAAAGTCTGGATCATTGCATTTATAATATATCGTCTCATATTTCTCGTCATTGAAATTTTTTTTTTTTAATATATATATATATATATCTCAATTTTTGTACCAATTTGTAACTTGTACTTGAAAAAATTTCGTAAATTCCCCTCCGATGTCTGTGTGGCTCATGTTCGCGAAAGGGAAAATTTTTAAAACTGTCAAAATGTAGTTTGTTCAATTTAAAAAAAAAAATTTTCAATTTAAAAAATTTATTGTCAATTTTTTTAATTTAAAAAAAAATTTTTTAATTTAAAAAAAAAAATTTTAATTTAAAAAATAGTTATTTTTTATTTTAAATAACAATTCTTTATTTTATAATGAATAACAATTCTTCTTTTTTATAATAAATAACAATTCTTTTCTTTTATAATAAATAACAAGTATTAATAAAAATAAATAAATAATATTTAGTTATTTTTATTTTTTAACTCTTGTATTATTTATTATTTTATTATATTTATATTTTACTATTATTTTTATATTTTTTTATTTCATTATTTAACAATTTTTTTCTTCTACTGTTCATAAATCTTACTTTTACTTTGTTTAACAAAAAAAAATTCTAGTTTCCTTACAAGTTGGCGATGTTTTTAAATTAATTATTATATTAATTAATAATTTTTTTTCTTCTACTGTCCATAAAACTAAACTTTTATTTTCTTCTACGAAAGAAATTTTTAGTTCTCGACCAAATTGTCAATCAATATTAAAAAAAAATTATTGTATTAAATAATAATTTTTATTCTGTCCCTAAAAATTATTTTTACTTTTGTTTATTGTAAAAACTATACAAAAAAATTGTTTTCTAATTGTTCTCGACAATTTAAAATTAATTAATTTTTTTTCTTTAATTAATTAATTTTTTTTCTAATTGTTGTCTATGTAACAACATTTTTTCTTCTACTGTCCATAAAAAATACTTTTACTTTGTTCTACAAAAAAAAATTTTTGATTCCCGACAAAGTTGTCAATTTATATTAAATTAATTATCATATTAATTAGCAATTTAATTATTTATTATTATTATTGTTGTTATTATTATTATTATTATTTTAATTATTTATTATTATTATTTTGATTTATTATTATATTATATTATAAATTATTTTAAAAAATACTAATACTATTTTTATTTTTCATTTATTTATTTATTCAACAAAAAATTATTATTAATAAAATATTATTAGTTCAAGTATTATTAATAGATTATTCATAACTATAAATAATTTAAATATTAAAACAATAAAAAATCGATTTTTTCCTAAACTTCGATTTTTTTTCTCCAATTCAAGAGATAATGAATTTACATTGTTTTGTACAATTAAACAATTCACAGGAAAACGTTAAAATCAAGGTTGTGACTATCTAATTCCGCAAAATAGAATCATATTCACATTGTTTGGTTATCTATTTTTATCAATTGCAACAGATGCTTCTTCAAAAGATTTACAATTAATAATATACTTTACTACCGGTTTCTTAATAATAATCCGATTATAATTTTTTTTTCTCTCTTCAACTACAACAATAAGTATATTATACAATAATATACTTATCGTCGTAGTTAAAGAGAAAAAAATTTATATATAAAAAAAAATACATATAATTTGTTCTCAAAAAAAAGAAAAGTTCAAGAATCTTTAAAATTAATATTACTGTGACGGAAATAAATAAAATGATTCACGGAAGAATTTTAAAATGCACGTGCGATAGTGCAGAGTTAAAAAAAAATTGTAAGTCGCTTAATAAAGATTACATATGGCGAATGTAATATAAAAATCATGTGCAGAATTATAAAATTAAATTCTAAACAAAGAGGGTATTATCTTTTTGAGAATTAAAAATTGAGTTCGGTATATCTAGGCTTCTTTTTTTTATCTTTCATCTTTTTTTATATATATTACAAAAAATGGAGCAAAAGAATGAAAAAAAAAATATTTATATATAAAAAAAATATTTTACTGAAAAAATTTTTTTGTTCAAATTATTTCAAAAATCCATTTCAATTTCATTCAAAATTATAAAAAAAAAATCTATAATAAGAACAATGATAATAATAATAAAAATAATAATTATATTCAAATTATTAAAAATAATATTATAGTTCATTATCGTTTCCTATAAATAAATTTATATTTTTATAATTATTTAATTTTAATTATTTTAATTAATTTTTATTTATTTATTTAATTTTCTTTAGATTATAAGATTTCTCTTGTTAAGGACTTTTTTCGTCCGTCCAAATTTTAAATAAATATTATATAATTATAATTATATAAATATAATAAATATAATAATAATTTTAATAATAATAAATAAATTATAATATAATATAATATATTATATAATTATAATTAATTACAATGTTTAAAATAATATAATTATAATAAAAAAATTTTTTTAAATAAAATAAATAAATAAATAAATACAAAAAATAAAAATTCAGAATTGTAATTATAATAATTATGAATATTCAGATTTATAATTATAATAATGTAGGTATTATAATAATACATATAATAATTTGAAGAATTATTTTCAAAATTGATTTTCAAAAATAATTTTAAAAACATTTAAAAAAATAATGTCAAAAAGAATAATTTGAAAATTATGTTAAAAAACAATTTCAAAAATGATAAAAAAACTTATTTATTTAATGGTGTTAAAAAAATTTTTTTTTAAAATATTAATACTTTTTTTTAGTTCTCGACCAATTTAGTTTTTATTTTGATTTATTATATTTCATTTATTGTACATTTATTATATACTTAATTTTTTTCATCAGATAATTTATTATTATTATTAAATTAAATTATTAAATTAAATATTGTAATTAAATTTCATTCATTACAATAATTATCAATTTAAATATTTAATTACATAATGCATTAAATTTATAATTATTTATCAATTATTTTTAAAGTAGAGAAAAAATTCTGAAACTTTTATTATTTGAAAATAATGAAGAATGCACATAAACTTTGTATGCGATAGCAAAATATTTGTTTGTTTTATAATAATATAATTATTATTATTTATGTGATAAAAAAGGAAAAATATGTAAAATTATTATAAATCGAATAGTGTTTATTTTTATAACAAGGTCTTTTCTTCAATTGTGAAGATATTTTGTAATCATTGAATCATTGATATCTTAAAACAAAGACGTAATTATAAATTTTATCTACATACCAAACATATATTATATATATATGCATATAATATTTGAAGGTTATTAGCACTTTTTTTCTGTTAATTTGTTATTTTGCAACAATGTGAAATAGAAATTTTTATAAATGAATTCAATTTTAATTTTCGCAAGCTTTCCAAGTAGGGACGAGAAAAAAAATTCTTATTTATAAATTTCCGAAATTTAAGACAACGAACTTTGTAAATCATTTTCAAAAATCGTGATTAAAATTATTTAATTAAAATTATTTTACTATTCAATTTATTTCAAATTAATGCACTTGGAAAAAATTGATTTTCAAGTATTTTTCTCAAAAGTTTAAATTTAAAAAAATGAAAATTTAATTATTTTTAAAAAAAATTTTTTTAGGTCATGTTTATGTTTATTTGACAATATTAACATTAATAATTTTTCCTTCTACTGTCCATGAAATATATTTTTACTCTTTATTTTGCAACTCATTTTTATTTATATTTTAATTCAAAGAGCAAATTACTTCACATTAGGAAATAAAAAATATTTGCTTATTTATTTATTTTTAGGGGCAGAACCAAAATGATGCCTTTATTTTAAAAATTACATTCCTCTTTTTAAAAAAAAATCAAATTATTCTTTATTTGAAGAGTTTAATGAATTTTAAAAATTGAATTTGTAATTCGAAAATTAAATTATTTTAAAAATTTATTTAGGTGATTTTTATGTTTATTTAACAATATTAAAAAATACTTTTTCTTCTACTGTCCATAGAAGTTACTTTTACGATTTATTTTACACCTCATTTTTATTTATTTCGAAAATCTAATTAATTTTTACTTCGAAAATTAAATTATTTATTTATTTACAAGAGCATAACCGAAATAATGCCTACTTTTTATTTTAATAATTAAATTACTCTTTATGTCAATAATTAAATTTTTATTTCAAAATATAAATTACTCTTTGTATTAAAAATTAAATTACTCTTTATTTCAAAAATTTAAGTACTTTTCATTTTAAAAATCGAATTTTTATTCCGGAAATTAAATTACTTTTTATTTTAATAAATTAATTACTCTTTATTTCAAGAATTGAATTTTTATTTTGAAATTTAAATTACTCTTTCTTTTAGAAATTAAATTTCTTTTTTAGAAATTAAATTTCTTTTTTAAAAATTAAATTACTCTTTACTTTTAAAATAAAATTACTCTTTATTCCAAAAATTAAAAATTTATTTTCAAATTTATATTATTTTTTACCTCAAAAATTTTATTTGTTTTTAAATTTATATTGCTTTTTATTTAAAAGATTTCATGTGTTTTTAAATTTATTTATTATTTTTTTAATTCAAAAATTTAATTTGTTTTTCTTATTTTTAAAATGAAATTATTTATTTAGTTATACAAGGGCAAATTCAAAATAATATCCTTTTTAATTTTAAAAATGAAACTTCCTAATTTTTATTTTAATAATTAAATTACTTTTTACTTCAAGAAATTAAATTACATTTTACCTCAGAAATAAAAATTTCCTTTTATTTCGAAAATTAAAATAACTTCTTACTTCGATGTATAGTATCCAGTAGAATTCTTTCGTAAATTCATTTTCAGTGAACGAATTTTTCTTCTTCATTTTCTTCATGTCAGAAGAATGTTAATTACAAACGAAATTTTTAAAATTTTATTTTCTATACTCACTTAATCGCTGATTACCTCAATAAACCAATATCAGCCGGACTACTTTTTCCTTCGCATCCTCACTTCAGTCCGCGATCTGAAAAAAATTAGGAAGCATTCATTAATTATTGTGTAGAAAAAAAAATCATTTTTAATTTTTTTATACTATTTTTATTTATATATTTAATATTTATTTTTGTTTATTTTTTATATTCTATCCATTTTATTTATTTAAAAATTTTATTTTATTTAAAATTTTATTTCATTTAAAATTTTATTTCATTTTTTTTACTTGTTTTTTATAAAATGAAAATTTATCGTAAATATATAAATAAAAATATTTATAAACAAAAAATATGATTTTAAAATAAAATTTCTGAAGTTTATTTTAAGACCATATCAATATCTAGAAATAAATTTTTCCCCCTCATAATTTCTGCTAATTCCTAAACTCTTGGAAATTGGGAAATAGTTCGAAATCAACATCTTTAAAATATTGTTTTTCACAATATTATAATATTTGTCAGCACTGGCGGATCTAAGCGGATTTTCTTATGTAGAAAGAGAGAAGGGGAGATTCGATCCAGCGATATCTGTGTGATAATTAATATATATCTATATATATAAATGTAAATTATCTTAAATTCTGATATAAAGCAAAATATACGTTCAAATCTGGTGGTTTTTTTTCTCTCTTTAAACATATTTAAACAATAGAAAGTTAAAATATTTCAAAATAGTAATTATAATTTTTCTGTATTTATGAATGTTGAAAAATGTAAATATACATTAAGGAAGGAAATGTTTTGTTTGTTAAAATTATTATAGTGCACATTAAGTAAAGTGATTGTGAACAATATATATATCTATACAAATGCATAATGACGTGTACATGTACAATCCAATTTGAAAGAGCAAATTACGTATTTACGATATAACATAAAACCTGTCTTCCATAAAAGTCTGTTCAGAAGTATAGTTTTTCATTACAAGAGTCTGTGATTTTTAGAAGTAAATAAGAAAAATTTATTTTTTCCTTCCACTATTAATTTAACCTACTGTGTGTTTAGAAGAAGGTATACAAAAAAAATGGTTCTACAATGTTTATCAAATTGTATCAAACGAGAAACGGCATTTCAGGTAATTAAAAGAATTATATTGATTTGGATTATTTTTTCTTTTCGAGGTAATATTAAAAAAATAATTTACGAGAATTTTTCCTTATTTGAAAAATGTAACATTTTCTCTATTATATAATATTGTTGAGAAATATTTTTTATTTTGTAAATAAATAAATAAACAAAATAAATAAATAAATAAATAAATAAATAAATAAATAAATAAATAAATAAAATAAACAAGTAGAAAAACAAAAAAGTAAATAAGAAATAGAAAACAAATAAATAAACTTTTAAGTAAATAAAAAGGTAAAAAATTAAGTAAATAAAAAAGTAAAAAATTTAGTAAATAAAAAAGTGAAAAATTTAGTAAAAAAAAAGGAAAAAGTTAAATAAATAAACAAATATAAAATTAACAAATAAATAAAAAAATTAAATAAACAAATAAAAAAATTAAGTAAACAAGTAAATAAACAAATAAGTAAATAAGAAGTAGGAAAGAAACAAATAAATAAACTTTTAAGTAAATAAAAAAGTAACAAATTAAATAAATATATACAAATAGAAAACTAACAAACAAATAAAAAAAGTGAGTAAACAAGTAAATAAATAAATAACTTAATAAGTAGGAAAGAAACAAATAAATAAAACATTTAAGTAAATAAAAGAAAGAAAAAATTTACATAAATAAAATTTGAAAAAAATTTTTTAATAAAATTCTAAGTAAGAATTTAATTATTTTCATAAATAAAATAAAACTCATCGAAAAATTTCAATTATTTTTTTAATACTATTTTAAATTAATTAATTGAAAAATACAATTATTTTCACAAATAAAAGTTTTCCACAAGAATTCCAACTATTTTAAAATAAAATTTTCAGAATATTTATTATTATTTCGAAAAAATTAATTATTTAAAACAATGTTTTTATAAAATTCTCATGAAGAATTCAATCATTTTCAAAAATAACTGAATTCTTCACAGAAATGCAATTCTTATTAAATATTTTAATAAAATTTTTCGCAATTATTGTTATTTACGTATAAATAATTCTTCGAAAGAATTCAATTATTATTGTCGATAAATAACAAAATTATTCCCGGATATTCAATTTTATTTTGAAGCATTTTAATACAATTTTTTGCAATATTCAAATTATTTTCATATAAATAACAATATTTATCACAAGAATTCAATTATTTTTAAAAGAAATAAATTTCTTCTTGAAAATTCAATTATTTTTAAAAATTCTAATAAAATCGTTCGCAACAATTCAATTAGTTTTAAAAATAACCAAATTTTTCACAGAAATTCAATTCTTTGAAAACATTTGAATAAAATTTTTCGAAAAAAATCAATTATTTTAAATACAATTTTAATTAATTTTTTTTTGTTGTTGAAATAATTCAAATTGCAACGAATTCAATTATTTACATAAATAATTCTTCGAAAGAATTCAATTATTAAAGATAAATAAAATTATTCCCGAAAATTCAATTATTTCGAGGCATTTTAATAAAATTCTTTGCATTACTCAATTATTTTCATAAATAACAAAATTCATCACAAGAATTCAATTATTTTTAAAAGTAGGTATAATAAATTTCTTCTTGAAAATTCAATTATTTTTAAAAATTCTAATAAAATCTTTCGCTAGAATTCAATTACTTTCAAAAATAACAAAATTTTTCCTAGATATTCAATTCTTTTTTTTTTAAATTTTAATAAAATATTTCGCAATAATTCAATTATTTTCCAAAATAATAAAATTCATCGCAGGATTTCAATTATTTTTAATACCATTTCATAGGAATTGCTAAAAAAAATTCAATTATTTACAAAAATATTAGAATTTTTCACAGGAATACAATTATTTTCAAATATTTTAATAAAGTTGTTCGAAAGAAATAAATTATTTTAAATACAATTTTAATTAAACTATTTTAAAAATAATTTAATAATTCTTTAAGATTTTAATAAAATTCTTCCTAAGAATTCAATTATTTACATAAATAATTCAATTATGTCGATAAATAAGGAAAATATTCCCGAAAATTCAATTATTTTGAGGCATTTTAATAAAATTCTTCGTAAAATTCAATTATTTTCATAAATAACAATATTCATCACAAAAATTGAATTCTTGCGAACGATTATATTAGAATTTTTTAGATAATTGAATTTTTTAGAAGGCTTTTCATTACTTTTAAAAATAATTGAATTTTTGTGATGAATATTGTTATTTATAAAAATAATTGAATTTTGCAAAGCATTTTTTAAAATAATTGAATTTCAAAGACGAAATTTATTACTTTTAAAAATAATTGAATTCTTGTGATGATTATTGTAATTTATAAAAATAATTGAAATTTACAAAGAATTTGTAAAAATAATTAAATTTTTAAGACGAAATTTATTACTTTTAAAAATAATTGAATTCTTGTGATGATTATTGTAATTTATAAAAATAATTGAAATTTACAAAGAATTTGTAAAAATAATTAAATTTTTAAGACGAAATTTATTACTTTTAAAAATATTTCACTAGAATTCAATTATTTTTAAAAGTAATAAATTTCGTCTCTGAAATTCAATTATTTTAATAAAATTCTTCGTAAAATTCAATTATTTTTATAAATAACAATATTCATCACAAAAATTCAATTATTTTTAAAAGTAATGAAAAGCCTTCTTAAAAATTCAATTATTTAAAAAAATTCTAATAAAATCGTTCGCAAGAATTCAATTATTTTCAAAAATAACAAAATTATTCCCGAAAATTCAATTATTTCGAGGCATTTTAATCAAATTCTTTACAAAATTCAATTATTTTCATATAAATAACAATATTCATTACAAGAATTCAATTATTTTTAAAATTAATCAATTTCTTCTAAGAAATTCAATTATTTTTAAAATAAATAAATTTCATCTCAAAAATTCAATTATTTTTAAAATTAATAAATTTCTTCTCGGAAATTCAATTATTTTAAAAATTCTAATAAAATCGTTCTCTAGAATTCAATTACTTTAAAAAATAACAAAATTTGTCCCAAAAATTCAATTCTTTTGAAAAATTTAAATAAAATTTTTCAAACTAATTCAATTAATTTCAAAAATAATAAAATTCATCGCAGGATTTCAATTATTTTTAATACAATTTTATAGGAATTGCTAAAAAATATAATTATTCTTAAAAATTTAATTTCAATTTTTCGAAAAAGCAATTATTTGAAAAAATGTTTTTTCCAAAGTTCTTTAGAAGAATTCAATTATTTACAAAAATATTAGTATTTCCCTCAGGAATTCAATTATTTTCAAATATTTTAATAAAGTTGTGTTCGAAAGAAATCAACTATTTTAAAAATAATTTTAATTAAATTTTTTTTTTAAATAATTCAATTATTCTTTTAGATTTTAAATAAAATTCTTATCAAGAATTTAATTATTTACATAATTAATTTAATTATGTCGATACGTAATAAAATTATTTTCGAAAATTCAATTATTTTGAGGTATTTCAATTAAATTCTTTGCAAAATTCAATTATTTTCATAAATAATATAATATTCATCAGAAAAATTCAATTATTTTTTAAAAGTAATGAAAGCCTTCTTAAAAATAATAAAATAAGTAAGAATAAATAAAATAAGAATGTAAAAAATTAAGTAAAATAAACAATAATATTTAATAAATATTTATATTATAAACTAATAAAAAAATATATTTTACAGATAATTTTCAGTGTATTAGCATTAATTAATTTAGTACCAGCAGGAATGACAGTTGGATATTCTTCTATTGTTCTGCCATATTTAAATAATACACATGATATTAATTTAAAAAATCAGGAACCAACAATATTTGGTGAGAAAAATTCTCTTTCTTCAAAATTCTTCTTTCTTTAAAAAGTTGATAAAAAATTATTTCCCTTTGCAAAATTACACAGAAACAAAATTGAATAAAATAAAGTAAATAATTCGAAATTAATTTAGAAACTGCGTGAATTATATAACGAACGGAAATCAAAGGGAGATTAACAAGATTCTTTTTTCGAAATAGATAAAATGTATTTTTTAAAAATAAAATAAAAAAAAAATAAATAAATAAATAAAAAAAAATAAATAAATAAAAAATAAAAATAAAAAAAAAAAATAAATAAAAAAAAATAAATAAATAAAAATAAATAATTTCAGCCTCAATTCCATCGATATTCATGTTAATTGGTTGCGTAATAAGCATCTACACCATGACCTTTGGAAGAAGAAGGGCAATTTTAACCGGAAGTTTAACGAATATTATCGGATGGGCAGTCATAGCTTCGAGCTATAATGTACCTCAACTCTTAATAGGACGAGTGATATCAGGTTTAAATTTTCGCAACAATAATAATTATTGTTCAAAGAATTTTAATTTTTCTTTTTAAATTTAAAAAAAAAAAAAAAATTTTTTCATTTTTAATCTGACAATAATAATGATTGTTTATGTAATAAAGAGTTGAATCCGTTAAACTTGCAATAAATAAATAAATAATAGTAATAATAATCGTTAAATCAAAAAATTTTTTTTTTTTATAATTAAGAATGAAATATAAATTTAAAATAATCGTTAAGGAAAAAAACTATTAAAATAATTCGATTTCAGGATTTGCCATGGGATTGTGTACAGTTCCTGGGGTGGCATACATATCCGAAATGACAACACTTAAATTATCACCGATGCTTAATTCTTGTTCTAGTCTTTTTATATCCCTAGGAACATTATTTATTTACTTTCTTGGCTATATCATTGAGGTATGCTTGCATATTTATTATATAAGGGTTTTTAAAAATAATTCCCGAAAAATTCCGCATGATTTACATACAAGTGATGATAGAATTTCATTAAAACTCAATATTAAATTATTATAAAAATTTTTTTTTTAAATTTAAATTTAAAAATTAAAATTAATTGAAAATTATTATTCTTTTAAAATAAATAAAAATAGTTTTAAAAAAATAAAAATAGTTAAAAAAATAATAATAAAAAAATAGTTAATAAAAATAGTTTTTTTTTTTTTTTTTTTTTTTTTTTAATGTTTTAAAAATTGAATTTACACGAATTTTAATTGTATATTTTGAAAATAATTAAATTTTTATAAATTTAAATAAAAATAATTAAAAGTTATTATTATTTTGAAATAATTAAACACTCATAAAATAGTTTTAAAAATAGATTTTTTTAAAAATGTTTCAAAAACAGAATTTTTAAAAGTTTTAATTGTAAATTTGGAAAATAATTGAACTCTCATAAATTTCAACAGAAATATTTAAAAATTATTATTATTATTATTATTATTTTGAAATAAATGAAAACTTATAAAATAGTTTTAAAAATGTTTCAAAAGTAAAATTTTCAGGAATTTTAATTGTATATTTTGAAAATAATTGAATTCTTATAAATTTTAATAGAAATAATTAAAAACTTGTAAAATAGTTTAAAAAATAATTGATTTTTAAAAAAATATTTCAAAAATAGAATTTAAAGGAATTTTAATTGTAAATTTTAAAAATAATTAAATTATTATAAAAATTTAACAAAAAAATTAAACATTAACAGAATTAAAATAAGTTTTTGGAAAATGGAAATTAATGATATAGAAAAAATATAAATTAGATTTTTTAAAAATAATTGAATTCTTGTGATGAATATTGTAATTTATAAAAATAATTAAATTTCCAACAATTTTATTAAAATATTTGAAAATAATTAAATTTTTTTGAAACATTTTAATATTTTTGTAAATAATTGAATTCTTTCAAAGAATTTAAAAAAAAAATTTTTTTTAAATAATTGAATTTTTCGAGGAATTGAAATTAAATTTTTAAGAATAATCACATTTTTCTATCAATTCCTATAAAATTGTATTAAAAATAATTGAAATCCTGCGATGAATTTTATTATTTTTGCAAAAAATTGAATTATTTCGAAAAATTTTGTTATTTTTTAAAATAATTGAATTCTGTTTTTGAACGATTTTATTAGAATTTTTAAAATAAATGATTTTCTGAGAAGAAATTTATTAATTTTAAAAATAATTGAATTCTTATAATGAATATTGTTATTTGTATGAAAATAATTGAATTCTTATAATGAATATTGTTATTTATATGAAAATAATTGAATTTTGTAAAGGATTTTATTAAAATACCTCGAAATAATTGAATTTTCGGGAATAATTTTGTTATTTTTGAAAATAATTGAATTCTTGCGAACGATTTTATTAGAATTTTTAAAATAATTGAATTTTTAAGAAGGCTTTTCATTACTTTTAAAAATAATTGAATTTTACAAAGAATTTTTTAAAATAATTGAATTTTAAAGACGAAATTTATTACTTTTAAAAATAATTGAATTTTTGTGATTAACATTGTTATTTATAAAAATAATTGAATTTTGCAAAGAATTTTTTAAAATAATTGAAATTCAAAGACGAAATTTATTACTTTATAAAAATAATTGAATTCTTGTGATGAATATTGTAATTTATAAAAATAATTGAATTTTAAAGACGAAATTTATTACTTTTAAAAATAATTGAATTCTTGTGATGAATATTGTAGTTTATCAAAATAATTAAATTTTGCAATGAGTTTTATTAAAATGCCTCAAAATAATTGAATTCTTTCCATGAATTATTTATGTATATAATTGAATTCTAGGGAAGACTTTTATAAAAATTTTAAATAATAATATTGAATTATTTAAAAATAATTTAATTAAAATTGTATTGAAAATAATTGAATTCTTGCAAAGAATTGTAAAATTCTATTAAAAATAATGGAAATCCTGCGATGAATTTTATTATTTATGAAAATAATTGAATAGTTGCAAACAATTTTATTAATATTTTCAAAATAATTGAATTCCTGAGAAGAATTTTATTATTTATAAAAATAATTAAAATATTGCGAAATATTTTATTATTTTTTTAAATAATAGAATTATTGCAAAATATCTTATTAAAATGTTAAAAAAGAATTGAATTTCTGTGAATAATTTTGTTATTTTTGAAAATAATTGAATTCTTACAAACGATTTTATTAGAATTTTTTAAATAATTGAATAGACAAGAAGAAATTTATTACTTTTAAAAATAATTGAATTCTTTTGATATATTCATCACAAGATTTCGAAATTTTTTTTAAAAATATTTGAAAATAATTGAATTCTCATAAATTTTAACAAAAATTAAATTAACAGAATTGAAATAAATTTTAGAAAATAGAAATTAACAGAATTGTAATAAATTTTAGAAAATTGAAATGAATATAAATTAGCTTTCAAAAATATTTGAAACTCGGTTTTTTATAAAATTTTATCAAAAGCCATTTGCTGCTAAATGGAAAGTCGGTAAAATACGAATTTTTTTAAAAACAAAAATACTTTTTACTTAAAAATAATAATTTCTTTTAGAAAGAAATTTTTCGTCCCTCTTTCAAGGGCAATTTTGATTACAAACGAAAATTAAAAAAACTCCGCCAACTTTAGGCTCTCGATCGAAGCTTTCCCTCGATCGGATGGAATCGAAATCCCCACAAGATTCTCACACGATTCCATGAATGAAAATCAATGTCCAAGTTCTCCATAACATATTCTTTAATCCTTTTTTTCTCTTTCTTTTTACAGGGGAATTGGCGACTCATTGCCTGCTTTCCTGTTTTCGTCTCAGTTGTCTCGACTCTTTTAACTGTTATTTATCTTCCCGAGAGTCCCCGTTGGCTCTTGATTCAAAATCAAGAGAAAAAAGCCAAGGAATGCCTCCTTCGATTACGTGGCCTAAAGACTGATTCAATTCAATTCAAAACTGAATTCACTAATATGATTATTTACAATGAATCGAAATATGGTAAAAATAAAAGTTGCAATTCATTATTAGCGAATAGTAATGAAGAAATGAATATCTTTCAAAACTCATGGTCGAATGTAAAATATTTTTTTTCGATATTCAAAATATCCGAAGTTTGGAAACCATTTGTAATTCTTAATACTTTTTTCTTCTTTCAACAATTTTGTGGAATTTACGTTGTCAATGCTTATGCCGTGAAATTAATATCGAACAATGGAATAACTCAGGATCCATTTCAAGTGGCTGTGATGCTGGGAATTTTGCAAATTTGCGGTGAACTCGGACAAATATTGACAAGTTCAAGGTTTAATATTTTTCACTCACCTGGAAAAAAAATAAATATTTTATAATAATTATTATTTTGGGATTAATTTTCTAATTACTACAGATTGGGTCGTAGGAAGACGGCAATTATTTCAGGAATTGGAATGACAATCTCGATAACGACTCTTGGTGTTTATAATCAATTCCTTCTCTCTGATAAATTATCCGGAATTCCCTTGGCTTGTATTTCAATTTTTGTGGTAATTAAAAAGCATTATTTACAAAAAAAATTAATTTAAAAAAACGTTTTAACAATAAGCAACATCCTTGAATTTGGCGTCGACGCTCAGTGTCGAAAATTGTTTTTTTAGAAAACCAAAAAGAATAAAATAACATTTTCGAAGTTATTAGATCAAAAATGTATAAAATTTTAACACTAAAATTTACAAACGAGTTTTTGACGCTGAGCGTCGACGCTAAATTCAGGGACATAAAAACAAAGTATTTAAATTAAAACAATAATTTTTCTCCGCAGACTTTGGGAACTTTTGGTTTTGTCAATTTGCCATGGTCAATGATTGGCGAACTCTATCCAACGAGATATGTTCATATTTTAGGACCCGTAACGACATGTTTCTGTGGATTATTTAATTTTTGTACAATTTATTTATATCCTACACTCGATAAAATAAGTTCGATTATGTCCATTTATTTTTATAGTTTTTGCTCTTTGTGCGCGACAATTTTTATTATTTTCGCATTACCGGAAACTGTGGGTAAATCGAAAGCGGAAATCGAAAGACGATTTAAGAAACAAAATAAAAGGAATAATAATGATAATTTAACGATGGAATAATATTTGAATAAACGATATTTCTACTAAAAAATTCAAGTGTAAAAAATTTTGACCCTACAAGAATAAAAAAGACTACAGACCTCGAATCTTATTAACAATTTTTTTTAAACGAATTTTTAAATCTTCTTAAGTTATAAGACAACTTATTCTTACAGTGTAGCAAAATATTAGGACTGCAGATCAAAAAATAAATTTGAACTGAGAAAATAAAAATAGTCCCAAAAATTTTACAATAAAATTCATAGGCAAATACAAACCATTTCCAGTGAGATACGAAAAAAAATAATAAATTAACAAATAACTTAAAAAAAAAAAAAAAAAAAAAAAAAAAAAGTTGACTTACTGTCAAAAAATGTTAAAGAAAACGAAAATAAAAATCTCTATCATTCAGGATCCTGTAGGGCTCGATCCCTACTACAACTCAGGTGACTTCCAGACGACAGAAATTAGAAGAAATTGAAAAAAAAAATTTTTAAGGCGATTTTAAGCGAATTTCGATTGTCTGATGGCGTACGGGTGGGGGTGCTACCACTTTAAAACGAAAATAAAAATCTCTATCATTCAGGATCCTGTAGGGCTCGATCCCTACTACAACTCAGGTGACTTCCAGACGACAGAAATTAGAAGAAATTGAAAAAAAAAATTTTTAAGGCGATTTTAAGCGAATTTCGATTGTCTGATGGCGTACGGGTGGACCTGCTACCACTTTAAAACGAAAATAAAAATCTCTATCATTCAGGATCCTGTAGGGCTCGATCCCTACTACAACTCAGGTGACATCCAGACGACAGAAATTAGAAGAAATTGAAAAAAAAAAATTTTTAAGGCGATTTTAAGCGAATTTCGATTGTCTGATGGCGTACGGGTGGACCTGCTACCACTTTAAAACGAAAATAAAAATCTCTATCATTCAGGATCCTGTAGGGCTCGATCCCTACTACAACTCAGGTGACTTCCAGACGACAGAAATTAGAAGAAATTGAAAAAAAAAATTTTTAAGGCGATTTTAAGCGAATTTCGATTGTCTGATGGCGTACGGGTGGACCTGCTACCACTTTAAAACGAAAATAAAAATCTCTATCATTCAGGATCCTGTAGGGCTCGATCCCTACTACAACTCAGGTGACATCCAGACGACAGAAATTAGAAGAAATTGAAAAAAAAAATTTTTAAGGCGATTTTAAGCGAATTTCGATTGTCTGATGGCGTACGGGTGGGGGTGCTACCACTTTAAAACGAAAATAAAAATCTCTATCATTCAGGATCCTGTAGGGCTCGATCCCTACTACAACTCAGGTGACTTCCAGACGACAGAAATTAGAAGAGATTGAAAAAAAAATTTTTTAAGGCGATTTTAAGCGAATTTCGATTGTCTGATGGCGTACGGGTGGACCTGCTACCACTTTAAAACGAAAATAAAAATCTCTATCATTCAGGATCCTGTAGGGCTCGATCCCTACTACAACTCAGGTGACTTCCAGACGACAGAAATTAGAAGAAATTGAAAAAAAAAAATTTTTAAGGCGATTTTAAGCGAATTTCGATTGTCTGATGGCGTACGGGTGGACCTGCTACCACTTTAAAACGAAAATAAAAATCTCTATCATTCAGGATCCTGTAGGGCTCGATCCCTACTACAACTCAGGTGACTTCCAGACGACAGAAATTAGAAGAAATTGAAAAAAAAAAATTTTTAAGGCGATTTTAAGCGAATTTCGATTGTCTGATGGCGTACGGGTGGACCTGCTACCACTTTAAAACGAAAATAAAAATCTCTATCATTCAGGATCCTGTAGGGCTCGATCCCTACTACAACTCAGGTGACTTCCAGACGACAGAAATTAGAAGAAATTGAAAAAAAAAATTTTTAAGGCGATTTTAAGCGAATTTCGATTGTCTGATGGCGTACGGGTGGACCTGCTACCACTTTAAAACGAAAATAAAAATCTCTATCATTCAGGATCCTGTAGGGCTCGATCCCTACTACAACTCAGGTGACTTCCAGACGACAGAAATTAGAAGAAATTGAAAAAAAAAATTTTTAAGGCGATTTTAAGCGAATTTCGATTGTCTGATGGCGTACGGGTGGACCTGCTACCACTTTAAAACGAAAATAAAAATCTCTATCATTCAGGATCCTGTAGGGCTCGATCCCTACTACAACTCAGGTGACTTCCAGACGACAGAAATTAGAAGAAATTGAAAAAAAAAATTTTTAAGGCGATTTTAAGCGAATTTCGATTGTCTGATGGCGTACGGGTGGACCTGCTACCACTTTAAAACGAAAATAAAAATCTCTATCATTCAGGATCCTGTAGGGCTCGATCCCTACTACAACTCAGGTGACTTCCAGACGACAGAAATTAGAAGAAATTGAAAAAAAAAAATTTTTAAGGCGATTTTAAGCGAATTTCGATTGTCTGATGGCGTACGGGTGGACCTGCTACCACTTTAAAACGAAAATAAAAATCTCTATCATTCAGGATCCTGTAGGGCTCGATCCCTACTACAACTCAGGTGACTTCCAGACGACAGAAATTAGAAGAAATTGAAAAAAAAAATTTTTAAGGCGATTTTAAGCGAATTTCGATTGTCTGATGGCGTACGGGTGGACCTGCTACCACTTTAAAACGAAAATAAAAATCTCTATCATTCAGGATCCTGTAGGGCTCGATCCCTACTACAACTCAGGTGACTTCCAGACGACAGAAATTAGAAGAAATTGAAAAAAAAAATTTTTAAGGCGATTTTAAGCGAATTTCGATTGTCTGATGGCGTACGGGTGGACCTGCTACCACTTTAAAACGAAAATAAAAATCTCTATCATTCAGGATCCTGTAGGGCTCGATCCCTACTACAACTCAGGTGACATCCAGACGACAGAAATTAGAAGAAATTGAAAAAAAAAATTTTTAAGGCGATTTTAAGCGAATTTCGATTGTCTGATGGCGTACGGGTGGGGGTGCTACCACTTTAAAACGAAAATAAAAATCTCTATCATTCAGGATCCTGTAGGGCTCGATCCCTACTACAACTCAGGTGACATCCAGACGACAGAAATTAGAAGAAATTGAAAAAAAAAATTTTTAAGGCGATTTTAAGCAAATTTCGATTGTCTGATGGCGTACGGGTGGACCTGCTACCACTTTAAAACGAAAATAAAAATCTCTATCATTCAGGATCCTGTAGGGCTCGATCCCTACTACAACTCAGGTGACATCCAGACGACAGAAATTAGAAGAAATTGAAAAAAAAAATTTTTAAGGCGATTTTAAGCGAATTTCGATTGTCTGATGGCGTACGGGTGGACCTGCTACCACTTTAAAACGAAAATAAAAATCTCTATCATTCAGGATCCTGTAGGGCTCGATCCCTACTACAACTCAGGTGACATCCAGACGACAGAAATTAGAAGAAATTGAAAAAAAAAAATTTTTAAGGCGATTTTAAGCGAATTTCGATTGTCTGATGGCGTACGGGTGGGGGTGCTACCACTTTAAAACGAAAATAAAAATCTCTATCATTCAGGATCCTGTAGGGCTCGATCCCTACTACAACTCAGGTGACTTCCAGACGACAGAAATTAGAAGAGATTGAAAAAAAAAATTTTTAAGGCGATTTTAAGCGAATTTCGATTGTCTGATGGCGTACGGGTGGGGGTGCTACCACTTTAAAACGAAAATAAAAATCTCTATCATTCAGGATCCTGTAGGGCTCGATCCCTACTACAACTCAGGTGACTTCCAGACGACAGAAATTAGAAGAGATTGAAAAAAAAAATTTTTAAGGCGATTTTAAGCGAATTTCGATTGTCTGATGGCGTACGGGTGGACCTGCTACCACTTTAAAACGAAAATAAAAATCTCTATCATTCAGGATCCTGTAGGGCTCGATCCCTACTACAACTCAGGTGACATCCAGACGACAGAAATTAGAAGAAATTGAAAAAAAAAATTTTTAAGGCGATTTTAAGCGAATTTCGATTGTCTGATGGCGTACGGGTGGACCTGCTACCACTTTAAAACGAAAATAAAAATCTCTATCATTCAGGATCCTGTAGGGCTCGATCCCTACTACAACTCAGGTGACTTCCAGACGACAGAAATTAGAAGAAATTGAAAAAAAAAATTTTTAAGGCGATTTTAAGCGAATTTCGATTGTCTGATGGCGTACGGGTAGACCTGCTACCACTTTAAAACGAAAATAAAAATCTCTATCATTCAGGATCCTGTAGGGCTCGATCCCTACTACAACTCAGGTGACATCCAGACGACAGAAATTAGAAGAAATTGAAAAAAAAAATTTTTAAGGCGATTTTAAGCGAATTTCGATTGTCTGATAACGTACGGGTGGACCTGCTACCACTTTAAAACGAAAATAAAAATCTCTATCATTCAGGATCCTGTAGGGCTCGATCCCTACTACAACTCAGGTGACATCCAGACGACAGAAATTAGAAGAAATTGAAAAAAAAAAATTTTTAAGGCGATTTTAAGCGAATTTCGATTGTCTGATAGCGTACGGGTGGACCTGCTACCACTTTAAAACGAAAATAAAAATCTCTATCATTCAGGATCCTGTAGGGCTCGATCCCTACTACAACTCAGGTGACATCCAGACGACAGAAATTAGAAGAAATTGAAAAAAAAAATTTTTAAGGCGATTTTAAGCGAATTTCGATTGTCTGATGGCGTACGGGTGGGGCTGCTACCACTTTAAAACGAAAATAAAAATCTCTATCATTCAGGATCCTGTAGGGCTCGATCCCTACTACAACTCAGGTGACATCCAGACGACAGAAATTAGAAGAAATTGAAAAAAAAAATTTTTAAGGCGATTTTAAGCAAATTTCGATTGTCTGATGGCGTACGGGTGGGACCTGCTACCACTTTAAAACGAAAATAAAAATCTCTATCATTCAGGATCCTGTAGGGCTCGATCCCTACTACAACTCAGGTGACATCCAGACGACAGAAATTAGAAGAAATTGAAAAAAAAAATTTTTAAGGCGATTTTAAGCGAATTTCGATTGTCTGATGGCGTACGGGTGGGGCTGCTACCACTTTAAAACGAAAATAAAAATCTCTATCATTCAGGATCCTGTAGGGCTCGATCCCTACTACAACTCAGGTGACATCCAGACGACAGAAATTAGAAGAAATTGAAAAAAAAAATTTTTAAGGCGATTTTAAGCAAATTTCGATTGTCTGATGGCGTACGGGTGGGACCTGCTACCACTTTAAAACGAAAATAAAAATCTCTATCATTCAGGATCCTGTAGGGCTCGATCCCTACTACAACTCAGGTGACATCCAGACGACAGAAATTAGAAGAAATTGAAAAAAAAAATTTTTAAGGCGATTTTAAGCGAATTTCGATTGTCTGATGGCGTACGGGTGGGGGTGCTACCACTTTAAAACGAAAATAAAAATCTCTATCATTCAGGATCCTGTAGGGCTCGATCCCTACTACAACTCAGGTGACTTCCAGACGACAGAAATTAGAAGAGATTGAAAAAAAAAATTTTTAAGGCGATTTTAAGCGAATTTCGATTGTCTGATGGCGTACGGGTGGGGGTGCTACCACTTTAAAACGAAAATAAAAATCTCTATCATTCAGGATCCTGTAGGGCTCGATCCCTACTACAACTCAGGTGACTTCCAGACGACAGAAATTAGAAGAGATTGAAAAAAAAAATTTTTAAGGCGATTTTAAGCGAATTTCGATTGTCTGATGGCGTACGGGTGGGGGTGCTACCACTTTAAAACGAAAATAAAAATCTCTATCATTCAGGATCCTGTAGGGCTCGATCCCTACTACAACTCAGGTGACATCCAGACGACAGAAATTAGAAGAAATTGAAAAAAAAAATTTTTAAGGCGATTTTAAGCAAATTTCGATTGTCTGATGGCGTACGGGTGGACCTGCTACCACTTTAAAACGAAAATAAAAATCTCTATCATTCAGGATCCTGTAGGGCTCGATCCCTACTACAACTCAGGTGACATCCAGACGACAGAAATTAGAAGAAATTGAAAAAAAAAATTTTTAAGGCGATTTTAAGCGAATTTCGATTGTCTGATGGCGTACGGGTGGGGGTGCTACCACTTTAAAACGAAAATAAAAATCTCTATCATTCAGGATCCTGTAGGGCTCGATCCCTACTACAACTCAGGTGACATCCAGACGACAGAAATTAGAAGAATTGAAAAAAAAAATTTTTAAGGCGATTTTAAGCGAATTTCGATTGTCTGATGGCGTACGGGTGGGGCTGCTACCACTTTAAAACGAAAATAAAAATCTCTATCATTCAGGATCCTGTAGGGCTCGATCCCTACTACAACTCAGGTGACTTCCAGACGACAGAAATTAGAAGAGATTGAAAAAAAAATTTTTTAAGGCGATTTTAAGCGAATTTCGATTGTCTGATGGCGTATGGGTGGACCTGCTACCACTTTAAAACGAAAATAAAAATCTCTATCATTCAGGATCCTGTAGGGCTCGATCCCTACTACAACTCAGGTGACTTCCAGACGACAGAAATTAGAAGAAATTGAAAAAAAAAATTTTTAAGGCGATTTTAAGCGAATTTCGATTGTCTGATGGCGTACGGGTGGGGGTGCTACCACTTTAAAACGAAAATAAAAATCTCTATCATTCAGGATCCTGTAGGGCTCGATCCCTACTACAACTCAGGTGACATTCCAGACGACAGAAATTAGAAGAAATTGAAAAAAAAAATTTTTAAGGCGATTTTAAGCGAATTTCGATTGTCTGATGGCGTACGGGTGGGGGTGCTACCACTTTAAAACGAAAATAAAAATCTCTATCATTCAGGATCCTGTAGGGCTCGATCCCTACTACAACTCAGGTGACATCCAGACGACAGAAATTAGAAGAAATTGAAAAAAAAAAATTTTTAAGGCGATTTTAAGCGAATTTCGATTGTCTGATGGCGTACGGGTGGACCTGCTACCACTTTAAAACGAAAATAAAAATCTCTATCATTCAGGATCCTGTAGGGCTCGATCCCTACTACAACTCAGGTGACTTCCAGACGACAGAAATTAGAAGAAATTGAAAAAAAAAATTTTTAAGCGAATTTCGATTGTCTGATGGCGTACGGGTGGACCTGCTACCACTTTAAAACGAAAATAAAAATCTCTATCATTCAGGATCCTGTAGGGCTCGATCCCTACTACAACTCAGGTGACATCCAGACGAAAGAAATTAAAAGAAATTGAAAAAAAAAATTTTTAAGGCGATTTTAAGCGAATTTCGATTGTCTGATGGCGTACGGGTGGGGGTGCTACCACTTTAAAACGAAAATAAAAATCTCTATCATTCAGGATCCTGTAGGGCTCGATCCCTACTACAACTCAGGTGACTTCCAGACGACAGAAATTAGAAGAAATTGAAGAAAAAAAATTTTTAAGGCGATTTTAAGCGAATTTCGATTGTCTGATGGCGTACGGGTGGGGGTGCTACCACTTTAAAACGAAAATAAAAATCTCTATCATTCAGGATCCTGTAGGGCTCGATCCCTACTACAACTCAGGTGACTTCCAGATGACAGAAATCAGAAGAAATTGAAAAAAAAAATTTTTAAGGCGATTTTAAGCGAATTTCGATTGTCTGATGGCGTACGGGTGGGGGTGCTACCACTTTAAAACGAAAATAAAAATCTCTATCATTCAGGATCCTGTAGGGCTCGATCCCTACTACAACTCAGGTGACTTCCAGACGACAGAAATTAGAAGAAATTGAAAAAAAAAATTTTTAAGGCGATTTTAAGCGAATTTCGATTGTCTGATGGCGTACGGGTGGGGGTGCTACCACTTTAAAACGAAAATAAAAATCTCTATCATTCAGGATCCTGTAGGGCTCGATCCCTACTACAACTCAGGTGACTTCCAGACGACAGAAATTAGAAGAAATTGAAAAAAAAAATTTTTAAGGCGATTTTAAGCGAATTTCAATTGTCTGATGGCGTACGGGTGGACCTGCTACCACTTTAAAACGAAAATAAAAATCTCTATCATTCAGGATCCTGTAGGGCTCGATCCCTACTACAACTCAGGTGACATCCAGACGACAGAAATTAGAAGAAATTGAAAAAAAAAATTTTTAAGGCGATTTTAAGCGAATTTCGATTGTCTGATGGCGTACGGGTGGGGGTGCTACCACTTTAAAACGAAAATAAAAATCTCTATCATTTAGGATCCTGTAGGGCTCGATCCCTACTACAACTCAGGTGACTTCCAGACGACAGAAATTAGAAGAAATTGAAAAAAAAAATTTTTAAGGCGATTTTAAGCGAATTTCGATTGTCTGATGGCGTACGGGTGGGGGTGCTACCACTTTAAAACGAAAATAAAAATCTCTATCATTCAGGATCCTGTAGGGCTCGATCCCTACTACAACTCAGGTGATTTCCAGACGACAGAAATTTGAAAGAAAAAGGAAAATAAAATTTTAATTGGATTTTTATTTTATTTAAAAATGACACTTTCTTGATAAAAGGCGAAATTTTTTAGAGAAAAAGAATTGTCTCCGAAAAGAAACGGTTCCTAAAAACTTTTTATAATTCATCTGTGAAATATGCAATTATCTTTTTTCTTAATAAAAATTTTATTTTTGAGGTTCAATTGCTTTCAAATTAATAATTTTATTTAAAGAATTACACTTTTTAGAAAAACGAGCTCATTTCCGAAAAAGTGCATTACTTAAAAACTGTTTCAAGTATTCCCTAAATTAAAAAATTTTTTTTTTTCAAAAATACAATTGGTCTTGAAGTTTTATTGCTTCTAAATTTTTAATTTTTTATAAAAAATTACACTTTTTTATTAAAAAGGGGTACATTTTTGCTGGATTTATTTCCGAAGTACACTGGGAAAAAAAGTTAGCTATTTTAGCTAATTTTTAGCTATTTTAGCTAACCTTAATTGTTATTATATAGATAGCAATTATTGTTAGCTAATGCAGCTAATAATTAGCTAAAATACCTAAGTTTTTTTCTAAAACAGCTAGTTATTAGCTGTAATACACTGCAAGCCCGATCAGCGGTCAGCTCCGGGGGTGCTCGACCGCTGATCGGGCGTAAACATATAGGACCGTACGAACTGTTTTATGATGGGATACCATTACTTGACTACTGAATTTTTTTTTAAGGGGCCAGAGCGTCTTTAATGTATACGCTACTGCCACAACTTTTCGACTCTCTCTTTGCCCCTCGCCCGCCCCATCAACAAACGACGTAAACAAGTGACCACTGATCGGGTGACCGCTGATCGGGCTTGCAGTGTAGTTAAAAATGAGCTATCCATATATTAGCAAACTCATTTTTCTCCGTGTATTGCTTACTTAAAAGCTATTTATAATTCACCTATGAAATGTAAAATAGTTTCCCCGTGAAAAATAAAAATAGTCTTGTAGTTTCATTGCTTTCAAATTATTAATTTCCGTCAAAAAAGATAAGATTTTTGGAAAAAAGACTGTTTTGTAAAAAAAAATTTTATTTTCGAAAACGGGTTTTTTTACTCAAAAATTGTTCATAATTTAATTCTAAAATTTATAAAATAAGTCTCCTTGAAAATAGGGAAACGAATCTTCGATTATTAAATAACACTTATCGAAAATAGGAATATTTTTTAGAAAATTGCACGAAACTGGATAAATTTCGATTTTAGTTTTGAATTTTGAGGTTATGCCTCAAAATATTTGGCGCCGTTTGTGCCTAAATGACACAAAAGGAAAAAAAACAAAAGGTAGAGGGCAAATATGAATACAAAAAATTTGCAAACTTAACCTAAAAATATATTCATTTACTTCTCTTTTTTCAAAACTCAGCAGTGTTTTCTAATAAAAAAAAATTATTTGTAGTGTAAAATTTGTGGTAAAATAGTAAAAAACATACCTCTATTTCTTTTTCCTTTGTCCTTGGTCTGTGACAGTATCGACAATATTTCCTGAGACACATCTTTTCCTTTGGCAGATTCGACCTTTCCTCTCTTCTTTCTTGTTCACTATTACACCTAATACACTTTTTTCCTTCTTTTAATATTTTACTCTTATAACGATTTACAAACTATTACTTTTACTGTTGTGTTTCCTGAAAATTCGAACTGAGATTCCTTGTATTCAAAGTTTCAACGATTTCAAGTATTCAAGTTTCAACGTGTTTCCCTAGTTTCAACGTCTTTTTAACTACAGCAAACTACAGCTGACTACGTCACTCGAGCCTAAAGCGTCATTCACAATGCATGCCACCATAAAGCTCTTTCTACAATAGCAGTAAATTTGCCGCGCGCTCCTTCCCATCCCTGCGCACCTCACATGTGAATTCGCCCTAAATCTTTGTTCTCCTTGTTGAGTTTTTTCAAGTCTTGTGTAAAAAGCTTTAATATACTAAAATGGCCGCCCTGTCACTGTATTTGTTGAACAAGTCGATTTTCTTCTTTTATTAAAAAAAAGAAAATTAAAAACACAATAACAACGACAATTGTTGTAAATAACAAACATTGTGCATGTTTTGCTGCGGGATGGCATGTGAAGCTTGTTCGACAAAATTTTCTCTCTTCAAGAGAAAAGTAAGTTTTTACAATTATAATAATTTTCTATTTTTGTTTTTACTTGGTTTTCTTGTTAATTCCTCTTCTATTACTTTCTTTTCTTGTTTTTTTTGTAAAGAAAGCATTTATTTATCGTTAGTAATGAATTTATCAAAGTGCTAATAAATAATAACAAATTCTTTTTTTTTAAATTAGAAATTTCTCTCTAAATGTTTTTATTTATCAAGTCATTTTATAAGTTTACTTCGTTTACTTCGTTTGCTTATAATTCAATTCACTAAATTTCTAAAGAATAATAATTCTCCGTTTATATATTAACATCAGAATTAAAATTTCCTTCGTTAAACATTTTATATTTAAATTTTTTTTTTATTTAAAAATTCTATATAAGAATTCGAGACTTTATTTAAAAAAGTTAATATTTTATACGTAGTAAATAAAATAATGTTCGATCGAAATGTTTTCAAAAGAAAAGAAATTTGATAATTTTTTTAACCTGGAATTGTAAATAATGGAAATAGTTTAACGAGGAAGGAATTTATTAATATTTTTCTGCCTAATCTTATCGTATCGATTTCTATTAATACTTAATGACGTGTATTATTGTCAATTGTAAATATAATTATAATTACATGTTTATAGGAGTTAAAAAATTGTTTATTTCTGGTTAATCATTATTTTAATATTATAAATTTTAATCACAATCTTACAATTACAATTTTTTATTTACATGGAATAATTTTAATTAAACTATAAATTTTTAATTGTAAAAATTTTGTATTTTACAGAAACAATGCATGGATTGCCTGCGATTTTTTTGTACAGATTGTCTTATTAGAAGGGTTGACAGGGTTTTGTGCTGCGATAATTGCAGCATGCTTTCACGTAGACCTGTAATTCGTAGTCAAATTCAACAAATGCGATCACGTGATTTAAGACAGTATTTGGTTGCTAAAAAAGTTTCTGTTCGCGGTTGTGTAGGTAAATATAACGATTCTCAGTTTTATCAATTTTATGAAATTTCGTTAATCGTTAATTATTAATTTTATTTACTATATAGCTAATTTAATTTGAATTTTTCTATTTTTAGCTTTTATTTTTGTTCTTTTCTTCTATTTTAATTTTTTTATTATATTTCTATTTTATTTTTATTTTTTTATTGCATTTTTTAGTTTTTTTATTATTTATATTTTGATTTTATTTTTCCGGTTTTTATTTTATTTTTTTGTTCTATATTAATTTTTTATTTATTTCTTTTATTCTATTTTTACATTTTTAATATTTTTATTTTGTTTTCGTTTTTTTATTATATTTCCTTTTTATTTTTTAATTCTATTTTGATTCTATTTTTACTTTTTTTATTATATTTTCATTTTAGTTTTCCTGTTTTCATTTTATTTCATTTTTTTTTTGTTCTAGATATTCACTTTTTATTTGTTTTTTTTTTATTCTATTTTCATTTTACTTTCTTTTTTAATTTCTTATTATTTTTCTCTATTATATTTTTAATTAAACTATTATTTTTCTTGTTTGTATTTATTTATTATTTATTCATTTATTTACAAAAAATATAAATTTCTTCAGAAAGCTAATTATTTAAATTTTTTATCATAATTTCCTAAAATTGAATTATTTTAATTAAAAAAAATTTAATTTCTTTAAATTTACTTTTTTTGGATTTTATCATAAAAATTTTGGAGAAATTATTTATTTTTATATTTGTAATTAAAATTCTCAAAAAAAAAGAAATGATTATTTAAATTTTTAAATGATTTATTTAAATATCAATTTAAGTTTTTTCAAAATATTCTTTTGTAATTTGTTTTTTCTTCTTTTGAATTCCCAGAGAAATTTTCTTTTCATTGTTTGTAAATATTTCCAATATTTTTTATTTTCTTTTACAGAAAAGGAAGATTTAGTAAATTTACTCATAGTATTTGCCAACGACTGTCACACAAATAATGATGGATTTGAAAGTGGAGCGTTCGATAGAAGTCGAAAGTAAGTATTCTTTTGATTTTTACCAAATTTCACTATTTGAAAAATTACTGAAGGTTAAAAAAAAAATTGAAAAAACGAAAACAAAATTACTGAAAGGATATAAAAAGACATTAAAACAAAAAAAGAGGAAAACATTTTTTTAAAAAAAAGTTGTGGTAAATTAAAAAATTTCATTAGTAGAATAAATAAATAAATAAGAGTAAATAACTAATAATAAATTAATAAAACTTAATTATAATGAGAAAAAGGGAAAAAAAAGAAAAAATCGCTAATGAAATAAAAAAAAATAAAATTAGTTTTTCAGAGAGAAATCAAGACGACTTATCGTCGAGACGCTCGCGAAGTCCGCCCATTGAAAGGCCAATAATGGAAGAACCAAGGCCAGAGAGAATTCCCGAGCCGGAAATTGTTGAGGAACTGTCGAGGAATGAAGTTGAAATTGAAGAATTGTCAGGAAGCGATGAAATTATTAATGAAACGGAAGATCAACCTGTGATAATTGAAAACGATGAAATCTCCGAATCGTCCATTATCAGAGACACTGATTCTCATTCGGTAATTTTTATTTTATCAATTCAAAAAGAGGAATTTTTTTTCCCTGGTATTTTTTCAAATTTTACCTTTCCTTACAATTAAAAGTTTCCATTTTCCTTCCTAATTCAAATTTTTTACTTCTTCTTCCCAATATAAAATTTTTATTTTCTCTCTCAATTGAAATTTATTGTTTTTTTTTCTCAATATAAAATTTTTAATTTTCTCTTTCAATTGAAATTTACAAGTTTTTTCCCCTAATTCAAATTTTTAATTTTCTCTTTCAATTAAAATTTATAAGTTTTTTCCTCTAATTAAAATTTTTTATTTTCTTTTTTAATTAAAACTTTCTTTTTTCCCAATTCAAAATTTTAATTTTCCTTCCAAATTAGAACTTCTTTTCCTTAATTCAAAATTTTAATTTTCCTTCCAAATTAGAACTCCTTTTTCTCAATTGAAATTTTTTATTTTCTTTCCCTATTAAAATTTTTTGTTCTTTTCCTTAATTTTAATTGTTAATTTTTCCTTCGCAATTAAAATATAATTTGAATAGTTTTTTTACGATTTCTGTAATTGTTGAAATTTTTTTTTTAACAGAGAGGAAAAATAGTCGAGTTGTCAGACATAAAAGAAGTTTCGGATCTAGAATATTTAACTGTTAAACAGTTGAAGGATTTATTGAGTATGAATCGAGTTGATTTCAAGGGTTGCGTTGAAAGATGTGAATTACTCGACAGAGCGAGTAGATTATGGGATGAGCATCGAAAGTCCAGAGAAAGTGAGTAATAATAAATTATAATATTTTTATCTCAAAATTCATTACCTATAATAATTTTTTTTTTAAAACAAGTTTTTTTAAAATAATTTATTAATTTTTATTCCAAACTTTTTAAAAATTTAAGGTATTAAATTTAAAGTGATGAACTTCAAATTTAAATTTAAATTTAAAATCCTAAGTTTGAATTTAAATATTTATTTCCTTTAATTTAATTTAAATAAATAAGGTAAAAATTTAAGGCCTCGGATAATATGAATTTTTTTATATCGACCATTTTCAAAAAAGGGCGACTTTTCTCGACTTCTTTTTAAAAAATGCAATTTTTTTTATTTTTCTTCTAAATTTGCAAAACAAAATATCATTTTCATGGTATAAGACTTTTTAAAAATCTAATTTTTTTGAAGAATTATAAAAATTTTGACGAAAAGTATAATTTTCAAAATTTTTAATTAAAATTCTCTAAAGAAATTAATTAATTTCTTATATTGTCCAAAAATTCCTTTAACAAAACTCAAATATTTAAATTATTTATCATAATTTCTTAAAATTGAATTTTTTAAAAAAAATTATATGAACTTTTTAGAAAAAATTTTTTTTTTACATTTTATTATTGAAATTTGGATAAAATCATAATTTTTCATATTTTTAATTAAGATTCTTCATAAAATTGATTATTTTTAAACACTTTTCCAAAATTCTCTTAAAAATTTCATTTCTTTTTAAAAAGTTGTTACTAAATTTTAAATATTGTCAAATTTTTTTACTAAATTTCAATTATTTTCAAACTTTTTTTTTTAATAAATTTCAATTTTTATTTAGTTTTCACTAAACTCTTGAATATTGTCAACATTTTTGTTACTAAATTGGAATTATTTTAAAATTATTTTTAATAAATTTCAATTGTGAAATTTTTTTTTTACTAAATTTCAATTATTTTTAAAAAAAATTTTACTAACTTTTGAAGTCTTTTGGAAATTTTTCAATTATATTTTCAATTTTTTACAATTAGAAATTTCTTATCCATTAAAAATTATTAGTATGAATTTTGAAAAATTTTGTGAACCATTTTTATATTTATTAAATAATTGAATTTTTATGTATTAATAATAATTGAATTGTCCAGGAACTTTCGGAAAAATTTTGAAAAGTTATTGATTTTAATAAAAATAGTGAAAAATTGTAGAAAATAATTGAATTTTTGTATTTTAATGATTGAATTTTTGGAAAATAATTAAATTCTCAAAGACTTTTTTGGTGAATTATTAAAAATAATTGATTTTGATAAAAATAGTTTAAAATTATAAAATAATTGAATTTAGAGAGATTTACAGTTACAAACAAAAATAATAAAATTTAATAATTTTTGAAGAATTTTCAGAGAAATATTCAAAATAATTGAAATTTTTTTCTTTTAATAATTTAATTGTCCAGGAAACTTTAGAAAAATTTTTAAAAATAATTTATTTCTATAAAAAAAAATTTATTAAAATTGTATTTAAAATCATTTAATTCTTCCGAAGAATTTAAATACAATTTTGGAAAATAAATTAAAATTTCTGTAGAGAATTTGATCAAAACTTTAGAAAATAATTAAATTTTTGCGAAGAATTTTTTTCAAATTTTCGGAAAAACTTTATTTTTCTAAAGAAATTTTTATTGAAATTGTATTTGAAAATAATTAAATTTCTGCAAAGAATTCAATTATTTTTAGAAAATAATTGAATGCTTACGAAGAATTGTATTATTTATGAAAATAATTGAATTTTTGCGAAGAATTTTGAGAAATTTTACCAAAAATAATTTAATTCCTGCCAAAAATTTTACTATTTATAAAAATAATTGATTTTTTTTTAAGAAAGTTTTTGAATAATTTTATAAAAAAAAAATTGAATTCTTTCGAGGAAAATTTGTAAGAATTAAATTGAAAATAATTGAATTCCTCAGAAGAATTTTATTCATTCAAAAAATTTTATTAAAATTATATTTAAAATAATTGAATTTTTCGAGTGTTTGCAATTATAAATATTAATAATTGAATTTTAATATTTTAATAATTGAAATTTTGAAAAATAATTGGATTTTTGTGTTTAAATAATAATTGAATTCTCGAAGAGTTTTTTTTGGAAAATTATTAAAAATAATTGATTTTTCAAGAAAACAATCAAAAATTGTAGAAAATAATTAAATATATTCAGTAAATATGAAATTGAAATTGAGAAAATTTTAATTCCTGTGGAAAAAATAAACAAATATTTAAATATTTATTTAACAAAAATAATTAAAATTTTAAATTTGAATTTAGAAATTACTGAAAGGAGTTCGGAAAATATTAAAAATATTCTGAGGCATGAATTTAATTCATTTAAAAATTAGCGCTAATTAAAATAAATTATTATTAAATTGTTAATAATTAATTTTGAATTTGAATTTGCAGCAAATATAGAAACGATGGACGACGAGACACTTTGCAAAGTATGTTTGGATGCACCAATTGAATGCGTTATTTTAGAATGTGGTCACATGGCTTGTTGTATAAATTGCGGTAAACAAATGTCCGAATGTCCAATTTGTAGGCAATATGTCGTGCGGGTCGTGAGATTTTTCAAAGCCTGAATATTTAGTTCATAATTTTCGTTTTTTTTCTATTTTTTTTCGTCTTTTTTAATTCATATAAATTTATTTTCTCAACTGGTGACAATTTCGTAAAATTGTAAATATGCTTAAAAAAAAGAAAGGAAAAAGTGTAAAATTTGATCAAATCTATTTTATTCACTTTATCTATTATAATTACAATTAGAAATAAGGCAACAACAAAAAAAATGTACATAGGCGTAAATTTAGTCATATCAACAAATTGCTACTTGTTTTTTTTTATTATTATTATTGACAATATATACAATATATTTTTTCCTCCATTTTAAAAAAAAAATTTTAGAGAAAATGTGAATGTTTAAAATTTACATTTAAATATATTTTTTCTTCGTCTTTTTGCAAATAAATTGTTTTTTTCTCTTTTGGATAGAAATTTTTGTCGGGAGAAAAGAAAGAAGGAATTTCTTTTTGTTAATTCTTTAAAAAAAAAAAAAAAAAAAAAATCTGTAAACGAGCAACGACTGTTAAATAAACCAAATCAATTTAATAATTAAAATATAATCTTTTTACAAATATTTACCTTTTACTATCACGTTATTTCGAATTTATTCTCTTTTTCAGTTCTTTTTTTTGGAAATTTTTTGAAATTTCTAACCTTTCTAGCTAAAGAAATACGTCGAGAATTTGATATTATTAATGTCATAAGTTCCCTTCTTTGGTACTTGTGACAAAATTTTGTTGAAATTTCTGCAGATTTCGGCATTTTTCACAGATTTGCATTCATTTATTTCCCTGAAAAAGAAAATTAGGATAAAATTCGCATAATAATAAAAAAAATAATATTAAGAATAAAATGATAAATTAAAAATAAAATAAAATTTAATTTTAGTAATTAAAATGAATTAAATTCGCGAAAAAAAGCACAAAAGTGTTTTTTGCTAAATTTCATTTTTTCTGCTCGAAAAAAATATTGTCAAAAATAAAAAATTTAAATTAAAGGGAAAATTAAATTTTAGTAAAAGTTTGTTAAAATTTTGTTAAAAAATAAATAATGCAAATTTGAAGGGAAAATACTTACTCTTCGGAAAATTGGAATTTATTCAATAAAAATTGAGAGAGATTCTCTAAAATTGGCTCCGAATGAAGAGCAATAAATTGCTTTCGACAAATCTGAAATAAAATGAAAGAGGGAATTATTAAGAAGATTAATTAATAATTTATACAATATTAAATTAAATAATAATTTAATAATTGATAATAAATTTTTAAAAATTGTTTACGCTTCCTTTCTTGTTTCACACTTTTTCTTTTAGAATTTTTCTTGTCAAATAAAATATCGAATTTAAAAATTATTTTTTGTTTGCTTTTTTTTTTCATAATTTTTTTCTGATACATTTTCAACATTTTAAATAAAGTTTCGAATTAAAAAGAAAGAAATTAAATTCTATTCTTTAATACTTTAAACAATGAAAAAGAAGAAATATTATCAAATTAGCCAAAAAATTTTTCAATTAAAAATTGTCATTTAATTTGCAAATTTAATTTAATATTCTGAAATATAAAAATAGTTAACCTAATTTTTTTAACCTTTACAAGTTTTGAATTAAAAATAATTGAATTCTTCTATAGAATTTTATTAAAAATTTTTGAAAAAAATTGAATTGTTTTGAAGAATTTTAATTTAAAAACTACTAAAAAGAATTTCATTATTTTTAGAAGTTTCAAAATAATTAAATTCCTGCGAAGAATTTTATTAAAACTTTAAAAAATTAATTGAAATCCTGCGAAGAATTCAATTATTTTTATTTATAAAAATAATTGAATTCTTGCGAAGATTGTAGTTAAAATAATTTAATTTCTCCCATGAATTTCGTAAATTAAAAAAATAATTTAATTTATTGTAATAAAAGAAATTTATAAAATATTTTGAAAATAAATTCAAATGTTTCCAAGAATTTTATTAAAAATTCTAAAAAAAATTGATTTTTATATCAAGAAATTTTGTTATAATTGTAGTGAAAATAATTAAATTCTTCTAAAGAAATTTAATTATAATTGTAGTGAAAATAATTGAATTCTTCTAAAGAATTATTAAAATTATTAAAAATTTTAAAAATAATTGAAATCCTGTGCAGAATTCAATTATTTTTAGAAAATAATTGAATACTTACGAAGAATTGTATTATTTATTAAAATAATTGCATTTCTATCGAGAAATTTTACTAAAGTTTGTATTACAAAATAATTTAATTTTTTTAAAGACGTAGAAAAATTATTTGAAATAATTGAATTTCTCGGCGATAAATTTTACTACAATTTTGAATCTAAAATAATTTAATTCTTGGATAAAATTTTAGTCAAAAATTTTTTAAAAGAAAAAAAAAATAACAAATTAATTGAATTCATCGAAAGAATTTTATCAAATTTTTGGGAAATAATTGAATACTTTTGAGAAATTTTACCAAAAATAATTGAATTACTGAGAAGAATTTTACTATTTATGAAAATAATAGAATTTTTTTGAAGAAAGTTTTTGAATAATTTCGAGAAAAAAATTGAATTCTTTCAAGGAAAATTTGTAAGAATTAAATTGAAAATAATTGAATTCCTCAGAAGAATTATTCATTCAAAAAATTCTATTAAAATTCTATTTAAAACAATTGAATTTTTCCGAAAAATTTTTAATACAATTTTCGAAAATAATTGAATTCTTCTCAAGAATTTTATTAAAACTTTAAAAAGTAATTAAAATTCTGCCAAGAATTCAATTATTTATAAAAAAAATAATTTAATTCTTGCCAAGATTTTTATTATTTATGAAAATAATTGAATTTTTGAGAAAAATTGTATTAAAAGTTTTTCAAAAATAATAATTAAATTGTTTTCAAGAATTTTGTTAAAATTATATTAAAAATAATAATTGAATTCTTGAAAACAAATTTATTAAAATTTTAGAAAATAATTTAATTATTTCGGAAAATTTTATTTTAAAACTTTTGAAAGTAATTCAATTTTTTTCAAGAAATTTAATTGAATTAAGAAAAAATGTAAAAGAAGTAATTGAATTATTTCCAAGAATTTTATTAAAAATTCTAAAATAATTGATTTTTATATCAAGAAATTTTATTATAATTGTAGTGAAAATAATTAATTTTTTTTAATTTTTGAGATTAAAAAAAAAAAAAAAAAAAATTTGTGTATTTTTGATACTTACTCAAATTTTAATCAAATTTTTGAGAAAAAATTACATTTTTCGAGAAATTCGATTAAAACTGTAAATTAAAAATAATTGAAATTCTGCGATGATTTTTATTACATTTATGAAAATATAATTCAATTCCTAAAAAGAATTTTTTTATTTACGAAAATAATTGAATACGTGTCAAAATTTTATTATTTATGAAGAGAATTGAATAATTGACGAAGAAATTTATAAGAAAATTTATAAATAATCGAATTCCTGTGAAATTTTTATTATTTTATGTAAATAATTAAATGTTTGCGTAGAATTTTATTAAAATTTTTTTAAATAAATCATTTTTTTCGGAAAATTTTATTAAAAACAGTAAATATTGAAAATCATTGAATTAAGGAAAATTTTTCGAAAATAATTGAAATTTTGACAAGAATTTTATTAAAATTTTCTGAAAAAATAATTGAATTCCTCAGAAGAATTTTCTTATTTATGAAAATAATTGAATTATTGTAACGAATTTTTAAAAATATTTTTAAAAATAATTGAATTTCCGTAAAAAGTTTTATTCCTTTTTGAAAATAATTGAATTTTTCAAAGAATTTTTTTTAAATGCCTCAAAATAATTGAATTTTTGGGAATTATTTTCTTATTTATCTTTAATAATTGAATTCTTTCGAAGAATTATTTCCACGTAAATAATTGAATTCTTGGAAACAATTTTTTAATATCTAAAAGAATAATTGAATTATTATCACAAAAAAAAATTGAATTAAAATTGTATTTAAAATAATTGATTTCTTTCGAACAATTTTATTAAAATATTTCAAAATAATTGAATAAAAAATAATAATTGTATTCTTTAAAAGAATTTTTTTTCTGTTTGTAAAAATAATTGAATATCTTTTCAGAAATTTTCCTAATGCTTGTATCTAAAAATAATTGAATTCGTTGAAAGACTTGGAAGGAAATATTTGGAATAATTGAATTTTTGAGATTAATTTGATGAAAATTTTTAAAAATATTTCAATTTTTTTGCTAGAAATTGTATTTAAAAAAATGATATTGAAAATAATTGAATTCCTCCGAGGAATTTTATTATTTATGAAAATAATTGAATTGTTGCGATAAATTTTATGAAAAATTTTTGAAAATAATTGAAGAAATTTGAAATTGATGGAAGAAAATGAGAATATTGAATTTCTTACTGTATTCATTTTCGTGACTGTCGATGGATGAGTCCAAAAACAATCGTGCACTGACATAAAAGTTATTCCTGCCTGTTCGGAATGTAAACTCGTCAGCATCATGTGCGTTGAATCCAGTGAATGAATGAAATTTGGTGGAAATGCATTCTTTTGTTTCAGCATATTCGTATTTTTGCTAAAGAACAAAGAAAAAATAAAAGGTAAATTTTTTATTTTAATTTAATTAAAATTTAATTTAAAGTTTAAAAAAAAAATTTGTTTTTGAAAATAATTACGGATTTGTTGCAATCCTTTTGTAATAGGGTTGAACTATCGGCAATCCTAATGGAGTTTCCCATTCGACATGTGTTTTTCTCAATGTGCAAATTACTTTCGCGCATTCTGTGAACCAATCCTGAATTTCCCTCGCGCTCGTGAACATTGTTCGCAAACTCCGAAAGCTCTGTTCAACTAAGTACGAACTCGCCGCTCGAATTTCATTTTGAGGAAAGTTCTCCAAATCTGCGAAGCAAAAATTAATTTTCCAAATTAGTCAATTAATTAATATTGAAAATAATCAAAAAGAAACTATTATTACTGTAATTTCTTCAAAATTATTTGCATTTCAATTCAATTATTCATTTCTAAAATTCTAAAAATTCATTTCTAAAATTATTCATTTCTAAAATTCTAAAAATTCATTTCTAAAATTCTAAAATTCTTCTTTAAATCAATTATTTTTAATAATTTTTGAAAAAGTTCTTCTTTGGGAATTTTTAAATTCATTTGTTTACAATTCAATTTTACCTGAAATTTCCATTATTCTGACATTCTTCAATGAAAAAAAATTAGAAATTAAAAACTTCAAAAAATTTAAAAAAAATTCCATTAAACTTTTTAAGAAAAATTAATACTATAAATTTTTTTATTTAATTAAATAATTATTTTTATAGATAATAAAATTATTCGCAGAAATTCAATTATTCTCAAAAATTTGAATAACATTCTTCGAAATAATTCAATTATTTTTAAAATTCACAAAATTCTTCGCAAAAATTCAATTATTTTCAAAATTGATAAAATTCTCAGCAAGAATTCAATTATTTTCAAAAATAATAAAATTCTTCGTAAATATTTAATTATTTTCAATATATTAATTTTTAAGGTAATTTCGATTATTCTGACATTCTTCAATTAAATATATATTTGAAAATAAAAACTTGAAGAATTAAAAAAAAAATTCAATTAAACTTTTTTAAAAAAATTAATTCTACAGAATTGTTAGTTAAAAGTCTGAAAAGTTTAAATTTTCCAAGATTTTAATTTGAAACCTTTTCAAAATTCAATTATTTCTAAAAATTTACACTATATTGCTTTCAATATTCAATAATAATCTAAAATTTTAACTGAAATTTATTTTTATGAAATGAAAATCAATATTTACTAGAAAAATCCACGAGAATTCAATTATTTAAATACAAATAACATGAAAATAAATATTTTATTAAATAATAATTGAATGTTTCTTTAAATTGAATTTTATAAACAAATTTTTAATTAATTGAATTCTCTTGACCAATTTTCATAAAAATTTTAAGAATAAGTTTTTATTAAAATTGTATTAAAATTTAAAAAAAATTAAATTTTACTAATTCTAAAAAATAATTGAATTCATTTAAAAAAATTTTATAACGAATTAAGATAAAAATTGAATTTTTTTCGTGAAATTTTATTGAAAATAATTGAATTCTTGCAAAAGATTTTATTAGAATTTTTGAAAATAATTGAATTTTCAAGAAAAAAATTATTACTTTTAAAAATAATTGAATTCTTGTGATGAATATTGTTATTTATGAAAATAATTGAATTTTATTAAAATGCCTTAAAATAATTGAATTTTCGGAAATAATTTTATTATCTATCTTTAATAATTGAATTCTTTCGACGAATTATTTATGTAAATAATTGAATTTGAAAAGAATTTTATTAAAATCTAAAAGATTAATTGAATTACTTCAAAAAAATTAAATTCTTCCAATTAAACTTTTTCAAAAAAATTAATTTCAAAATTCAATTATTTCTAAGAATTTACGCTATATTGCTTTCAATATTCAATAATAATCTAAAATTTTAACTGAAATTCATTTTTAAATCAATATTTACTAAAAAAAATCAATTAGAATTTAATTATTTAAATACAAAAATAAATATTTTATTAAATAATTGAATATTTCTTGAAATTGAATTTTCATAGTGAATTTTATAAACAAATTTTTATATAATTGTATTCTCTTGACAAATTTTAATAAAAATTTTAAGAATAAGTTCATTTTTCGGAAATTTGATTAAAAATTTTAATTAAAAATAATTTAATTTCTCCAAAGAATTTTATACGAATTTTTGAAAATAATTGAAATTTTGCCAAGAATTTTATAAAAATTTTAGAAAATAATTAAAATTTTGGAGAAAAATAATTTATAAAGATTATTGAAAATTCGACGAGAATTTTTGTAAATTGCTGAATACAATTAAATTTCTGCGAAGAATTATATTAATTTTTGAAAAGAATTGAATTCTTGAGACGAATTTTATTAAAACAACTTTTTAAATAATTGAATTATTTTATTAAATTTGATTGAAATAGTAGACATTATGAAAATAATTTAATTTTAACAAATTTTTGAAATTATTAAAATTTCTACAAAGAATTTTATTAAAATTATTTTGAAAAAAAAAATTGAATTATTACAAAGAATTTGATTAAAATTTTTGAAAATAATTTAATTTTTTCAATAAATTTAATTAAAACTTTATAGAAAATAAAACCTACTAAATCGTTTGAATTGATAAAAGTTTTTGAAAAAATATTTGAAATTTTGCAATGAATTTTATTACAAATTTTTGGAAATAATTGAATTTCTCAGAAGAATTTTACTAACTTTTGAAAATAATTGAATTTCTTCAATAATTTGTAATTGCTTTAAAATTTAATTTCTTTTAGTGTTTTTAATTAAAATTCTTCTATAATTCCATTATTTTTAATAATCAATTAAAAATATAATATTAAAAAATTTAACTACTTTCAGAAGAATTGGAATAATTAAAATTTCTCGAAAATCTACGTTCTTTAAGACGATTTCTAATTAAATTCTCATTCAAAATTGAAATTTTCCAAAATTTCAAATTAAAATCTTTTGAAATTCATCTGTACTTATGAAAATTGTAAACTCAACTTTTTTTTTGAATTGTAATAATAATAATAATAATATTTATTTTATTCAGAAATATTTTTAAAAATACCAATAAGAGGCGATACCTTTCAATTGTTTCATTATTTGTGATTTAGCTCCAAACCTCGTAACACCATAAACGGTCGTCATAATTGTTTGCTTAATGACTTTCCTCTGCACGTGATTTTCCAAAACTTTGGCAATTTCCACATTCTTCTCAGCGTCTAATCGACGAGCCTCTTCCACCTTCAAATAATTTAAATGTTAATAAATTTTCTTTAAATATTAGATTGTATTCTATAATCACTTTATTTCTATCTTAATAATTATTTAAAGTAGAAAAGCGGTTTTAAAATTATCATTATTATTTATTATTTAAAACTATGTTTTTTCTATCATAAGCCTAGAATTGGTCCAACGATCAATTATAGAATAGATCTCAATAAATAAATAAAAAAAAATAATAATATTTAGTGATAGAAAAATTAAGGAAGAAAAAAGAAGAGAAAACTCACACGTTCAACAACGTCGCTGTAAACATCGCGTGGATTTTCAAATGGAAACAAATTAACACTCTCGGCTCCAACTTGATCGCGACCAAGCGCCGCATAATGCTGCAATCCATTGCAACTTCCGTCCTGATGGACCGGAAAACCAGTTAAATATTCACAGGGATTCTCGCACTCCAATGCTCTCGATATTTCCATACAAGCCGCCAGTGTTTGCCAGGGTTCGTCCGATGTTGTCCACCACATTTCGCCCTTTTTAAATAACAACAAAAATTATTTTTATAAATAGTAAAATTCTAAGTATGCAGAAATTCAATTTTTTTTTTTTAATTTTTAGTTTTTTTCTCGAAAGAATTTAATTATTTTTATAAAATAGTAAAATATTTTGCAGGAATTCAATCATTTTTTAAAATTTCAATAAAAACTTCGAAACAATTCAATTATTTTTATAAATATAATAAAATCCGTCGCAAAAATCTAATTATTTTTATAAATAATAAAATTCTTCGAGGGGAATTCAATTATTGTCAATATAATTTCAATAAAATTTCTCGCAAAAAATTTCAATTACTTTCAAAAATCTTAATAAAATCAATCGCAGAAATCCAATTATACTTCAAATTTTTTTTTTTCGAAGTCTTTCAAAGAAATCAATTATTTTTAAATATAAACTTTATTTAAATTTCTGTAGAGAAATTTAGTAATTTTGAAATATTTTAATAAAATTCTTCGCAAGAATTCAATATTGTTTTCATAAAAAATAAAATTTTTTAACAAGAATTCAATTATTTTCAGAAACAAAAAAAAAAATTTGTTGATAAAATTCTTGAGAAAAATTCAATTATTTTCGAAAATTGTATTAAAAATACTTTGGAAAAATTCAATTATTTTAAATATAATTTTAATAAAATTTGTTGAATGAATAAAATTCTTCATTTATTTAAATTGAAAATAAAACAAAGAATTAATTTTATTGAATACAAAAAATTACGTTACCGTCAGAGGATTCTTTGCACTGTCGAGAATTTTGTCAAGAATTTCATTTGCATATTCAAGTCTATTTTTGATGGATTCCTTCTTTTTGAAACCAGTTAAATTAATTGTGTGAATCTTCAGCCAATCGAGGCCCTTTGGACCCAGAGGCTTTTCTTGAGCAAATATCAGCATTGATCGGGAAAAATCCGAGCCAAAGTGACTTAAATGAGGTGGAATTGGATAAACTCTTCCACGGAAATCCATATTGTGTGGCAGCCAAAATGTTTCATTTCTATACTGTTTTAGAAAAGAAGAAAAAAAAATAATATTATCCTAATTCGAAAAACAATATTAATAATAATAACAATTTTATTTTCTCTCTGCGCACAGAGAATAATATTAATAAGAAAAATAGTAAGAAAAACAAAACAGAAAAAATAAATAATAAGAATAATAAATAATAAGAAAAACGTAAATAATAGAACAAATATATTAATAAGAAAATTATAAGAAGAAAATAAAAAGCAAAAGTACAAAAAATTTATTACTTTCAAAACAAATAAAATTCTTCTCAAAGATTCAATTATTTTTACAAACAAAAAAAAATTCTTTTAAAGAATACAATTATTATTTTTTTTCAATTATTTTGAAATATTTTAATAAAATTGTTCGAAAGAAATCAATTATTTTAAATACAATTTTAATTCAATTTTTTTGTGTGATAATAATTCAATTATTCTTTTAGATATTAAAAAATTCTTTCCAAGAATTCAATTATTTACGTATAAATAATTCTTCGAAAGAATTCAATTATTAAAGATAAATAACAAAATAATTCCCAAAAATTCAATTATTTTCAAAAAGGAACAAAACTTTTTACGGAAATTCAATTATTTTCAAAAAGGAACAAAACTTTTTACAGAAATTCAATTATTTTTAAAAATATTTTTAAAAATTCGTTACAATAATTCAATTATTTTCATAAATAAGAAAATTGTTCTGAGGAATTCAATTATTTTTTCAGAAAATTTTAATAAAATTCATGTCAAAATTTCAATTATTTTCAAAAATTTTCCTTAATTTAATGATTTTCAATACCTACTGTTTTTAATAAAATTTTCCAAAAAAAATCATATTATTTAAAAAAATGTTAATAAAATTCTACTTAAACATTTAATTAGTTACATAAAATAATAAAAATTTCAGAGGAATTCAATTATTTATAAATTTTCTTTTAAATTTCTTCGTCAATTATTCAATTATTTTCATAATTATAAGAAAATTTTTACAGGGATTCAATTATTTTCATAAATAAGAAAAATTTTACAGGGATTCAATTATTTTCGTAAATAATAAAATTCTTTTTAGAAATTCAATTATTTTCATGAATATAATAAAAATCATCGCAGAATTTCAATTATTTTTAATTTACAATTTTAATCGAATTCCTCGAAAAATGTAATTATTTTTAAAAACATTATTAAAATTCGTCAAAAGAATTCAATTATTTAAAAATTTGTTATGCTAAAATTCTTTATGAGAATTCAATTTTAAAAAAACATTAAATTATTTATTTGCATTTTTACATTTAAATTTGTATTTAAATCATTGAATTCCAGTAGAATTTTCAAATAAAAATTGATTTTCATTTCATAAAAATGAATTTCAGTTAAAATTGTAGACAATAATTGAATAATGAAAGCAATATAGTGTGAATTTTTAGAAATAATTGAATTTTGAAGTTAATTTTTTTTTTTGAAAAAGTTTAAGTGGAAGAATTCAATTATTTTTATAAAAAGTAAAACTTTTGTCAAAAATTTAATTATTATCATCAAAATTTTAATAAAATTTCACGAAAGAATTCAATTATTTTCTAAAATTTTAATAAATCTTTTGAATCAATTCAATTATTTTTTTAAATGGTAAAATCTATGCAATTATTCAATTATTTTCAATAAAATTTCACGAAAAAATTCAATTTTTATATTAATTCGTTATAACAATTTTTTTAAAAGAATTCAATTATTTTTTAGAATTAGTAAAATTCTTTGCAAAAATTTAATTATTATTAATACAATTTTAATTAAATTTCTTGATATAAAAATCAATTATTTTAGAATTTTTAATAAAATTCTTGGAAATAATTCAATTACTTCTTTTACATTTTTTTATTAATTTAATTAAATTTCTATTGAAAAAAATTGAATTACTTTCAAAAGTTTTAAAATAAAATTTTCCGAAATAAGTAAATTATTTTCTAAAATTTTTATAAATTTTTGTTTTCAAGAATTCAATTATTCATTTAAATATAATTTTAATAAAATTCTTCGAAACAATTTAATTATTATTTTTGAAAAACTTTTAATACAATTTTTCTCAAAAATTCAATTATTTTCATAAATAATAAAAATCTTGGCAAGAATTCAATTTTTTTTTATAAATAATTGAATTCTTCGCAGAATTTTAATTATTTTTTAAAGTTTCAATAAAATCCTTCGAAGAAATTAAATTACTTTTAAATATAATTTCAATAGAATTTTTCGCAAAAATTTTGATAAAATTCTTGAGAAGAATTTAATTATTTTTGAAAATTGTATTAAAAAATTCTTCGGAAAATTTCAATTATTTTTAATACAATTTTAAGAAAATTTTATGAATGAATTCAATTTTTATATATTTAAATATATTTAAATATATTTTTTTTATTTTTTATAAAATTTCTCGAAAGATTTCAATTATTGTAATTAAATTTTTTTGAAATAATTCAATTATTCTTTTAGATTTTAATAAAATTCTTCCCAAGAATTCAATTATTTACGTGGAAATAATTCTTCGAAAGAATTCAATTATTAAAAATAAATAACAAAATTATTTCTGAAGATTCAATTATTTTGAGGCATTTTAAAAAAATTCTTTGCAAAATTTAATTATTTTCAAAAGAATTTAATAAAATACCACACAGAATCTTTCCAAAACATTCTTCTTGAAATGAAATTAAATTTTGCCGTAAACTTACGTGATTTGCAAGCGATAATTTATAAAGAGCTTCGCACCACAACGAGAACATTTCATTTTTCTTCTTACGGAAAGCTATTATATTGTTGGTATTTTCTCGTCTTTCCTCTTCGGAGATAGCAGCGTTGTCAACAGGAGGCGGCTGCGGTAAACTCGAAGGCGGTTCGGGTACATTTAATTCTTTCGAACCTCCATCTTGAAAAACCTATTTAATCAAATTTCTTTTTTTTTTTTAGTTTATAAACGTAACGAATTTTTCTATTTATTTTTTTTTGTTAATAAATTACAATTTTTCCCGTTTCGAAATTTAAGATAAAATTATTTTTCTCACCTTCATTGCCACATCGAGAATTTTCGTATTCACACGCCAAGGAATCGATCCCAATTGATTCAACGAGTCAAATAGCGGATACATTTTTTCTTTTGGTCTCGATCGTATCCTTTTCAAATGCTCCGTCTGTGAGATGAAATTTTATGTTTTTTTTACCTTATTATGAATATTAATATTTTCATTTTATATTAATTGAAAATTATAATAAGAATTTTTTACTTTTTGGATTTGAAAAAGGGAAAATTAATTTTTTTATAGATTATTTGAAGATTTATTGAAGTGACTTACGAAACTGTAAGGAACACGAATTAAGGAGGATTTATTAATTAAGTAGCCTCCTTTGTCGATTTTGTACCAGGGCTTCGGGGGTGATATCGAAGGCAGTGCATCGTAGTTGAAAGTTAATGTTTCCAATTGACATTCTCGGTATATTTTCGTCAACAACGGATGCGGTTGAATCTGCAATTCAATTTTAATTCAATTTATTTAGTTTCTTTAATTACTAATTATTTGTTGATTCTTTTTTAATTCTTTATTAATTTTTTTACTAATTATTTGTTGATTCTTTTTTAATTCTTCATTAATTTACTACTAATTATAATAAAAATGTAATAAATAATTATTTATTAATTTACTCGAATAATTAGAGTAAAAAATAAGAATTCTTAGAAAGATGAGAAATAAAAATAAATAGAAAAACTGCTAAAAAATCAGATATTTATTAATTATTCGAATAATTAGAATAAGAAATAAGAATAATTTAAAAAAAAATATTTTTAAAAGCTTAATAAACAATTATATTGATTAAATTTCTATTAATTTAATTATTATTATTATTATTATTATTATTATTATTATTATTATTAAAAAAAAAAAATGTATTTATATTGTTTTTTTTGTACCTCATCTATGACCTGCTTTATTTTACTTCGAAAGATAACGTAGAATGCAGGAACGGAAATTTTATTTCCATTCTTCGATGTGATGTTAACTTTCAAATCCTTCAAAATAATATCGTACAAAAATTTGCCAACTCCCTTCAATACTCCCTCAGGCCATTGCATAACTGGTATATAAGAACATTTGCCCGATTCTTTTAATTCATGCTCCAAATATTGCCATTTGATGCGAGAATTTTTTGCGTATCCTCCCTCGAGATACCATTCGCAATAGTCGTCGTAGCATTTTAAAAAGTCGTCGGTCACGCCCAGTTTGTCTTGAATTTTTTGCTTTATAAAAAAAATATTACTATTATTATTATTAATTATAAGAATTCCTCTTTACTTTTTTACTTTAAATTTATATTTCAGACTTTGCACTCGATAATTAATTTTAAAAAAGTAGCAAAAAGTACCTTTCAATCTAAAAAAAAAGTAGTAAAAAAAAGTAGCTATCGAAAAATTAAACTTGACGACCAAAAAAAAATTCGATTTAGACACTTTGCAAAACTGACAAAAAATACAAAATAATTAATTCTTTGAAAGACTTAGAATAAAATATCTGAAATAATTAAATTTCTGCGATTAATTTTACTACAATTTCGAATCTAAAATAATTTAAATCTTGAATAAAATTTTAGTGAAAAAATTTTTCAAAAGAAAAAAAAATTAACAAATTAATTGAATTCATCTAAAGAATTTTATCCAATTTTTTTGGAAAATAATTGAACACTTTTGAGAAGTTTTACCAAAAATAATTTAATTCCTGGGAAGAATTTTAATAACTATGAAAATAATTGAATTTTTTTTCAAAGAAAGTTTTTGAATAATTTTGAAAAAAAATTGAATTCTTTCGAGGAAAATTTGTAAGAATTAAATTGAAAATAATTGACTACCTCAGAAGAATTTTATTCATTCAAAAAAAATTCTATAAAAATTCTATTTAAAATAATTGAATTTTTCCAAAGAATTTTTTAATACAATTTTCGCAAATAATTGAATTCTTCTCAAGAATTTTATCAAAATTTTTGCGAAAAATTCTATTGAAATTATATTTAAAAGTAATTGAATTTCTTTGAAGAATTTTATTGAAACTTTAAAAAATAATTAAAATCCTGCGAAGAATTCAATTATTTATAAAAAAAATAATTAAATTCTTGCCAAGATTTTTATTATTTATGAAAGTAATTGAATTTTTGAGAAAAATTGTATTAAAAGTTTTTCAAAAATAATAATTAAATTGTTTTGAAGAATTTTATTAAAATTATATTAAAAATAATAATTGAATTCTTGAAAACAAATTTATTAAAATTTTAGAAAATAATTTAATTATTTTGGTAAATTTTATTTTAAAACTTTTGAAAGTAATTCAATTTTTTTCAAGAAATTTAATTGAATTAAGAAAAAATGTAAAAGAAGTAATTGAATTATTTCCAAGAATTTTATTAAAAATTCTAAAATAATTGATTTTTATATCAAGAAATTTTATTATAATTGTAGTGAAAATAATTGAATTCTAATCAAATTTTTGAGAAAAATTACATTTTTCGAGAAATTCGATTAAAATTGTAAATTAAAAATAATTGAAATTCTGCGATGATTTTTATTACATTTGTGAAAATATAATTCAATTCCTAAAAAGAATTTTATTATTTACGAAAATAATTGAATACGTGTCAAAATTTTATTATTTATGAAGAGAATTGAATAATTGACGAAGAAATTTATAAGAAAATTTATAAATAATCGAATTCCTGTGAAATTTTTATTATTTTATGTAAATAATTAAATGTTTGAGTAGAATTTTATTAACATTTTTTTAAATAAATGAGTTTTTTTTTGAAATTTTATTAAAAACAGTAGATATTAAAAATCATTGAGAAGACAAGAATTTTATTAAAATTTTCTGAAAAATAATTGAATTCCTCAGAAGAATTTTTTTATTTATGTAAATAATTGAATTATTGCAACGAATTTTTTTAATATTTTTAAAAATAATTGAATTTCTGTAAAAAATTTTGTACTTTTTGAAAATAATGGAATTTTTCAAAGAATTTTTTTAAAATGTCTTAAAATATTTGAATTTTCGGGAATAATTGTGTTATTTATCTTTAATAATTGAATTCTTTTGAAGAATTATTTTTGTAAATAATTGATTTCTTGGAAAGAATTTTTTAATATCTAAAAGAATAATTAAATTATTTCCAAAAAAAAATTGAATTAAAATTGTATTTAAAATAATTGATTTCTTTCGAACAATTTTATTAAAATATTTGAAAATAATTGAATAAAAAAAATAATAATTGTATTCTTTAAAAGAATTTTTTTTGTGTTTGTAAAAATAATTGAATTCCTGAGAAGAATTTTATTAATTTTGAAAATAATTGAATTCTTTTAAAAAAATTGTATAACGAATTAAAATAAAAATTGAATTTATTCGTGAAATTTTATTAAAAATAATTGAATAATTGCAAAGATTTTACCATTTAAAAACATAATTGAATTGTTTCGAAAGATTTATTAAAATTTTAGAAAATAATTGAATTCTTTCGTGAAATTTTATTAAAAGTTTGATGATAATAATTGAATTTTTGCAAAAAGTTTTACTTTTTATAAAAATAATTGAATTCTTCCAAAAAATATTATTATTTATGAAAATATTTGAATTTCTGAGAAGAATTTTTTAAAATCTTTTTAAAAATAATTGAATTTCTGTAAAAAAAATTTGGTTCTTTTTGGAAATAATGGAATTTTTCAAAGAATTTTTTTAAAGTGCCTTTAAATAATTGAATTTTTGGGAATAATTTTATTGTTAATTGACATAATTGAATTTTCGAAGAATTATTTATGTAAATAATTGAATTCTCGGGAAGAATTTTTTAATATCTAAAGAAATAATGGAATTATTTCCAAAAAAAATTGAATTAAAATTGTAAAAAAAAAAAAATGATTTCTTACGAACAATTTTATTAAATAATTTAAAAATAGTTGAACTTTTGTGAAAAATTTTGTTATTTTTGAAAATAATTGAATTTTTCGATTAATAAATTTAAAATAGTGTTAAAAATAATTGAATTTCATTAATAAGTTTTATCATATTTATGAAAATAATTGAATTCTTGCTTAGAATTTTATCAAAAATTTTTTTAAAAAATTGAATTTCCATAAAAAATGTTATTATTAGTGGAAATAATTGAATTATTGTAAAGAATTGTATAAGAATTTTGTTAAATAATTGATTTTTTCGAAATTTTCTTCAAAATGCTATTCTAAATTAATTGAATTCCTGTGGAAATTTTATTATTTATTAAAAATAATTTCATTTCTTTTTTCTTGCATTAATTATTAATAATATAAATAAGTAAAGAAAGAAAATAATCACCTCGTATTTTTCGAATAAACTCAGAGCCAATTGTTTCGATAAGTAGGAAATTGGAGGACTAAATGATTCTGTAGATTTGGCGAGATATTTTGTTTCCTTAATTATTGCGTTGACATAAATTTCCGGCTCCATTACCGAGAGATATGGATGAATATCCGTTATTCTTAAATCATACTCGCGCACTTTTAGCGTTTTCAAATTTCTCTCGAACGCTTTACTCACTTCCACTTGCCACGTTTTCTCCAAATTACTAAATTCTCTTCTCTGGAATTTTTTAAAAATATTTTTCTTTCATAAAAATTCAAAGAATAAACGAAAAAATGTAAAATAAAATTTTTAAACAAGTAAATGAATAAAGTAATAAATAAATAAATAATAATTTTAAATAAATATTAACTAATGCATTCAATTATTAATTATTAATTCGATTTCATTTCAGTAGAAAAATATTATCATAAAAAATAAAAAAATATAAAAAACGAATATTTTCAAAAAATACAATAAAAATATAATAATTTTAGAGTGAAAAGAAATTTTAGACTCACAGCTTCGAGAATACTCTCAGTCGCTTCAATATTCATGGAAATATTTTTAATTTCCACATCGCCGAACGATTCAATTTCATATTGTTTTTTCGCTCTCTCCTTCAAATCGGACAATTGAAATAAATTCTTCGCTGGACTCTCAAAATTGCGATTCACATAAATATCATTAAGCAAAGGACAAGAATAATTCACGTGTTCCCTTGGAAAATTAGGAGTAAAATTCTTATTCAAAATTCGAGCGATTTTCAGAATATTTTCAAATTGATCATTCACGAATGTCGGTCGTGTTAAGACATCGTTTAAACTTATTTCATTCTCGTGCATTTCCTTTTTAATCTGCCTGAGAAAATCTGCAAATAGAAAAGAAGGAAAATATATTAGAACAATTATTATTACTGATTAACAATTATTTTCTTTTTCTTTTTTTGTATTTAAATTAAAATTTCTAATTATTTTGGTAGAAATTTAAGCAAAAATTATTTATTAATTTTTTTTTTGTTTTTTATTTGTTTGTACAAAAAAAAAGGATTTAAAGTGTTTAATGTAGAAAAATTATGAAATATAATAAGTAAAAAAGTGTAAAAAGTATTTAAAGTAAAAAAAGTATAAAAATTATAAAATATAAAAAGTAAAAAAGTGAAAAAAGTAGAAAAATTATGAAATATAAAAATTAAAAAAGTGTAAAAAGTATTTAAAGTACAAAAAATAGAAAAATTATTAAAATTGTAAAATTATTATAAAATATAAAAAGTTTCAAAGTAGAAAAAGCTGAAAAAGTAGAAAATATTAAGGCAGAAAAAGTAGAAAAATGATTAAATATAAAAAATAAAAATGTAGAAAAGTAGAAAAATTTTATAGTATAAACAGTAAAAAAAAAAAAGTAGAAAAAGTAGAAAAGTAGAAAATATTAATGTATAAAAAGTAAAAAAAAAGTAAAAAAGTAGAAAAATTATAAAATATAAAAAGTAAAAAAATGTAAAAAGTATTTAAAGTGGAAAAAGTAGAAATATTATAAAATATAAAAAGTATAAAAGTGTAAAAAGTATTTAAAGTATAAAAAATAGAAAAATTATAAAATATAAAAAGTTAAAAATTAGAAAAAGGTGAAAAAGTAGAAAAGTGGAAAAATTATAAAATATAAAAAGTAAAAAAGAACAGAAATTATGAAGTAAGAAAAAAGTATTTTCCAAAAAAGAAAAATTCCAAAAACACAAACCAATTTTTTGCCCCTGATCCTCCAATTTAGCGACACATTCAAAAATATAGGCATAAGATTCCGCAGTCAATCGAATAGAATATTTTTCCATTAAACCTTTGATTTTCACTAAATTATTGAAATCAGCATTTGTCGCAAAATGTTTGAGAAATAAATTATGAAATCTGACATTTTTAAAGGCATTTTGCAATTGTGGATTGGAATTTTCCTCGAGGCGAAGAAATATTTTTAAAGCCTCCGTCCCCTTTTCACAATTAAGGCACGTTTGAAAGAATGCAAATAAATTTATACTCTTATCTTCTATTTCATTTTTCCATCTCAATTCATTTTCATCCGCATTTATTTTCGCCTCCGAAAAATTATTTTCATTATTAATATTATTAATTATTCTTTCGTTTCTCTTAATTTTCTTCGTGACATTATTTTCCTTCTTTACTTCGAGAATTTTCTCCTGTTCGAGAAATCTTTTTAATTCCTTCACTAACTGAAAGAGAATTTTTATTTTAAAATTAATGTTAAAAGTTAAATATAATTAATACTAATTAAAAATTCAATAATTTTTTGAAAATATAAACAATAATTATTAATTATTTACTTCAGAAGAACATTTGAATTTTTTAATTTGATTATAAAATTATTCAAAAATTTATATTTGAAAACAAATTTTGAATTTAAAATTTTAAAATTGAATATCATGTTCCGTGGGAAATATTTTCTGGTTATTAAGAATTAAAATTGAAATTAAATTTTAAAAAAACCAAAGAATGAATTAAATTTAATTTCAATTTTTAATTATTAAAAATTCTTTTTATTTTCTTACTTCGGAGGAACTTTTTCTCCGTTTATATTTCCTCTTGGATTTATTTTGAATTAAATTTACCTGAAAATGAAAAAAAGAAAATTAGAAAATCGGGATTATTTAGAAAATATTAAAATTAAAAAAATTAATAATTAATTTGTTTTGAAATATTTACTTCATTTGGTTTCACAAATTCTGACAAATTTTCGGCATTTAATGTTTTTACTTTCGTCCTTCGATTCTTGGCCGCAGCGTCGGTGACTAACAAATAAATAATAATTTAAAGAAATAAATTAGAAAAAAAAATTACAAAAAGAGAAAAGGTTCGAAAAAAAATTAATTACCTTCCAAAAGTTCGAGAAATTTTCCATTGTTTCGTTTAATTTTCTTTGAATAAAGAACATTTATTTCCGATGGTTTTACAGTTGTTGAATAATATTTCAATTGTTGACAAGCTAGAATTTTTTATTTTAAAAAGTTGAATATAATTTTTATTCACTTTTAATACCTTTTCTTTTATTTATTAGTTACTTTTTTAAATTTATTAGTTACTCTTTTTATTCAGCAGCTACTTTTTTGTGAATTATTTCAAAAGCAAAATATTCACGTCGTGAAATTAAAATAAATTTCGAAATTGACACACATGTTGAACATAACCTCAAAATTGAAAAAAAAATTTCGCGTTTATATAACACAATTAGAAATATTTAAGGGACGAATATTTGCAAAATACGAAAAAAAGAGAGAAAGTTTGACAAATTTCAATCATTAAATCACTGAATCAAGAACAATAAAATAAACAAATGCGAAAAAATTAAATCAAAATGAAGACATAACCTCTAAAAGCAAAGTATCAAATAAAAATACAGCACAAAAAACTTGAAAAAACTGTTTCTTTTCTAATTGGGTTTTTAAATAGAAAAAACGCATTTCTTTTTTAGGTGGAAATATCAAAAATTAACTCACATTTAAAAATTTCCTGATGATAAAATTTGCAAAACGAACACAAGTAATAACTTTGCACTAAAACTTCCGCCGGTTTTGTTAACACTTTATTTCCTAAATATAAATTGCGAACTGTTAAAAGTCCGTACATTTTGATAAAAACATTGATATTATTTTTTAATTAAAAAAAACACAATTCCTGCAGGAATTTTATTGTATAATCTATAAATTTAAAGAATTTAAAAACTGTGATTACATTTTTGGTTTCGTACTAAAAATTAATATTTGCGTTAAGCATTGTGAGGGAACCTTTATTGACAGGGAATCGCAGGGTTGGGTAGTTGTGACCCGTCAGGTGACGAAATCTTTTACATTTTACAAAAAAAACGTATCTTACGCCCTTTCGCAAAAAAAACATAAATTTTGGATGTAGAATTCATAAATTTCAATGTAAAAAAACGAAATAAAATAAAATATCAAAAGGTACTTTGAAGAAGCAATGAAGCAATTTAGAGGTGCAACACTAAACGGAGCTTAAAAAAGTGTTCTTCCGGTTCCGGTGGTTGTTACTAACTTTCGGCAAGTTTCCACTCTCTTTACAGTTAGTTTATGACCAAGGAAGCAGTGGATGTAAACAATTGTTTAACATTTGTTTGTGTTATTAAAAAAGAACGCGAAGTTTAATGATATTTTTCACGAACTCAGTCTCTATTAATGTTAATTAAACAAGTGGGTTAAAATTTGTGAAAGTGGGGAAAATATTCGACAATATGAAACGCACTGTAAGTAATTAAAATTCTTTCCTTTATTTACAATTGTCAGAAAAGTTGACCATTCGTTTTGGTTCAAGTAATTCGAGAATCTGTGAATAATATTGATCGTAATTTCTAATTTTGCTGAAACTAAACGTAATTTTTTGCTTTTGTTAGAAGAGAAACTATTTTTTCATTTCATAAAATTGAGAGATTTTTGATATAATTTTGAACGCATTTTAAGACAGGCTTCGCACTTGTCTAGGTACTTGAACTAAATCGACTAAATTCTAAAATACTATTTACTATTTCTTTTACGATTTTGTTACTTTTTGCTAGATTTCTGAAAATAAAAGTTAGTTTCCTTTTAAAAATTTTCCAAAGTTTGGAATTCATTAAAAAAAAACTTGATTATTTTTCAATATTTTCGAGAAAAATTTATTTTTTTGAACACTTTAATTCTCGGTGGAAAAATAAATAACAATAAGTATTTAAATATTATCAATTTATTCAAAATTAAAAATTGACTTTAGAAATTTGGAAAAAAATTCGGTTTTTGAGAAATTGTCATTAAAAATTTTTCTTCTTTTTAAGATAATTGAATTCCTGAAAAATTGTTATTTTCTAAAGTTTATTCTTGAAATCTAATTTTACATAAATATTTCAAAATAAATTTTAAATTAATAAATAAATAAATTTTAAATTAATAAAATATTTATTTTTGTATTTAAATAATTGAATTTTCTTCGATTTTTTTTAGTGAAAATATACAATTACAGAGTTTCAATAATTGAAATTTCGTAAAATTTAATTGAAAATAATTTATTTTTTTCAAAGTGTTTTATAACAATTTTTGAAAATCAACTTTTGAAGAATTTTAATTGCAAATTTTGAAAATAATTGAAATTGAATTCCTCGGAAGAATTCAATTTTTAAAGAAATTTTTGAATATATTTCGAATAAATTCAATTATTTTCTAAAATCTTAATAAATTCTTTGAAACAATTCAATTATTTTTATAAATATAGTAAAATTCTTCGCAAGAATTCAATTATTTTTATAAATAGTAAAATTCTTTGCAGGAATTCAATTACTTTCAAAATATCTTTAATTGAATTTCTCGGAAGAATTCAAATATTTTTATAAAATTCAATTATTTCCTAAAATTTTAATAATATCTTGAAAATAATTCAACTATTTTTATAAATACTAAATAAATTTTTAAAATTTACAATAAAAAGATTTTCAATAATTGAAATTTCGTAAAATTTGATTGAAAATAATTGATTTTTTTGCAAAGTGTTTTATAAGAAATTTTTGAAAATCAACTTTTAAAGAATTTTAATTGCAAATTTTGAAAATAATTAATTTCTCAAAAATTTTAATGAAAAATCTTCAAGTGTAAATTTAAAAATGGTAATTAATGAAAATTAGCTTTTAAAAATTATATTAAGGGCATTTGAACCTTGATGACGTTACAGATTGTGCAAAGCATGTGTGACGTCATCAAGGTTCAAATGCCCTTAAAATTTTTTTGAAAAAAATAATTCTTAGAATTTTTGTATTCTAATTTTTTAAAATTTAATTATTTTCAATATTTTCAAATACAAATCTCCAAAAATTCAAATATACCTATACAAAATTTAAATTTTTTACAATTATTTTTACATATAACAATCATGTTCAAAATTTATAATCAAAATTCTTGAAAAAATTATTTCTTTTTTTTATACAAAAATTCTTTGAAGAAATTCAATTCTTTTTGAAGAAAGTAAATTAAAGTTTTTTAAAATTTACTTTTTTTAGATTAATTAAAATTGAGAAATCACGTTTATATTATAATAATTAAAATTCTTTAAAAATTCAATTTTTTTTTTTTTGAATAGAATTTACCAAATTTCAATTGTTTGGAAATTTTCTAAATTGCATATGAATAAAAAAAACTATTATCGTTCATAAATTATTTTTAAAAAATCTTTGAAAAATTAATTATTTATTTAACGAAGTTATTCAAGTTTTGAATACATAATTAAATTTAGAAATCAGTGAAAGATCAGAAAAATAGAAAATATAATTTTTGTGACGACACTGAATTAAATAAACGACTTTTTCCACTTTTTTTCTATTTTAAATCGACTAAAGCTGAGATTCTTGCTGAGAATTTTATGAATTTTGAAAATAATTGAATAATTCTTTTGAAGAATTTTGTGAATTTTAAAAATAATTGAATTATTTCGAAAAATGTTATTCAAATTTTTTTTGAGAATAATTGAATTCCTGCGAATATTTTTATTATTTATAAAAATAATTAAATTCTTGACAAGATTTTTAAAGGAAATTTATAGTATTAATTTTTCTCAAAAAGTTTAATGAAATTTTTTTTCAATTACTTATTTGAAGTTTTTAATTTCTAATTTTTTTTTTTTTTCATTGAAGAATGTCAGAATATAATCGAAATTTTCGGTAAAATTGAATTGTAAACAAATGGATTTAAAAATTCCAAAAAGAAGAACTTTTTTTAAAAATTATTAATAATAATTTGATTTAAAGAAGAATTTTAGTTAAAAATTCTAGAAATGAATAATTGAATTGAAATGATAATAATTTTGAGGAAATTACATTAATAATATTTTTGTAGTATAAAATAATTTACTTTCTATCATTTTTAAAATTTAATAATTTTTTTTTATTTAATTTTTTTTATTTAATTTTTTTTTATTTAATTTTTTTTATTTAATTTTTTTTTATTTAATTTTTTTTTATTTAATTTTTTTTATTTAATTTTTTTTTATTTAATTTTTTTTTATTTAATTTTTTTTTAGCTTTTAATTACTAATCGTATAATATTTGTAATTACACAGATAACAGAGGAGAATAGAGACGCAAAGCGACCGTACATGGTGAAGCAGGAAGGCGTCACTTTTTCCTACGATCCCTACGTTGGCTACTCAACGGCCACGTCGACGTCCTCGACGATCAATCAACCTCTACCTGGACAGCCACCATTGCCGCCGATGCCACCCCCGCCCCCAGTTCCTCCCCCTCATCACGTTTTTGTCACTCCCCAAGTGAATCCTCTTCAGACCTGGACACACGCACCGCCCCCCTGGCAATGGTTGGCCCAGCAGCAGGCACTCTCCTCGCAGGCAGTTCGCGACATAACGAGCAATTTCCAGCGGGGGAATTTCATCAAACGTGAACAACAGCGCTTCCCGAACAGCAATAATCTTCCAAATAGCAACAATAATCGAAATATTATCTACAATAATCAGAGGAATAATTTTCATCGGAACAAGAGGAAAACACAGCGATTCGATTCGAAATTGGAGCAAATTTATTCGGATGTCTCGTCGAATGTCTCGACGCCAGTTCCGAATTTAATGAATCATTTGAAGACGCACGGACTTGAGAATAATTTCGATATTAATTCGGTTTGTATTTAAAGTAGAGCTACTTTTTTCCTCCTTAAGTTCAATTTTTTTTAATAAAAAATTTCCGACGAATTTTATAAAAAAAAAAATTGTGTTGAAAATAATTAAATTTTTGCAAAGAATTTATTTATTTTTGAAAATAATTGAATTCTCGTAAAGATTTTTATTGAAATTTTTGCAAAGAATTTATTTATTTATAAAAATAATTGAATTCGTGTAAAGATTTTTATTGAAATTTTTGCAAAGAATTTATTTATTTATAAAAATAATTGAATTCGTGTAAAGATTTTTATTGAAATTTTTGCAAAGAATTTATTTATTTATAAAAATAATCGAATTCGTGTAAAAATTTTTATTGAAATTTTATGCAAAGAATTTATTTATTTACGAAAATAATTGAATTCGTGTAAAGATTTTTATTGAAATTTTCGAAAATAATTAAAAATTCCTGTCCAGAATTTTATTATTTATCAAAATAATTTTATTTTTAAGTAGAATTTATTAAAATTTATAAAAAAAAATTGAATTCATTTGAGAAATTCAAATATTTTGATAAATAATAAAATTATTCACAGGAATTTTCAATTATTTTTGATAATTTTTTAATAAAAATATTTAAACGATTTTGATTATTTTCATAAACGAATAAATTCTTTGGAAAAATTTAATTATTTTTAGTACAATTTTAATAAATAACATTTGTAGAAAAAATTTTAATAAAAATAATTTAATTTTTGACAAGAATTTATTTATTTATGAAAATAATCGAATTCGTGTAAAGATTTTTATTAATATTTTTGGAAAATAATTGAAATTTTTGCAAAGAATTTATTTATTTTTGAAAATAATTGAATTCGTTTAAAGATTGTTATTAAAATTTTTGAAAATAATTGAAAATTCCTGTAAAGAATTTGATTAATTATGAAAATAAATGAACTTTTAAAAAGAATTTATCAAATTTTATAAAAAAAAAAAATTGAATTCTTTCTAGAAATTCAATTATCTTCATAAATAATAAAATTCTATACAGGAATTTTCAAAAATTTTAATAAAATTCTTGGCAAAATTTCAATTATTTTCAACAAATTTCTTCAATTCAATGATTTTCAATAACTAGCATTTTAATAAATATTTCCAAAAGAATTCAATTATTTTCAAAAATGTTTAATTAAAATTCTTGCGCAGAAATTTAATTAATTTCAAAAATTATAAATCGTTGCAGAAATTTAATTATTTTCAAAATTAATAAAATTCTTCGTAAAAATTCAATTATTTTTCCAAAAATTAAAAAAAATTTCGTCCAAATTTCAATTATATTTATAAATTTAATTCAATTTTTATAAAATTCTTCGAAATAATTCAATTATTTGTTTTTACAATTTTCATGAAATTCGTCGCAAAAATTCAATTATTTTCGTAAATAATCAAAATCTTTATAGAAATTCAATTATTCATTTCAAAAATTTATTAAAATTTGTCGCAATAATTGAATTATTTTCATAAATAATAAAAACTTGTCCCAGAAATTCAATTATTTTCAATACAATTTCAATAGAATTTCTCGAAAGAATTCAATTATTTTTAATTATTTTTTATTCAATTCAATTATTTAAGAAATATTCAATTATTCAGTAAATTATTTATTTGCATTTTATTTGTATTTAAATAATTGAATTCTCTTAGCATTTTCTAATAAAAATTGATAAAAAATTAAATTTTAGTTAAAATTTTAGATAAAAATTTAGATAATATTAGAATCGTTATAGTATTAATTTTTAGAAATAATAATTATTTTCAAAAGATTTTTTTCGAATTGAAATCTTGGAAAATTTTAATTGCTGTAAAAAAAATATTTTTTTTTGATTTCGAAAGAAAATAGAAGTTTTGAATAATTATTTTAAAAATTTCCACCAAAAAAAAATGATAGAATTTTGGAAGAAATGTAATTTTTAGAAATAGTTCAAATTCAAAGAGGCTTTACATTGAAATCATTTAGAATATTTTAATTCCTGTTGGAAAAATAAAAAAGGTATTTAAATATTAATTTTTAGAAAGTTATTCTATTTTTGATTCTTTTATAATTTTAATTGAAAATTTTGAAAGTAATTGGATTTTATTTAAGAATTTAATAAAATTTTTTTTAAATAATTCAATTTTTAATAAAAATTATTAGAATTTTTAAAAATAATTCAATTTTTGACGAAAATTTTACTAAATATTTCGTTAATAATTGAATTTTTGAGAAGAATTTTGTGACTTTTGCGGAAATAATTGAATTTAGAAAAAATTGTTTCACAATTTTATATAATAATTGAATTTTATTATTGGATTTATTAAAATTTTTGTGTAATACTTGAATTTTTGCGAATTTTATTCAAATTTTTAAAAATAATTGAATTTCTATATTTAGATTTTTGTTATTTCTAAAATAATTGATTTTTTTTTTTGATAAATTAGAAAGTTTGAATATAATTGAATTTCCGAGAAGTATTTGAATACATTTTTTCGTAATAATTAGATTTTTGAGAAGAATTTTGTAATGTATATAAAAAAATAATTAAATTTAAAAATTTTTCCAAATATTTGGAAAATAATTGAATTTTAGAAAAATTTATAAACAAACAACTATACGAAATCGGATTTAATTTTCTATCAATAATTTTAATAAAGTTTCAATACTAAAAATTATTAATTACAATTATTAACAAAATTCTTCGGAGGAATTCAATTTTTGTAAAATTTCTCGAAATAATACAATTATTTTTAAAAAAAAATATTAATTAAATTCAATTATTTTCAAAAATTCTAATAAAATTCTTCGAAAGAATTCAATTATTTTCTTTATAAATAATAAAATTCTTGAAAGGAATAACATTAAATTATTTTTAATATAATTTTGTCGAAAGAATATAATTATTTTTAAGTTAATTGAAAATTGAATATTTCAGGAAGACGAGAGGACAAAGAAAAATAAACCACGAAAACCAATGTCGCAGAGTTATCCGAGTCGCCCATGGAATCGCGAGGACGCCGAACGTGCGCTGTCAATTGAAAGTGAATACAATAAAACAGTGAAGGCACAAAGTTTAATAATAAAATTTCCCGATCCCGATTTAAATAAGGAAATTGTCCGCGACTTTCATCCGGGCATTCAAAATATTCATTTTCAAAGTCCAAGTGGTCCGCGATATTGTTTCATTCAAATGGCGGACAATGTTAATATTGACGAGGCAATAAAGGACCTGGAGAAGGTGGCATTTGGAATTGGTCATTTGAAAGTTGAAAGAAAATCCCTGAGGGATGACGATAATCCAATGCCAGAGGAAATTGATCCCTATACACTCTACATTGGAAATTTACCAGAATCAGTGAATGTCAATGAGGTGAAGAGTAAATTTACAACAGCGGCGAGAGTCGATGTTGGTTATGCGCAAAAAATGCGAAATACGAGGTACTTTTTCATTTTTCTTTTAGACAATAATATCAGGGATCACAGTTAGTTTCCTTTTTTTATCTAATCCCCTTTTTTACACTTTTCCCCCCTTTTTCACCTTAAATTAATTAACTCTCGCAAAACACCTAAAATCATATATTTTCTCCCATTTTCTCCGCATTTTTTTAGAAATAAAATCTAAAAATTATAATTCTTCAGAAGAATTCACAAAAAGAAAAAACTTTTTCTGAATTTCTAAATTAAATTATTCAAAATTTCAAAAAATTTAATAATTTTTAAATAAAGTGGAAATTTACTTTACCACAAACATTAAAATTTCAAATAAATTCAATGAAAAAACTTTTGAAATTTAATTATTTCTAAAAATTAAAATTGCTATTCCTCTAAAATTTATTTGATTTTTTGTTTCCTAACTTTTTTAATTTATTGGAAAATCATTTAGTTATTGCAAAAATTTTATCAAAAAATTTGAAAATAATTCAATTTCTTCGAAGAATTTTATCAATTTATGAAAATAATTGAATTCTTTCGAGAAACTTCATAAAAATTTTTATTGAAAATAATAGAATTCTTGTGAAGAATTTTATTAAAATTTTTAAAAATCCTAATTAAGTTAGGATTTAATTTTAATAAATTCTTCGAAACAATTCAATTATTGTTATAAAGAGAAAAAAATTTATCACAAGAATACAATTATTTTCAGAAAAAAAAGTTTGTCGAAATAATTAAATACTTCGATAATTTTGATAAAATTCAACTTCAATTCAATTATTTTCATGAATAATTAAATTCTTTGCAGAACTTAAACTTTTGTTTATAAACAAAAAAATTCTTTACAAGAATTCAATTACTTTTCATAATTTTTTAACAAACTTCTTTGCAAGAATTAAATTATTTTTATAAATTAGGAAAATTCTTCAATTTAATAAATTTTCAATAAATTTTTTTTATTTTAAAAAATTATAATAAAATTCTTCGGAATAATTCAATTATTATTAAAAAATTTGTGATAAAATAATTTATAAAAATTCAAATATATTTTTAAAACAATTTATTAATAAAATTTATTTGCAATAATTCAATTCTCTTTTAAAATTCTAATAAAATTCTATAAATTAATTCAATTATTTTAAATGGAATTTCATTAAAATTTCTCGAATTAATTAAATTATTTTTCAAAAAATAAAGTAAAAAGTAAAATTATCCTAAAGATTTAAATTATTTTCTTAAATTTCAATAAATCCTTCGGAACAAAATTATTTTTATAAATAGTAAAATTCTTCTCAGGAATTCAATTATTTCCAATAAAATTGGAATAAAATTCAATAATAAATTTGTTAATTATAATTTATTATTGACAGACACGATTATTTTAAAATATTGAAAAAAAATTCTTTGTTTATTCAAAAACAAAAATTTATAAAATAATTGAATTGTTTCGAAAAACTTTATTCAAACTTAAAAATAAATAATTGAATCTTTTCGTGAAATTTTATTAAAATTGAAATCAAAATAATTGAATTCGTTTGAAGAATTTCCTGATTTATAAAAATAATTGAATTCCTACGAAGAACTTTATTAAAATTCTTAAATGTAATTAAAATTCTGCGAAGAAATCAATTATTTATAAAAAAATTTTAATTTTTGCAAAGAATTTAATTGTTTATGAAAATAATTGAATTGAAGTTGATTTTTTATCAAAATTATAGAAAGGAATTAAATTATTTCAACATTTTTTTTTGTTTCTGAAAATAATTGAATTCTTGTGAAATTTTTTTTTCTTATGAAAATAATTGAATTCTTGTGGCAAATTTTATTTTTTATGAAGAAAACAATTGAAATCTAGCGAAGAATTTGATTCAAATTTTTGAAAATAATAAGCAGTAATAATTAATTATGTACTTCAGTATTACTAATTATTTTATGTTAATTCTTTGATTTATAGTTTTTTTAAAAACTCGTTTTTTTTTGCTCAAAAAGAAAATTTTTTTACAGGTACGCTTTTATTCGATATAACAGTGTCGATGAATCAATATCGGCTTATAAAAAGGCTCACGATTTAATGTGGGACACAAGAAGTATAATTGTCAGATTTCGTAGGCAAAGAGGAAATACGTGTCTTCCAGGCGAGCAGAAGAGTGTCAAGAAAGTTAAGGACGAAACGAGTGTGAAAAATGAGGAGAAAAATAATCAATTGAAGGAAAACGAGAAGAAGAAAACTAGCGAAGCGGAAGTTATCACCATTGAAAGTAAACGTGATTCTTCGGAAAAATTGTCCGAAGACAATTCATCGGTAATATTTCAATGAATTTCAATTATTATTATTTTTTTTTCTTATTAGTTAATATTTATTAATTTAAAAATTTATACATTTAATTAAATTTATTTAAAACTATTTTTTCTATTTTTGTTTTATTATTATTTTTCCATTTTTTATTTTATTTTTAATTTTCAGTAATTTCAGAATGAAAATTAAAAAAGCATTTACTTATTAACTAATTCATTATTATTTATTATTTTTAAAAATTTCAATAAAATTCTTCGTTTTGATTTACAATTAATTAAAAAATTTATTTTATTCACTTTATTTATAAAATTTATATCACTTTTTAAAATCTTTATTTTCCCTTTAGATATCGGTATTAAAGGAAAAGGAGAAGGAAATTTCTGTTTCTCTTGAGAAGGAAAATTTAACTGAAGAGTTAATAGTGGAAATTAAAGAAGAGCCACAGGATTATGAAGAAATTGATGATGATGACGATGACGATGATGATGACGACGACGACGATGATGATGAAGAACAAGATATTGAAATTGACGAGGACGATGAAATAAATGATAACGAAGACAAGGACGACGATGATGATGACGATGATGACGACGAGGACGATGATGATAAAATAATTCCTCCTTGCAGTGATTACGGAATTATTTCCCTGAGTGATAAAAAATCGGAAGAAACAAATTCGACTGAAATACAGTCAGATGTAAGTTCTTTAATTTCTTCTATTTATAATTATTTATTTATAATAATTTATTTATAATTATTTATAATAATTTATTTATAATTATTTATTTATTTATTTATAATAAAACGAAGGTTTATCGATTTTTTCTCTTTAAATTCAAAATAAAAATACTTTGCGAATTTTCTTTCTTTTTTCTTTAAATTTACAATTAAAGAATATTTTATCAATTTTCTTCTCTTTAAATTTACAATAAAAATATTGTGACAATTTTCTTTTCTTTAAATTTACCATTTAAAAATATTTTTATAATTTGCTTTTTCTTTAAATTTCGAATAAAAATATTTTGACAATTTTCTTTTCTTTAAATTTACAATAAAAAATATTTTATCAATTTTCTTTTCTTTAAATTTGCAATAAAATAAAAAATATTTTATCAATTTTCTTTTCTTTAAATTTGCAATAAAAATATTTGAGCAATTTGCTTTTCTATAAAAAAAAATATTTTGACAACTTTCTTTTTTTTTGAATTAACAATTTTAAAAATATTTTTATAATTTGCTTTTCTTTAAATTTACAATAAAAATATTTGGACAATTTGCTTTTTTACAATATAAAAATATTTTGACAATTTTCTTTTCTTTAAATTTACAATTTAAAAACATTTTATCAATTTTCTTTTCTTATAATGTGCAATAAAAATATTTGGACAATTTTATTTTCTTTTTTACACTGAAAATATTTTTTTTCCATTTCAATTTCCTTTTGTTAAAATAAAAATACTTTGACAATTTTTTATTCGTTAAATTTACAATAAAAATATTTTATCCATTTTTTTTCTTTGAATTTACAATAAAAAAAAATTCTATCAAATTTATTTTTCTTTAGATTTGCAATAGAAAAAAAATTAGTTTCTTTTTGTCAATAAAAATTGTTTGACAATTTTCTTTGCTTTAAATTTACAATTTAAATATATTTTTTCAATTTCCATTTTTTTGAATTTACAATAAAAGAAAATTCTATCAATTTTATTTTCTTAAGATTACCAATAAAAATATTTTTGACAAAATTTGCTTTTCTTTAAATTTAGAATAAACATATTTTTGGCAAATTTTCTTTTCTATAAAATTTTACATTTTAAGAATATTTTATCAATTTTATTTTATTTTTTACAGTAAAAATATTTTTTTCCCTCTTATTTTCTTGTTTTACAATAAAAATTCTTTGATAATTTTCTTTCAATTTTAAATTTACATTAGAAATATTTTATTATTTTTCTTTTCGTTGAATTTACAATGAAAAAATTCTGTCAATTTTATTTTCTTTAGATTTGCAATAGAAAAATAATTAATTTAGTTTCTTTTTGTCAATAAAAATTGTTTGACAATGATTTTTCTTCAAGTTTAGAATTTAAAAATATCTTTTCAATTTCCATTTCTTTAAATTTACAATAAAATTATTTTTGACAATGTTCTTTTTTCTAAATTTACAATGAAAATATTTTGACAAATTTTCTTTTCTTTAAATTTTGCAATTTAAAAATATTTTATCAATTTTATTTTATTTTTTACAGTAAAAATATTTTTTTCCCTTTTATTTTTAATTTTTTACAATAAAATTACTTTATGACAATTTTCTTTTCTTTAAAATTTACAATTTAGAAATATTTTATCAATTTTCTTTTCTTTGAATTTACAATAGAAATATTTTATCAATTTTCTTTTCTTTGAATTTACAGTAAAAAAAATTATACTATTTTTTTTAAATTTACAATAGAAAAATAATTTACTTACTTTTTGGCAATAAAAATTGTTTGGAAATTTCCTTTCCGTTAAATTTAAAATTTGGAAATATTTTTCAATTTTTCTTTTCTTTTTTTACACTAAAAATATTATTTTCGTTTTATTTTATTTTTTTTACAATAAAAATACTTTGACAATTTTTTTTCTTTGAATTTACAGTAGAAATATTTTTGTAACAAATTTTCTTTGATTTAAATTTATAATAAAGAAATGTAAATAATTTTCATTCTCTTAAATTCCCTAAAAGAAAATTAATTAACATAAATAATTAACATAATTAACATAATTAACATAATTAACATAATTAAAATAATTGACATTATTAACATAATTAACATAATTGACATAATTGACATAATTAACATAATTAACATAATTGACATAATTAACATAATTAATATAAATAATATAATTAACATAATTAATATAAATAAAATAAATAATATAATTAACATATTTAACATATTTAACATAATTAATATAATTAACATAAACTAATTTACATATTTTATTCTTTTGCAGCATTTGGACCGAATATTCACCGATCTCGAAAATATTGCTAGCGATATTTCACTGTAAAATAGAATTTTCAAAAAGACTTTTATTATATTTTTCTTTAGATTTATTATTCATATTTTTTAAATGTAAATAAAAGACGACTTTATTTCGTTTTAATATTTTCACATTGTAAAGAATGAAAAATAGGAAATATTATTTTCTTATATAGTTGAGTAGCGAGACAAATTTTTTTTTTTAATTTAGGATAAATTATGTATACAATGTACGATAATTTTAATTATCGAACTGAAAAACGTAAATTAAGTGTAATTTAAAGAAAGAAATTTTTTTTTTTTATAGAATTATTTACACTATTTTACAATTTTATTTTTAATTGTGAATTATTTAAAATATAGTATTAAATGTACGTGTGAAATATATTTTACTGTCATAATTTTTTTTTTCGAATACTTTTGATGCATTCGACAAAATTAGTTTTGGAAAGAGAAAAATAATTTATTGTATTTAGATTTATTTTGCTGGTTCTTTTTTTGAAAATGGAAAAAAAGAATAAAATGCAATTTATTGTCGAAGGAAATTTGAAATTGAAATTGAAAATGGAATTTAAATAATTGAATCAAATTCTTTGAAAAATTTAAATTATTTTCCAGAAGTTTTAATAAAATTGATTATAACAATTGAGTTTTTAATTCAATTTTATGAAAATTCCGGGAAAGAATTCAACATTTTTTTTAAAACGGAATCAAATTCTTCGAAAAATTGAAATATTTTCTAAAAATTTTGATAAAATTGTTTATAAAAATTCAAATATGATTTTTAATTCGATTTTAATAAAATTTCTCGAAAGAATTCAATTATTTTTAAAAGTTATCATAAAATTCTTCGAAAACTTGAATTATTTACCAAAAATTTTGTGAAAATTGTTTATAAAAATTCAATTAAGATTTTTAATTCTATTTTAAGAAAAATTTTTGAGCGAATTGAATTATTTTTAAAAATCAAATTCAAAATTTGTTTCTATTAAAAAATAAAATTCCAATTATTTTTAAAAACTCCACTCGAAAATTTATTTAAAAATCAAATTTAAAATTTGTTTCCATTAAAAAATAAAATTTTAATTTTTTCCTAATAAAAATAAATTAAAAAAATTTTTTTTTTGAGTACAATTCAAATAATCAAATTAAAAAAATTAAAATTACCAATTTTTTTTAACTAAATTCAAAAAATTTACTTAAAAAACCAATTCAAAATTTAATTCTATTCAAAAATAAAATTTTAATTTTTTTCATGAAAATAAATATTTTAAATTTCGAAAAATTCGAGTATTCAAATTAAAAAAATTTTAAATTCAAATTATTTTTAAAATCTCAACTCAAAAATTTATATAAAAATCAAATTCAAAATTTTTTTCTATTCAATAATAAAATTCGAATTTTTTTTAATAAAAAAAATATTTTGAATTTTATTCTTGAATAGAAAATAATTTTGATTTCTATTTTTAAATAAATTTTGTATTTTATTTTCATTAAAATATTTAAAAATTTTATTTACATTAAAATATTTTGTATTTTATTTACATTAAAATATTTTGTATTTTATATTTAAAATTAAAAAAATTTGAATTGTGTTTTTAAAATTAAAAATTTCAATTTTATTTTTCAAAATTAATTTATAAAATTGTTTTACTAGAGAAATAATTTTGAATTTTATTTTTGTGTAGAAACAAATTTTTTGAATTTTGTTTATATAAATAAATAAATATTTTGAATTTTATTTTTTAACACAAAAAGAATTTATATTTTTTATTTTTATTAAAAAGTTTTGAACTTTATTTTTGCTAACAAAATTTAAAGTTTTATTTTAATTGAAAATTTATAATTTTATTTTTGAATAAAAATTATTTATTCTATTTTGAAATAAAAAAATATTTTTTATGTCTATTTTAAAAAAATTTTTTGAATTTTACTTTTTTATTAAAATGTTTTGAATTTTATTTTTGAATAGAAAACAAATTTTAATTTGATTTTTTTATAAACAAAATATATCTAAAAACCAAGAATTTATTTAAAAATAGAAAAAAAAATTTGTTTCTAATTGAAAATAAAATTCAAAATTTATTTTTATTTATTTAAATTTATTTAAATATAATAATATTTAATATTAAATATTAAATAATTTAAAATTTATTTTAAAAAAATAAAATTTTAAACTTATTTAAAAAATAAAATTCAAAATATTTTAATCTAAATAAAATTCAGTTTTTTAGTACAAATTCAAAATTTTTTACCGCCAATTATTTTATTTGAACGCAAATAAAAATTCATAAAAAGTTTGCTGTTTTAAAATAAAAAATTAAAATATTATTCAATTATCTATTTAATAATTTGTTGTATTTATAGATTTTTAAACAGTTTAATTTATTTCAATTAACAAATAATAATAATAATAATTATTATTATTATTATAATTAGTATTATAATTACAATTTTGCCTAATGGTAGTTTCAATCATTACTAATAATTATTATTATTAATATTTAATTTATTATTTAACTTAATTATTATTATTGTTATTATTAATAATAATAATAATAATAATAATAATAATTATAATAAATTTTAATTGTGAACATGATTATCAATTCAGAGAAATAATTTCAAAAATTCAAATAATCCCGCGCTTTAGTGTGTGTGGCGCTATACGGCTTAAACACTGCTGCCAACATTCGAAAACGAAAAATTCCATTGCATCATATTGCGCACTAGTCGCGCACGACGTTCTACATCGCGCGTGTTCTATAGTCCTCGGTTTACAATCGTCACTGTGTGTGTTGAAAAATTTTTGTTATAAAAATTAAATAACCGTTTTTTGAAAGACACATGCCTCGTCGCGCAACAACAATTAAATAGCAAAACAATTCAACTATCATATCGTCCAGTGTGAAAATTTCAAACACCTAATGAAATGCATTGTTCATCAATACAATTATCGTATTATAATCTCGTGACCCTCTGTCAGACGTTATTCTTATTCGTGCGCGCTCGGTAGGTCAAAATGGCGTGAAAATAGAGACAGAGAGAGATTCTCTCCTAAAATATATATATTGCAATGATAGTGTTGTTAATACATTGACAAGATTTTTTTTTTGTTTTTTCTTTTTTGAGGTTATAGTCTCCTCACACATTCTTTTTCTCAATGTGTTTTTTTGTTGTTGTGCGGTTGGTTCTCTAGTGGATTGTGTGCTAGAATCAAAAGAGAAAGAGAAGGAAAACGGAGGGAAAGAAAAAGTGTTTTTGTGTTTGTTTTCCTTTGGGGGGGAGGGCTGTTTTTTTTTTTGGTTTATATATGTGATTTAGTGCATTTTTTTCGGGGCGTATTGTTGCATGAGTTATGAGGACGGAATGCCCGCAGGCGGTAACAGTCGTTTCCGTGGTTACCCAGCGCGGATGTCCGAGCGCCAACAGCTCGCACTTCTTTTGCAAATGACCTCTCAGGATATTGTTTCAGGTAATTTCAAAATTTCATCTTTCCTATTTTTTCTTTATATTCTTTAAAAAAAAATACAAGGAATAAAAATGAAACATGACAAAAGCGCGGGATGCGCGCAGTGAATCGCACTTTGCTTCCTTCCCCCCTCCCCTACCTTTTCTCTTCTATCCTCGTCTTTTGGAAACAAAAACATTTTGTTTTTATCCCCCCTCTTTGCCCCCCTCTAGCTGTAACCTATGAAAATTTCTCGAATTTTCTCCTATATTTTACTGAAAAAAATTGTCAAAAATTCGTTTTATTTTCTCTCGTAAGAGACGACGAAACGTTTATTTGTTTCCTTGGTGAGAAAGAGTCGTGTTGGTGTGAATGTATTTCGAGAACTATTCAAGTCTACAAGGGGGGGGGGGGAGGTTCGGAATTCAAAAGGGTGCTTTTTCAGAAAGTATATTCTCTATGTCTAGTATTTTTGTGTGTGAATTTCTATTGTGTGAGTTAGTGTGTATGTGTGTTTGTGACGTGATGAGGCTAAAAGCTAAAATGATTTTCTTTTTTCTAGTCAACGAGAGCAGTGTTGCCAACTTTTTCTTTATATTATATATATAGATATACAGTGACAGGTGAAAAATACCCGCGAAATATTTTTTAACCTTCTTAACAAATGCAAAAAGAAGGGGAGAGAGGGGGAATTTTTTTTTAACCTTAACGAAAGTGAAATTCGTGAACTATTTTACGTTCCCGCCAAAAGAAAAACTGTTGTATAACTATATTGTATGTAATATTTCTTTCTTTTCCCGTTATAACCTAACCTCTAAAAAATAAAAACGTTTGTTAAAATTATATATTCGATATACATACTATACAAACGACAATTTGCATTAAAAAAATGTGAGGCGAAAATACTGATTCAACATAACCTATAAATTTCTTGTTTTGTGAATGAAAAAGTATGTAATTTATAATAAGTAGTTTAAAATAAATTCAAAATAATTCAATTACTTTCACTAATAATATTTTTCATGGAAATTCAATTTTTTAAAAAAATTTTTGATAAAATTCTAAACAAGAATTCAATTATTTTCATAATTAATAAAACTCATCGAAGAATTTCAATTATTTTTAATAGGATTTTAAATTAATAGAAAAATTCCATTATTTTCACAAATAACGTTTTCCACAAGAATTTAATTATTAAACAATAAACTATTTAAAACAATGTTTATAAAATTCTTAGGAAGAATTTAATTACTTTAAACATTTTAATAAAATTTTTCGCAATAATTCAATTATTTTTATAAATAATAAAATTCTTCTCAAGAATTAAATTATTTTTGAAAATTTTAATAAACTTAACAACTATTTAATTATTTTCGTATAAATAAAATAATTCATCGCAGCATTTCAATTATTTAAACAAACAAAAATTACAGGAATTGCTCAAAAAATGTAATTATTCATAAAAATTTAATTTCAATTCCTCAAAATAAGCAATTATTTGAAAAAAATGTTTTTTAAAAAATTTTTTTGAAAGAATTAAATTATTTACAAAAATATTAGAATTTTTCACAAGGAATTCAATTATTTTCTAATATTTTAATAAAATTATTCGAAAGAAATCAATTATTTTAAATACAATTTAAATTAAATTTTTTTGAAATAATTCAATTATTCTTTTAGATTTTAATAAAATCCTAAAATTCTTCCCAATAATTCAGTTATTTACATAAATAATTCTTCGAAAGATTTCTATTATTTGATTACAGAAATAAATAATTTATAGAATAATTGAATTTTAATAAAGAATTTTATCAATAAATTTTTAAATAATTGAATTCTTTTGACAAATTTTAATATAATTTTCATGATAATTACATTTTTCGAGAAATTCGATGAAAATTGTATTAAAAATAAGTGAAAAAGAATTTTATTTTTTATGAAAATATTTAAATGTTCGCGTAGAATTTTATTAAATTTTTTTTAAAAATAATTGAGAATTTATGTGAAGAATTTTATCATTTATAAAAATAATTGAGTTTTTCAGAAAAATTTATTAAAATTTTAAAAAAATTTGAAATTCTTTTGAGAAATTCAATTATTTTGATAAATATCAATAAAAATTTTTCATAGGAATTTGCAATTATTTTGATAAATATCAATAAAATTTTTCACAGGAATTTGCAATTATTTTCGAATATTTCAATAAAAATCTTGACACAAATTCAATTATTTTCATAAGTACCTAACAATATTCATCACAAGAATTCAATTATTTTTAAAAGTAATATTTTTTTCTTGGAAATTTAATTATTTTAAAAAATTCTAATAAAATCGTTGGTAAGGATTCAATTATTTTCATAAATAATAAAATGCTTTTTAGGAATTCATTTACTTTCAAAAAAATTTAACAAAATGCCACACAGATATTCAGTTCTTTTCAAAAATTTTAATAAAATTCTTTACAAAAATTAAATTACAAAAAATAGAAGAGAATTTTTGTCAATTTTGTTAAGTGTCTAAAACGAGTTTTTTTGTCGTCAAGTTGAATTTTTTGATAGCTACTAATTTACTACCTTATTTAGTTTGAAAGCTACTTTGTGCTACTTTTCTAAAATTAAATATCGAGTGCAAAGTCTGAAATATAAATTATAAGTAAAAAGTTAACTTTATGAAGTGGACAAACAGAAGTAAAAATCGAACATAAATTTGGTTTTTTCGTAAATTGAATAAAAAAGAAAAAAAAACAAATTTTTTATAGGTGGAAATAGACCTGATGGTACGGCAAGTACGCAAAGCAGTGGTTCAAAGTCATCGCCATTGCAACAGCAGAGGGGATCTAAAAATCGATGGTCGAATAATAAAAATGGAGAATCACCGGCTGGGGGAATTCATCGTAAGGACGATTTTCGAGTGCGACAAATTGTCAATGGCTATGAAAGTAGCAAGGAAACGAGTGGTGAGTGTTCTTTTCCCTATTGTACAAAATTTATACTTTATATTTAATTTTATTAGTATTTTTTACAATTTTCTTAATATTTTTTCCTTTTATTTTTAATTCACATTGTTGTAGATTATGCCACAAAAAAGTAGTGATTTTAATCCGCTGTCCTCTAAGAATTTAAGGATTTTACTAATTAAAAGTAAGGATTTTAATAATTAAAATCCTTACATTCTTAGTGATTTTTTATTTACAGTTTAGAGATGAAGAATAGTAGTAGTATTCTAATTTAGCTACAAATGATAATTAGGATCTCTATGTTACCAACAAAATCTGAATTTTTGTCAAATCGAATATGATTTGTTCGTTGAAATCCTTTTGAAATCCAAAAGAGATGAGAACCGGATTTTTCAAGTTTTCGTCGACTATAATTATTTTTTCCCCCGTCTTCTTTATTTCTATATTGGGATTTATTAACGGAGCCGGCAATTCGCGTCGTTATTTCCTTTTTAAAAGGAAAGAAAGAAGAAAAAAATTCTGTGAGCCATTCGTCGATTATAGGATGCTGTTTTGTAGAGAGTTTAGTGCCTTATTCTTGGAGGTGTCTTTCACTCTAGAAGTCTGGGACGTCTGGACACAGGTGCCTGACATCTCGTCAGGCACTGCACAGGGTCAGACAGGGATAGTATCCTAGTGGTCGACTTGGAGAGGGGCGCGACAGACGACTCTCGCAAAAGATCAATACTCCGAGACAGGGCCGCAGAGATGGATGTAATCATTTTCGCAAAAAAGAAATTTATCGTTTATGCATTTTTCTGTTTTTCTTTTTGTGTTAGATTGTTATTTTTGTTCTTTACTTTTTGATAGTTGTATCAGTGTTGGTAGACGTTCATAAAGGCGAAAATTGTGGATTAAAGAATCATTGGTTACTTGATGGTTTTTCTAATTGAACAACGATGGAATTAAGAAGAACAAAACCGGTGCTAAGGACAAAAATTGATGACAGTTTTGTACCAATGTGAGACAAAACTAAACGTCAATTCCAACGTTGCAGTTATTGCAAGGGGTTTTTTTTTGGATCTGAGCTATATCCTTAAATGAACTTGATCAAATCAGTTCAAAGGACAGAAATAAAACCCTGAAATAATAGTAATAACAACAGTAATAGTAGTACAAAATAATAGTAGTAATAATAATAATAACAGTAATAATTTAATATTTTAAAGTTAACAGTGAAGTCTTAAATAATATTAAAGAAAGTAACATTTGATCTGTCCAGGAATAATATATAAAAGGTAGTTTAAAGTATTTAATAGCATTTGTATTTTTTTATATTTTTAATTATTTGCCTTTTCTTTAAAAATATAATATTAGTCGTGACATTTTTTTTTAATGAACGGTCGTAAAATTTTCATATACAGGAAACATTGCGTAATTCATTATGCTTGACCTTCGCATTGAATTAATAATTTTGCTGTTAAGAAATAAGCAGTTTAAAATTTAACATTTAAATTCAAAAGTACATCGTTTTTTTAAAAATTGTACACGTAAAATTAATTTCGGTATACCTTAATTTCTTCATTATTATTTAGTAATATTGCAAAAATTTTATTTATTTTTTTTATTTTGTTATTCATATTATGTACTGAGTTAGTTTGTTTAGTTGCTTCAGTTAGTGCGAAAATTGTCAAAAAGTTTTCTTTATAAACTTTTTAAATACTTTTAACAATCTTTTTAAATATTTTAAATTATTTTAACTTTAGGACTTAAAATCTTACCCTCAGAGCTAAAATCCAGTCTCAAAAATGATTCTAAACGTTGTGCAGTAAACATTTATGGTCAAAAATGGTCAGAAAGTGAGATTTATTTTCTACACTATATCTCAGTATTTTTTAAAAATATTTTAAAGCATAAAAACACCTTCCTTTGTCTTGAAGTTGCTCCTAAAGAGTCAACAATTTCTACTATTTAGAAATTTCTACAAGCAACTTTTAAAAGAAAAAAGCATTTATCCATAAAGTTTTTACTACCTATACTATAGAAAAATATTTTTTTCTTCCTCCAAAAAAACCAAATTAAGAGAAAATATATAAAGGAAATAGAAAAGAAAAATAATGAAGTTTTCTGCGCATATATAGAAATATAGCATCGAAGTGTAAAACGTTTCGAGAAAATAAATTCCTAGGGCGTAGTTGCAGAATTCCGGAGGGGGATATATCGCAAAGCCAGTAAATCTGGCAACCGGAACTTTCTATCTCAGATTAAAACGGTGTAATAACATGCGTGTTGGTCTGAGATCTTAATAATCTATCAGCTTTAAGCACGCGGGCGGCGCCCTGAGGTGTTTCTTTTTCCTTTTCCTCTTCAAGAAAGACAAAGAGAGAAAGAGAGAGATGGCATAAGATAGAAATTCCCCTCTCGTTGAAAATTTTGCATTCGCTTTAATTACTTGTTATCTTTTCAAAATTAAGACATTTACAACATGAGAAGTTTAATCAACCCTCTCTTAATGGGTATTTAGAGAAAAATAAATAAAAAAAGAAAAGAAGTTAGGAAAATTAAAATATTGAGTTAATATTCGAATTTAGCTTATGCGTTACATTATTTATTATATTATATTGTTATTTATTATCACTCTATTTTTTATTACCTTTTATTATTTTCTGTCATTATTACTAGAAATTTATCGCTTTTATTATTTTTGTTATTACTGTTAACATTAACAACTTAAATTTATACTCTCAAGGATAAAATTCATTCAAAAATGGTTGAAGTGTAAACGATTTAGTCAAAAATGGGTTTATGTTAAAACCAAGTAGATTAAAAAGTAGTCTATTTTAAAATTATTAATTATTAGTTAAATTATAACCTTAGGACTTAAAATCACACTCTCAAGGCATAAAATTCAGTTAAAAACGGTTCAAAACCTACTTCTTGTAAACGGTTTTAGTCAAAAGTCCGGTCAGAAAGTAATATTTATTTTTTTCAGTCTAAAATACAGGTAGCTATCAATATTAATTATTTGAAAGTAAAGAATTAAAAATTTTTCGTCAACATGAATTGAAAATCTTTTTAAAAAATTTTTTTTTCGAACAAAGAATTTAATTCCAATAAACATTGTTCGATGAAGAGTAACATGTCGCACTATACAACATTGTAATTGCGTTTTCGAAACAGGATGGCATTCGATGAGCACATTATTTCGCGTGAATAAAAATGGTTAGACAATGACTCGAGCGGATTTGCGGTCTTGAAGTTTCAAGCTTATATTTAGATCATTCGAGAGTCATGTTGTTATTTAATAGTTGCTTTTCTGTACCAAGTTCCTCTCATCGCAGTTTAAAGGCAAAATTTAACATTTGTATTTACCTGAAATTAGCAATAGAAACAAATTTTTAATTCTTGTTCTTTTCTGGAGAATTTTACTTTCGGGTTTGAATTGCTCAGGGTGTCTACTAACCGGGAATTCCGGGAAAACCGGAAAATAACCGGGAATTTTATTTGACCAGGAAAAACCGGGAATTAGCCGGGAATTTTATACCGAACCGGGAATTTTTTCACAAAAATTAAAAAAGTTTTATTATTTTAATTTGTTTTTAAAAAATCAATTTTTATTTCAATTTTTATAGATATTTATACTGTTCTCTAAATTTAAGTTACTTAAAAATAATTAATTTGATGATAAAAATCAGTTACCAATTCAAATATATTATGTAAATAAATTTTTAAAAAATTATGGAGTTAATAGAAATATTGTGAAATTTGACTGAAAATATGTAATTAAATTTGTTAAAGAAATCATTAGAAACTTTTTAACAAATAGAATTTTCAAAGTATTTTAATTTAATAATTGATTAATAATTGAATATTATAAAGAGTAAAATTCTAATGTATTCATGTTTCTTACTGCGAAGATTAATAATTAAAATTTTTATTAGTTAATTTAAAAAAATATACATACTTAAAATTGTTTAATGAAATTGAACTTTCGCAAAATTTTTTTTAAATCTAAAAAATAAAATTGTTGTAATTTTTCAAATCTATTGTTTCAAGATAATTGAATTTTTCTAAACAAATCATTGAAATTTTTTTACTTTTTTTGAAAAATAATTGAATTTTTTTAAAGAATTTTATTTAAATTTTTCGAAAATAATCAAGGGAAGTTAGTGACCATAATTATAATTTTATTTTTAAAATTTTAAGTCCCTCTTACAGTTTTAAATCAATTTTTTGCTTCTAAAAATTATACTATTCTATTATTATTTAATAATTATAATTATTGAACTTCTCTTAAATTTTTATCATTTTAAATTTCTGAATGTTCAAATAAATGATATTTATTTATTTCTTGAGCAAATTAAATGTTTATTACATATTAAGTAAATAATTAATTATTGCTGCTTATTATTTTCAAAAATTTTAATAAAATTCTTCACAAAAATTAAATTATTTTCATAAATAATAGCATTCTTTGGAAGGATTCAATTATTTTTATAAATAGTAAAATTCTTTGCAGAAGTTCAATTATTATCAGTGTAATTTTAATAAAATTGAAAAATCCAATTTTCAATTATAATTATAAAGAGACAAGATTATTTTTAAAAACTTGAAAAAATTCTTTGTTTAATTCAAGTATTTTCCAAGTTTTTAATTAAAATTATTGAAAAAAACATTATTTTCAGAAAATTTAATGATTTATTTATGTTTAAAATCAAATTTAAATTTACATTTGATAAGAAAAAAAAACCGGGAAAAAATTAGGATATAGCCGGGAAAAACCGGGAAATAACCGGGAATTTTGTTAAACGAAAATAGTAGACACCCTGATTGCTTCTTTATATAGGAATTTGCTTTCCGAGGTCAGAATTATTTAATTAAAAGGGTTTAGTTACTAGGGTTTAAAAGTATTCAATTTTAAAAGAATTTAATTCAAAAGTATTTAATTGAAATGGTTTAATTACTATGGTTTAGGAGTATTTAAAAGTTATTTAATTAGGAGGGTTTACTTACTAGGGTTT